TAATTTTTTTTATAAATATATTTTTTATATTTTAGTTTGTTTTGAATTTTATTAGGTAATTTGTAATTTGAATTAAACTCTTTAAATAACTTTTTGTGAATTTTATTAGGTAATTTGTAATTTGAATTAAAATCTATAAATAATTTTTAGGTAATTTTTTTTATTTATTTATAAAAGCTCTTTTTTTATATTAATAAATAAATACTGAAATACTGATATTAAACAGATAAGAAGAGATACTACACTTGATTTTAGCCTAAAGGCTGATAAAGGTGTGATTAATATTTCTTTAAGTCTATAGTTTTATAAGAGGCTTCCATGTAATCCTTTATAACTCAAAACCGATGTAGGATAAGAAAAATGTTTTGATCTTACCCAAAAGGCCGAAAAAGGTATGATTAATATTTCTTTAGGTTTATAGTTTTATAAGAGGCTTTCATGTAATTCTTTATAACTCAAAACCGATGTGGGATAAGAAAAATGTTCAATTAATTTTTTTTATAAATATTTTTTTATATTTTATTTTGTTTTTAATTTTATTTGGTAATTTGTAATTTAAATTAAACTCTTTAAATAAATTTTTATGAATTTTATTAAGTAATTTGTAATTTGTAATTTGAAATAAACTCTTTAAATAATTTTTAGGTAAGAAATGTATGATTAATATTTCTTTAGGTCTATAGTTTTATAAAAGGCTTCCATGTAATCTTTTATAACTCAAAACCGATGTGGGATAAGAAAAATGTTTTGATCTTTTATAACTCAAAACTGATTTAGGATAAGAAAAATGTTTTGATCTTAGCCAAAAGGCTGAGAAAGGTATGATTAATATTTCTTTGAGAAGTAATAGATCTTCCGAATATAACGTGGTTGGGAATGAGTTGAAGAGAAAGATTTTTAGTTAAATTTTTTAAGAGTTCCAATGGGATCCAACCACGTTGTATTCGGAGGAAGAGTCGATAATTAACGTCGGAAGACCTATCATTTTTCTATTTCTTTATATTTATAGTTTTATAAGAGGTTTTCATGTAATCCTTTATAACTCAAAACGATGTGGGACAAGAAAAATGTTCAATTGATTTTTTTTTTTTTTATAAATATTTTTTTATATTTTATTTTGTTTTGAATTTTATTAGGTAATATGTATTTTGAATTAAACTATTTAAATAAATTTTATTAGGTAATTTGTAATTTGAATTAAACTCTTTAAATAATTTTTAGGTAATTTTTTTTATTAAAACTCTTTTTTTTTTTATATTAATAAATAAATACTGAAATACTAAAAGAATGAAACTCTTTGCATATTTATTAATAATATAGATAGAACATAACATAGATATAGGGCAAAATGAAAAGAAAAAAAAAAATTCCCTTCAACCTTTTCACATTTCGAAAATAACTCTTGTATTATGTGTAGCGCTACCAGGTTCTTCCCCCAAAGAGAGATAAGGAGGTCGAATGTTAGTGGAGGCATGTTTGTGTGAGTACCAACTAAAAAAAAAAAAAAAAACATTGCAAATTGCCCCCACGTGACAAGTACCGTTATTTTTCCATTAAAAATATATAAATATGTGTTATAATTTCACCAATATGCCCCTTCCATAACCAAATCACTCTTCCCCATACCGTAATTTTTCTGCATTTTAGGTTTCGTTTGATTCGACATAAAGTATTTTTTTGAAAAATATATATATTTTTAAAGTAAAATATATTTTTATTTTTATTTTTCTGTATTTGGTAAATGTCCAAGTCTAGGTTGAGGAAATTGATGGACAAATTATTTTTCGATGAATTTTAATATTTTTTTTCCTCGTAAATATTTTACGAATCAAACACCAAAAAATAAAAATATTTTTACTTACAAACAAAGGAAGCCATTAATCATAAACATACTTTGATATGTAATTGTTGTGACTCACCATCAAAGTCTTGCCTTGAATAATGTCTTCCATAGATGGGGATATTTCACTGAAACGACAATGAAAATGCTTGAGATGGAAGATAAATTTTCTTGTACTTGCTTTCAAATCATCAATGAAATGAACAGGACATTTGATGCGTTGATTACCACGACCTAACCAAAGAATCAGGGGAACAAACTGATTTATCACTACCCAATTTATATGGTTCATACATTAACATATACTAGTATAAAATAAAAAAAATAAAAAAATACTACTTGTATGGTTGATTAATGGTGACCGTGACATTAATAACATGCATGGCAAAGGGACCACACCAGGAATATTATGCTTGCACTCAATATTTTCCTCCAACCCTTAGCATGGTTAAAAGAAACAGAGACAAGAAATGAAAACATTGTGGATGACCTTTATTACTCCAGCAACACCCAGGGACGTGCCTAAGGCCCTAGTCAATAAGAAGGTCTTATAATTATTTATTTATTTATATATAATAATTTTTTTAAAATAATTATGTTAAATATTAAACATCAACAAATAGAGGGATTTGACAGTGACTTAAAAGATTTATATTGTTTATCTTTTTTTTTTTTTTTTGAGGGCCTCCAAAAATTTTTCCTTATACATTATAAGCAACCTAAAAATTTTATTTTCTTTTATTATTAAACCTCAATCAGTAGAGAAATTTAATACTAGGTCCAAAATATTTCTATAATTATATTGCTTTTTTTTTTTTTTTTCTTTCTCTCATCCTTTATTACATGAGCTTATACACACACATATACATATATTATATTACTTCTCCTTATCATTACACCAACCATAAATATTATCCATTGTGGGGGGCTTGTGAAACTTTCTTTGTTTTTTTAAGACACATATTAACTATTATTTTCTTATTCCTCGCATATTTTTTCTCCGCCAGCTCTTACAATTTACAACTTCACTCGACAAGACTTTGAATGAACTTTTATTCTATTAAAGAATTTTTTGGAGTAACTTTTATTCTATTAAAGAAAATTTTGAATTATTAAACCAAATTCTTCGAAATCAGTTTCTATTGTTCTATAACTTCAATTTGTTTATAGTTTTATTAAATTTTGTTATCATAAAATTATTTATTTTGTTTTTGAGTTGTCATCATTTTAATTTATATTGTTGAATATTTCTTCTAGAAAGTACATAGTCAATTAGTTAACGATAGAATTAGAGATTGAAAAAAAATTAGTACTAAACTTAAAAATCACAAAACAAATAATAAGTATATTAAACGCATGAACATATGGGTAGACTCTATTAAAATGCCATTTTATATTTTTTCGCCTAAGGCCTCAAATTATGTTGAGCCGCCCCTGGCAACACCATCACACTTCTTGTTAATCTGATTTAATTTTGTAATATTTTAATTAAGAATAGCGTTCACTCATGCCATATTTAAAATCATTTTGCTTAGAAATCTCAAATTATAATGCTTAATTTGAGGTTGTATTTGCAATTAGGTACTAAGAGCATCTCCGACAATATGTTAAAATATTTGTTTTGTTTGAAATATACACTATCACGTCATTAATGTGCAACCTTTTTACACATATTTCCTTTCTCTTCCCTCCTCTCATTCCATTAAGTAGGTTTGTAAAAATTACGCGGGATCAGACATGACATTGATTGATTGTTATTGATAGATATATATTTACTATTTACACAAAATTATAAAACAACAGCTGAAAATAAAACTAAATAATTCAATTTTTTTTTTTTTTTTTTGTGTAAATACATATCAGAGTTATACAAAATCAATATACACGGTTGGATATGCTCTAACAACCTTATCGTTGTTAAACAAAATTCTAGACAAATCATGTAAATATGTTTGAGATAGTTAAGAATATATATTTGAGAAAACAAATATCCGGATGTAAGATTAGTGTAAGTCTCAATTAGGGAAACAAAAATTACGTCAAATTCCTATATAAGACTAGTATAAAGTTTTGTCTGGTTATGAAAATGCATGGAAAAAAATTAGTGGAGAGGAACACTACTATTTGAAGCGGAATTTATTAGCATCACAACATGATGCAATCAAGTTTCGATTTTTGCTGCTAAGCTAATACATTCTATTCAAAAATAATTTTCCTTTTTAGTAGTTTTAAACTCTTTAAATAAATGTAAACCTAATCGGAACTTCCCACTTTTAGGAAATGAATAAGTCTGTCCCTTTTTAAATTTATTGACAAAATTGACAAATTTACCATTAACCAAACACTTTTGAGACTTTCTACTCGTTTTAAAACGAGATTTTTTATTTATTTATTTATTTGTTGTAAACTTAAATGGGCCTTCTCGATTGGATCTTTAAAGATAATATGAGCCACTTTTGTTTGGGCTTCTCATTTTGATAAAAGAAAGGGAAAAAAAGAAGAAGAGAGGTTATATTATTATACTTTAGTTGACCTTTTCTTCGTTCCCCAACCCCATGACTCATGCGGATACTGTAATTTTTCATTAATTTTTATTTATATTTTTTATATATGAATCTAAACTTTAATTTTCTAGATGAATTTAATCTGAGTAATTTAAAGTTATTTTAGGTTTTATTTCAAAAGAAATAACATTTTAGTGTAATTTGAAGACAATTTATAAAACGAAATCTTTTATTGACTCTAAAAATATTCATTATGTCATTCAACTTGTAATAAATTATATTGTTACATTCTTTGTGCAAAATATAAAAGAAAGAAAATTAATCTTTATTCCTCCATATAAGGCTATAAACTATCTCAACAATTAAATAAATTTGATGGTGGATATTGGGCTTGCTTAACATGGTCGGAATATTTTAAACTATGCATTATATTATCAAATACAAAGAGAATTTAATTTCGAGTCTCCTCCCACTTTATTTAAATTTTATTATTTTCACTTTTAAGCTTGTCAAAAAAAAAAAAACTTTTAAGCTTAATTTTGATTGATCCAGCTACTGTCGTGTATGAACAGTGAGCAATCTTATTTACGAGTCTTTTATTAATTGAGCTTAAAAATTAAATATGAGCTCCACTTTTTTATTTCTTAATAAATGAGTCCAGAAGTTTAAGGAGCTCTGTCACCTGAGCATGCTTGTGCTTGAACTTTTGAAAAATAAATATATAAATAAAATAAAAGATAAAAATAAAAAATAAAAAATCAAAGCCCAGTCTCAACTCTTAACGAAAAATCATTTGGAGCCCTATCTCGTTCTTTTTTCCCTCCTAGTTATCCAAATAAATATTTGCATTTCAATCTATTGCTCTGCTTTGAGTCTCGATTCATCTCTTCGCCACCACCATCACTATCACCGTCTTTGAGCTACGATTACCAGTCTACGACCGCATCCCTTTATTGCCTAGACACCACTCTCTATCTGTTTTCAATTTCTCTCTCCTCACTCACACTTTCTAACTCGACCCTAGTAGTCATTGAACTACCGAAACCCTAACAGGCGAAGCCACCATTGAAGGTTCAGACGACCTTGAAGCTCGACTCCGTTTCATTTTAACCCATCTAAGGTATATTCCTCTTTTCTCTTCCGATTTTCATTTTATTTTTTGTATTTTTGCCCAAATTGTGGTCAACTTTAATGAAAAATGGCTGTCAATATTTCATGCTGGGGTGGAACTTCAAATCTTTGGGGGTTTCGGGAATACGCAGTTTTGAGAAAATTGGGGATTTTTGTTGAATATTGGCTGATAAATTCTATTAATTATGATGCAATCTTCGTACTTTTTATATTGTCTCACATGGATTTAATGTAGTTTTATATGCACCAAATGGAACAATAAGAACAATGATTCCTAAAAACAGATTAACGGAGATATGAACAAGCAAAAAGCTGAATCACACTATGTGTGTTGCATTTCACCAATTGATTAACCATCCGACCTTGAATCCCTACGGTTTGAAGGAAGACACAACAATACATTCTCAAGAAGTATTTTTTTTGCTACATACGAGTTCAATTGTTCACTCAATTAAGTTCGTACTCACTCCATTTGGTTTAGTCATGCATAAGATTTTATTCCTTTTGCTATTATATTTTTATATAATTTATATTATATCTTATACGCTAGATTTTATTCACTCATTAAACGCAATATAATACATAATATGTTGTAATATAATAAATAAATATATATATTTTTGATAAGTAAGACATTAAATAAATATTACTAATAATTTATGTAACATATAATAGATAAAATGTATTATAGATAGCGTTACATAAAATATATTATAACTAATTTTATATCATATATTTAATTTTCTTTGTATTGACGGGGTAATTTGGATAAATTAATTTAAAACTCATTCCATTTAGTCTTTTAAACTAGTTTGACGAAACATCAAAATAGAAATGACCATTCCGTTCCTACGCCATTCCATGGTTGCATTCATTCCATTTCCGCACCATTCTCGTTCCATTCCCTTCCTACTTCATCCCGTTCCTGTGTACTAAATGTATCCTTAATGTAATTCGGTCTTACTTCTTATCTTTAGTTTCATTGATGTATCATATATTTTGTTGATGATTATGTTATTTAGTTCTCAAAGGCTGCTGTGATCTACAAAATGACAATTCTGTGAGAAGTTTCCTTGCACTTGCCTGATGACTTGGGGAATTACATATAGATAAATATTATCACAAGCAGGGTGAAGTAGTAATTGACTTTCGGCAAGCTGTGAAGAATCAGAAAATGATTTTATGCCAACCTTAAGACAATGGGAAATCTTACCCTTAATATGGGTTATTCATTTAATTAGCTTTATTTCAATTAAAAAGGTTGGTGTCTTTTTGTAGATTAATTCCAATGAGAATAACTGAAAAGGGTTTGTATTCTCTAAGAATGTGATTTCCCATGCCATTCTATTATGCATTACTTGTTTTATTGGGCTGTATTTTGTTAGTGCACTCGAGTGTCTTCTTGTTAATGAATTGAAATGAGAATGATTACGTAAGTTGTTTTATTTTTATGGATGTTATTTCCTATGCCAAAAAAAATAAAATAATGATGAGAGGAGTTTCTTTTATTGTTATTTCTAAGTTTGGCAGTCTTAGATCTTTAATTATTGGACTTTATTCGGGATGGTTTTATGGATGATGAGGTATGGATTTCAAGTCATTCTTATATAATTGATCCAATTAGTGGATTTGAAATCCAAGGATTCCAAATCTAGGTATTTTAATTCCAATGATTTGAAATTCGTACTAAAATCCAAATCCAGATTCTCAAATGCAATCTTAGCAACTTCTTGTCACCATTATTTAGTTGCTATTTTTAGCTATATTTCTTTTTGTCTATGAAACAGCATCCTTTGAAACTTTATGATGGCTGATTATGCATTTTGCTTGATGCAGATTCTTTGATTGTACGGATTCTTTCAGACATGAAGATTGTAAGCTGTACTAGTGTTACAAAACCCAGTTTTTTTCTTGCAAATTGTGAGTTACCTGCCTGTACATTCCGTAGATCCCAGTTTACTCTTGCATCTACTCTACGGATTTCAAGTAACCATGAGAAGAGAATTGGACTGGTGACAAAATTTCAGCGATTTGTTGTCAATAGAACATTTGCAGTCAGTCCTTTAGGTTCATCTTTATGCAAAACAGACAAAGTTCCTTCACGTCGGGTACGAGGAAGTTCCTCTTCCTTATATAGCCGTCCTAGTTTATTAGAGATGAAGAATGAGAGGATGGAAAACCGTGCCCGTGTTTATGAGTTCTTGAGGGGAATTGGTATTGTGCCTGATGAGCTTGATGGGTTGGAACTTCCTGTGACAGTTGAAGTTATGAGAGAACGTGTGGACTTCCTTCATAAATTAGGGCTTACGATTGAAGACATTAACAACTACCCTCTTGTTCTTGGATGCAGTGTAAAGAAAAACATGATTCCTGTGCTTGATTATCTTGGCAAATTGGGTGTTAGGAAATCTACTTTTACTGAATTTTTGCGAAGATATCCGCAAGTCCTTCATTCTAGTGTTGTAGTGGACCTTGCACCGGTGGTTAAGTATCTTCAAGGGATGGACATCAAGCCGAATGATATTCCTCGGGTTCTAGAAAGGTATCCAGAAGTATTGGGATTTAAACTTGAGGGGACCATGAGCACATCAGTGGCTTATTTGGTTGGAATTGGGGTCGCAAGAAGGGAAATTGGCGGTGTTTTAACTAGATACCCAGAGATATTGGGGATGCGGGTAGGTCGGGTGATCAAACCTTTTGTAGAATATCTTGAAATCTTGGGAATACCAAACTTAGCTGTGGCTAGATTGATAGAGAAGCGGCCTCACATTCTTGGATTTGGGCTAGAAGAAAGGGTTAAACCAAATGTCAGTTCCCTTTTAGAGTTCCATGTTAGACAAAAGTCACTTGCTTCTGTGATTGCACAGTATCCAGAAATTATAGGAATTGACCTGAAGCCAAAGCTTCTCAGTCATCAGAGCTTTCTCAATTCAATTATTGATTTGGGTCCTGAAGATTTCGGGGGAACTGTTGAGAAGATGCCGCAGCTTGTCAGCCTCAGTAATACATCTATTGTGAAGCATGTAGATTTCCTCAAGGGTTGTGGTTTCTCCTTGCAACAAGTGAGGCAGATGGTTATGGGGTGTCCCCAATTGCTTGCTTTGAATCTTGACATCATGAAACTCAGTTTTGATTACTTCAAAACTAAGATGGGAAGGGCATTGGATGACTTGGTTGCTTTCCCAGCTTTCTTTACTTATGGTCTGGAATCAACTATAAAACCAAGACATCAGATGGTTGCAAAGAAGGGGTTGAAATGTTCTCTTGCATGGCTTCTTAACTGTTCTGATGAGAAATTTGAGGAACGGATGAACTATGACTACATTGACATGGAAGAGATGGAAACAGATTCAGCATTTGATATGAACACTCTAATGGAACCCAGAAGCAATGAGTCAGATTCTGACTACGAGGATGACAGTGATGATGATTATGTATAGAATACTTAGTCAGCTTAGAGCAAAGTTTGCTTTGGGGAATCTTCTTTTTCAGAAATGGATCCTTTATGCAAGGAATTATGGCTGCAAGATTGAAAAGGTAAAATTTTTACTTTCGCTACACTTGTTTTTGTTTTTGTTTTTGTTTTGTGGCCAAATGAAAAATATTAATTTTTTTTTTCTTAGATATAATCACGTAGAATGGGTCCATATTAGTTCTTAAATATTTAAATATCCTCATCTATGACAATTTCTTAGAGTATCATGGCAATGTTTCTGAAAACTTGAACAAATGAAGAGTGCTTGGGGTTGCTTATTTGATATTGGTTCCCACCACTCTTCTTGACTTTTTTGCAAGCACTTTGAATCCTATATGTGTAGATATGAGGCAAAGCGCAGAACTCTTATATTTGAAAATCCTATAATATCCTACACATTTTTCTGTCTACCTTGGTTAGAATTATTTCATTTGCAAGTTTTCAGGGACATTGCACAGAACTCTTATATTTGAAAACCCTATAATATCCTACACATTTACCTGTCTACCTTGGTTAGAGTTATTTCGTTTGTAAGTTTTCAGGGACATTGTGTGATAGTTTGTTCATTAATCTGAAATCATGATATAATTTAGCATGGAATTTTTATTTTCTCTGCATTTTTCTAGGAGAGTTCAATAGTTTTTTGTATGATTTACAAGCACATATGACATATCCACTACCTTTCCCGTGAACAGATGCTGAATGACCTAATAGAGAGAGAACGGTCAAGCTGCTGGAGGTAAATCCATCAGCAGCGATCCAGCTGTTGGAGAAAAGCTGCCTTTGTTATGATGCTCCCATGGCTGTGCCTGAGATGATGCCCTCTATTTTTAGGTTTGTGCATTTTTCTGTCATTTCCATGGTTCTCTACCAAAGAATTCTATGGGCAAAGAATCATTTTTTGATGTCTTGACCACCCGTGTACAAAATATAATTTTTTTTTTTTTGGGGTGATATATGTAGGAGTTTTGATGTGGAATAAAATTAGCCTAATTTCTTGTTTTCAATCCTGATGAATTCCCGCCTTTGTTCAATCAGTCTCCTATTTTCTTATAAACCACCAAATTTATGCATGGTAAGCCTTATCTTGATGATAGTTATGTTTCATCACCTCCCTCCTCCCGTGTGTTCACAACTTCACCACCAGCCTTCTTTTTATCAAAAAGATTTGATATTTAATGTGGATGAAACTTCAATTCTAGATACTTCTCATCCTCAAATTATATGGACACACAATAAACACCTGTTAAAGTGGCACATCTTCATAGTTGTCTAGCCAATGTGATGACCATTGCCTCTGCAGTGTAAAAAAATATATAATACTTCAAGCTTCCTCCTAAAGGATGTTATGCAGCTATTGGTCTGATTCAGTATGAAGTATGAACTAGGAACTAGGAACTACTTTTTGAGACGGGCATGCTTCCCTCAACGGGGTTGGCTCATGAATCCATTAAGACTGAAGGGAGAGGGCAACTCTAGTTAGGAGATTATTTGCCATATTGCAGTGACAAAGTTGTCACAGTGCTCCCTTAACGAAATTTGGAAATAACCGTATAAATAAAACTAATACTGTTACCGAATTTTAGAATAGTTCCTGCGACTCAGGTGGCAGTGTCTGTAATTTTCATATTTTGTATGAATCTGGATCATAGTAGCAGTAATTTGTTCCACGGAATGTTCAGCAAGGAATGCCCTAGAAGGGGTTGCTAGTTGGTACTAGTGTCATACAGTTGGGATGGATGGAGATGCCTCTTTGAATGTAGTTGGGTCATAATACTTGCTAGGAATGAAGAGAAAGGGCAACTTGTTGGCAGCATATACCACAGTTGGACAAAAAGATGTTTTCTACATCACATGCTTTCAATATACTCTCTTATTGATGTCCACGAGGTTAAAGGGTAGCCACCTGGTCTATCTCCAGTCTTTTCCTTCCAACATGGGACGAAGCAAGCAGACATACAGGCCTAATTAGCTGGTACAATACCGAATTCCAGGAGATTAGGCAGATTGGCATCTACTGTTATGCAAACTAAATCTATAGGCAGTGTTTCATCCCAGCGTTTGCTGTAGCAGGGAATCAAAAAAGCCCCTGCAATCCAACTACTTATCAGTATGCAACTCCTTTGTGGCTTTTATATAAAAAATTACCACCTCAGCAAACATCTTCCCTAACTACTATCAGATTCCCCACTGTCCAAAAATCATATTATAAATATCACTCAAGTGTGATCATCCTATGTGAAACTTGGAAAATTCTAGAATATCCTAGGGTATCGTGCCCCAGGATTTTTCAGCAGTTGGATGTCATGGTGGGACTCACCTGATGGATGATCCAAAGCTGGAAGACCCCGGAGTATTGTACCAATTCGGTCGGGGCAAAGCCTTACTATCTTCGGGCACTTTCAAGGAATAGTTCTTGCGTCCATGTTTGATAGATCAACTTTACCTTCAAAAACAGATTTATAATCTAGCAGGGAACTAGGGGTTTGGCAAAGTGGTATCTCCTCTTTCTTTCAAATGAAAAGTTGAAGGTTGAGTTTCCAATGGGACAAATGGGTGTTTCTGTGTGATATACCTACAGAAGAAGATGGTACCTTGCCATGTTTAGTCCTTTTCTATTCCTCTCGACAATCTTGCTCATGAGAGGAGAGGGACGATGTATTGGCTGCATTAAAACCAGTAAAATTATTACTGCACCCTCCCCTTCCATTCCATGATTTCATTTTTCTTGCAAAACAAACAAACTCTGAACCTACAATTGAGCCTAAAACCATTTTGATTCTCCTTGAGGAGAGCCTTCTCTTCCTGTTTGTTATCACTCATTCTTCTGCTTCATTGAATATTCCTCTTCCTCCGTCCCTCCATTCAAAAGATATTTTTCTATAAGAAATTCTGATATGTACAAGGACCATCTTTTATCCAAAAGATTGATCATTCCTCAATCTTGTTTGAATCCAATATCTTTTTAGCTACATTTTACCACTCCATGTAAATACATAGTCAAAACAAAAAAAATTCATAACCGATCTGCATTGAGGCTCCATTTGACATTTAGGAAAACTAAATCCAGGAAATATAATCCGTCTTCAGAGAACAGGAAATTTGAATCATTTTTCTTCTATTTTCCCTCATTAGAGCAGCTTCTATAATCTTATTTCAAGCGAGTATTTTGTAGCACAAATTAGTTGATCGCATAGCTACTACGATCATAACCACAACGCCTCATCCCCATTACTGGATTTTGTTTTCCCTCCAAACAAACGGAGCCTCCATAACTCAGCTCTCATAAATCAAAGCGGGGCAGGGGGGACACCTACCTGCCATTTTAACAATTGTACAACACACACACAAATTAATTCAAAGAAAAATAATTAGGACCAAAAAGAGGAAATAAGTGAAATTACTATACATGTTTAGTCGTCAAACCAATACAGTTTACTAGAGTTGCCAAAACACTTATAAAACTCCAAAAGAAAAAACACAGAAAACAATCACCATCTAGATGATTATTTATTCATAGTTAGATATACTTGAGTATATCACACCTCAATTATCATCCATTACTCATTAACCAAATTTCTGCTACTTTCAGTGATACCCAACAGGGGCCGGAGCTTCCTTCAGCTCATGTCCTTGATAGTGTATGTCCTGCAATTCATTTCCGACAAACCAGTAAATATCTAAAGAAAATCAAAATTAGCCAGGGAAGTTAAAAGAGATTGATCAATACCGAAGCAAAGTGGTTAACATCGCGATGATGTGCCTCGTCAGCTCTGACAACCAGGACAACATCTCTCAGGGTGGCATCAGGGGCGAGGCGCCAATAGTCAATGGCAATGGCCGGAGCAGGAACATTCTCAATGTTGCCCTTGTCCAACTCCTTGAGGAACTCGGTGTAAGAGTGGATGGCCTCCTCTTCCAAGTAGCCCACAGCGCGATGAGCCAGTTTTGGGGAGACCAAGTAGGCGAGGAAGTAGGCGTTGAAGAAAACGCCTTGGACAGTAAAGACAAGAGCGCGCTCATACCATTTTGGCTGTGCTACCTCCATGAATGTCATGAGGTGCATCCTCTCATTTTCAGCTTCTTCAAGCAAAGCTTTGATCCAACCACCGCTGTGCTCAAACCGCCTTAGTGACCTCATGTGCAGCAGCAGCCCTCCGACCATGCCAGGGACTGCAGCTACCGTTTCTAGCATCATTGCACGACACCCATACCGTCTCTACATATGCCATAAATGGAAACTGTGTCAGTTAGCAAAATTTGCTTATAAGATTGATTGGTTTATGATGATAATAGAATAATTACTTAATTGGATATTTATTTATTTTTGATGAGAGTTATCTTGAAAAATAAAAACTTTTCTTAATATTTAGAAGAACAAAAAAAGTGTGATTTTTAGGTATGGAAAATAGATTATTTAGATCCGACCTGGTTTGGTTATAGCTGAAATTTGTTATAAGATTAGGTAGAATTTGTTGTAAGAATTTTGGAACCAAAACTTGAAAATTTGTTTTCTAATGTTGTTAAAAGGAATTGTTACACACAAACACACACTATATATAAATATATATATATATATGTACTGTTCACTTAGCTATAGTACACCACCCAAAACATTACCGATCCTCTACTATCTCATATTAATACATCTAAATCAGAGAGGTTATACAACAATAATAACTTTTTTTATATATTGTTAGGTTGCAGTATGTTGCACTAACCATCAACATGTGGCAAAAAAATCCCAAATACGTTATAAATATAAAAAATTGTATATATATTTACCAACACACATGGTATTGTTGCTAACAAGGCGTTTGGGGAATTCATTTAAAAATAAAAAAAATTAAACCAATAATAAAACTGCAAATGAAATTGACAAAATTAAATTAAGAACCTGAAAAAATATGTCCGTAGGGATTCTAAGTAACTTGACGGTCCAATACGCCAACTTGTCCAGAAACGTCACCGGCGCATGATGCTTCTTCAGATCTATGGAAAGGTCCGACTGGTACGTCTCCGATGGCTTCATTTATTCATTATAAACCAAAATCAATATTCACAAAACACAATCATCTATATAAACACAAATATTAAATATACACATACATATATAAATATATATATGTATATTAAATATACACATACATATATAAATATATATATGTATATTAAATATACACACACATATATATATATATATATATATATATATATTGCAGGTGTCATCATATACTTACCCTAAAACAGTTCCAAGGCCACTCCGAACCGTCCTCCTTTTTAACCTTTGGAGGCTGAATGCCCCAATAACTCATAATGGCTTTATCATCCGGACTGCCGGCGGCGCCACCTGCCGAACCGGTCTGTGGTTTCTTCTGATCCTCACCCAGTGCCACAGTACTCTCTCTGCGAACACCGATAGTCGGAGCTCTGATCCAAGTCAGAACATTACTGTCCGGAACTTTAAAACGATCCACGGGAATTCTACCATTAGTACGGGTAACAAGTCCGGCGAGTGAGTCGTTGGCTGCTGTACGGATAGTTGCAGTGAAGAAGAAGCGTGGGCCCACTTGACCCATTACCGATCTGGCCACCTTCGTCGCACCGCGACTCATCATCTTGCCTGATTCAATCACCAAGATCAAGAAACGCCCAAAAACTTGGAACGAAGCGTGTTGAAGAAAATTGGTTTAATTGCTGCAGGTTTGTTAAGTTGTTCACGACGTCTGTGTGAGTTGTACCGACTTATATATATACGGTGTAAATGTATATATATATATTATATATATAGATGTGTATGTATGTGTATAGGTGATGTGTATGGCTGGGAAGGCGGTGGGAATGGAATCACTTGAAACAAATTTCCAAATTTGACCGTAGAAATATGGTATGAATTGACCGTTTTTAATGTATATCTTATTCTAGAGAATTCGGAAGTGACAAAAATATCCTTGGGAACATGGCAAGGATAGCAACTAAGAATGTAGTGCTGGGGTATTTTAGTATTTGAATACTGGGTTTCTAGAAAGAAAGAAATTGTTGCCTTTTATTGAACGAAAGTAGGGGTCTTTTGAATTTTAATATTTTTCTTGGGGGCCAAGTTTTACAAAAGATGATTTGGTCCGTCGTCATTGAAGCAAGCTTTGCCAACTAGGCAATTTTCTATATGTTGACATAGTCAACTAGGCAATTTTCTATATTTGAGGAACGTGTCCGAATCGAAACTACATTGTTTCATTGTTCTCTAGAAAATTCCATACTCCACCGCCTGTAATTTCGGGGCACTGAAACGAACTCAATAATAAAGGATTTTGCATCCTCTCAAGCTAAGTCACGCGACCCTCAACAGGTATTTCTATCACATTTTAAGTGCATTCTTGTATATTTGTGGTGCTTTTATTCTTATTGTCACTATTTGTGACTTAATTTTATTATTTTCTCGTTCTCGAATTCGCTTTTGTTTCCGTCTTTACTTGACGTGACTTGATATTTTTGTACTCAAGAGGTCTAATATGCTATCAATACTGGTGATTGTCATTATTAAGTAGAATATATATTTTTTAATGGGCATTAGCTAAATTTTAAAATATTTATTTATTTATTTATTTACATTATTAAAGTGAATATTGTGTTACTCCCCTTACAGCTGTAACTAAAATGTAGAGTTCAAAATGGTTGTGTGATTTTATTATCAAAATAAAAATAACATCATTTTTTTTCAATTACACTACATTTACCTTTTTTCTTTTTAAGAAAATGACAAGAAGGTCCTTGAATTCATTAATGCATTATCTCTTAATTTATAATGTCATATTTACCCTTTATAAAACTTTAATATTTTTTTACCTTCTTTAATTTATTTATTTCTTTTTTTCTTTCTATTTGTTTTTTCTAGAGGTTCTCTCAAAGAAAATAATTTATTTCATACTAATAATTTAATTTTTGATGGTCAAAATAAATAATTTATTTCATAATGACTTTTTTTTTTTTTTTTTTTTTTCTTTTGTACAATTGAAAAGGATATTATTCGTTAACTTTTTTTTTTTTTTTTTTTATGGATCTTGTCAAGAGAAATAATTTATTAGATAAAAATAAATTTTTTTTTTTTTTTTTTTTTTTTATGGATCTTGTCAAGAGAAATAATTTATTAGATAAAAATAAATTTTTTTTTTTGGCTTATCAAAAGAGATAATTTATTCAATATATATATATATATATATATATAATCCTCTTCTTTTCATACTTTTTTTCTTTTCTTTTGGGGATGTTGAAAAAAAATATAATTTCTTCAATAAATATTTTTTTTTGGTTTTTCATGTCAAAAAGATAATTTTTTTAATGGTTGTTTTTTATTTTTTTGGTCCAGTAAAAAGAGTCAATTTATTCAACATAAATTTTTATTTCTTGGTCCGTAAAAAAAAATAAAAAATAAAAAATAAAAAAATAAAAATTATTCAATTATTCAATTAATTTTTTGTCTTGTCAAAAGAGACCTAAAATAATAAAGATTAGACATAAGGAGAAGGAGAAGAAATCTAAAAGGACAATTTTGTCATTTTAAAAGTAATAATTATTTACTTGTAAAATTAGGGTTAAAATTATCATTTCATTTAAGATTGTTGTATAAATTAGACCAAAAGTTGTAACACAATCTGGTGGTACTTTTTTACATTTTCAAATAAAATTGAGATATTTAAGGGATAGAATCATAGAAGTGAACGTGTGAGTTTTTTCTTTTCTTTTTTTGTTAATGTCAGATCTATTTTAGATGAGAGTAGAATAAAAGTTTTTCTAATTTAAGTAATTAGATTACATAGATTATTGCAAAAAGAAAAATAAACAAAAATAAGAACTTTGAATTGTCAATTTTTAAAAATACCCAAAGAGAATACTCTAATTATTAAAAAAAAATTATCAGGACTGTGTAGCTCTAGTGGTTACCTATTCACCTTACAATGTAAAAAATTGAGGGTTCAAGTCTCCATAATAGTACAGGTAGATGTGTGATTGTATTTCTTGACATAAAAATATATATATATAAATAATTTCTAAAATAGTCTAGGCCATTTGTTGTGATGGGAAATTAATAGTATATCCATTTGTCAAACAACATTGTTAGTCACAAGTGACTATATTTTAGTTAGTTTTCTAACTCCAAACTAACAGAAGGGATTAAATATTGTAAAAATTCAAGGAGTATTTTTTTTTTTTCAAAATTTAAATTTCAAAGGATATGTTTAGGGAAAAAAAAAAAAAAAAAAGTTTTGAGGTGATTTTTTGCATTTTCCCCCTTAAATTAATATTAAATTTACATGTTTTACCCTTTGGTGGCATTATATTACTGATAGACTCGTTAATAGATTTGGATCAAATCAACTTTATTCGATAAGAAATATTTGATATTTGTCTTCCAATCCAATTTGATTTTCTAATAATATTGGATATTACTGTATATATATATATATATTTTGTTAAATAAAATAAATTTTGAAAAAGACAGGGATTAAAAAAAAAAAAACAAGAAAGAAAAGCAAAAACGGATTTATAATTATTTTTTTGAAAAACCACCAAAGCCGCGGTCCTGTGGAGGCTTCAAGTCCCAGAAGGGACAAACTACGGGACAAGTAGGTTTGTGTTTGTATTTCTTGACAATATATTTTTTTTTAAATAAAAAAATAAGAGAGATGAAGAACGGAAAGAAATTGGGAAAAATTTAGATACTTAAGAGTTACAAACACACAGACTTTACTGTTTTGGTATTTTTTTTTTTTTTTGTGAAGTTAGCATGTTTTATTTACTTCATTAGCTTGTTTAACCTACATATTATTGAAGACTAATAATATTAATAAGAAATTCTCTTATGACAAAAAATTAGAGAAAAGAAAATTCGATAATAATAACAATAATAAATATATAATTAAATAAAGTGCAGGTTCAAGGGATCAAGTTACCAATCCCCAGCTCAACAGCCTAAGGGTTTAAGTTTTCAACTCCAGATCTCCAAATACCATTTGCTAAGATCATGTCCAACACAAGAACCTAAAATACATCATTCAAGCATACAGAATTCATAACAGACACAATACCACTACAGAAGCTGATAATGTTCAATATTACTATTATTTTTTCCACAATTTCTTCAAATAGAAGTTATTAGGAAGCAGCTCGCAGTTTCATGACATCAACTAGAAGCAGCAGCTTCTTCCAGTAATTGTTTCACCTTCGTAATATAATCACTCATTGCTTCCTCTTTCGATTTTCCTGCCATTAGGGTAATAAAATCATAATGAGCAGCCTCTTAAACTCGACCAAATAAAAGATCAATTTTTTATGTCCGCGTCTCCATAGATCAGCATATCAGATAGACAATTATTCAAATAATTAATATGTCCGAGTACCTTCAACAGCCTTCCACGCATCCCATTTAGCCCTGTCCCTCATGTTGAACATACCAGGACGACCTGCAAATCATAAGCAATAACGAAAGGTAAGATTCAACTGAAAAGCAATAACAAACTGTTCTTCCTTGTAGAAGTGTATTTAATGGGAGCAAAGTACGAACTGGTGTCCACAGGTCCAACAGTGGCTTGCTTGTACAGTCCATACAAAATAAGCTTGTTTTCGTTGCTAGTATTCTCAGGCAGGGTCATAGCTTTCTGAGCATGTTCCTCAAATTCCTCCTACACAGGTCATAAAATGATATTGATATCTTAGTGGCATATCTGAAACTGTAGGAACTAAAAATACATACAATGTTTATATACAAAGCATCAAGGATCAATATGAGATAACTGAACCTCAAAAAAGTGTGTCCCCAACCAAGAAAATTGATATTCAGTACATACTCTAGCTGCTAAAAGCTAGTCTCTTCTAGTCCATGGGCAGACAATCCTATTCCAGAATCAGTATTCTCGAGCAAGGACCTAAAACCTAACTGCAGAATTATGTCTCTCTCATTGCAGCCACTCACACCCAACTTTAAGCCAAAAAAGCTATTTTGAATAGCACAAGTTAATTCAGCCAAAATGAAAACCAAATTATTGGTAACCTAACATGTTTCCGTGGATCCAAGAAACCGAACATCATGTAATAGGAATTCCAAAATATTACTGAATTGCCTCAAACAAGATATGCCCAAATTTGTAAACTGTGAACTTGGAAATGATGAAAGGATCGTTTTATTAATGAGTTTATTAAAAGCACATATTATTACAGACTTCCAGTTTCAACTATGAAAGTAGAAAAAAAGAAAGAAAGAAAGAAAGGGCAAAAAATAAAAAATAAAAATAAAAATAAATAAATAGAACACGGATTATCAAGGTGTTTAGATTCTATGGCTTCTAGAATGATAAACGAGTTTGTTAAGCTGGATACCATGGAAAATATCCTATCAAAGGAGCCTCAACAATTTAGCAGTGAAAAAACAATAAGAAAATTTTGCGGAAGGATAAGCAGATCAAAGAACCAAAAGATTAATTTATGATTGCCACAAAATGTTTATAATCTTGCGTTATGCATATAGGTACACAAGTTCCAAGACAAGGGAAGTTTTTGTTCTAGAATACCATGTTTTTCCTATTTTAAAAAAAAAAGGAAATGACCATAACAAATCAACAACTCATCAGAAATAGGATGATGCACTTAGTCAAATGCTATTATGCTTTTACATTCTTTGCTCTGACAATAGTAAATTTTCATAATTATAATTTATATGTTCAGTATTTGTTTTCATTATTCATCTATTGGTTAAAAGAAAAACACTTACACTAGGAATGATTCAAATTCCAACTATATTATCTATATAAGCATGCATATGCCTTCTACCACATTTATGGTATGTGGCAATTCACTTCTTCGTTCCCATTCCATGTACCATAATGGTCGGCCAGGTAGAATATTGAAAGATAAGGTCCAATGAATGCCAAAGGAGATAGATTGAAATTTATGATGAGCTAAGACAAGAATTTGTAGTAGAAAAAATGTCAAAACAACGAAATTGAGGGGAAAAGTCTCTAGAATGCAATTTTCATAATTATTAAGGTTAGAAATGCCAGCAAAAAGGACGCAGGATGATGATCACAGATCATATGTCACAATGAGACGGATCCACAATCATCATCATCATCCTTGCCTTTCTCCCATACAAAGGGGGTCGGCCACATGGATCCTCTTTTTCTGCTATTTTCTATTATAAGCCATATCTCCTACTAGATTTACTTTTTAAAAATCATTTCACAATCAAAAGGACTAATCACGTGTGTTCCCTGCACCCACTATCACCTAGTACAGACCCAGTGTGGATGGCAATGGGGCATCCGTGATATACAAATGCATACTTATACACATATATATGCAAACATAAGTATAAACATCGGCCAAGCCACAAGGAAAGAGATAGATGAGCAAACTAACTACATGATATTATAAAAAAAAAAAAACAACCAGAACAAGACAGATCCGTTAAAAGAACAAAATGAACAATAGAGATTTAAAAAAACAAAAAAATCAGAACAAGACATATCAGTTAAAAATAAAAAAACAAACTATGACATTTTCTCCACAGATTCAATTGTGGATCATAATCAGCCCAAAAAAAAACCTTAGAGATTGGACAGGAAAAGACTCATTTTCCCACAAATCAATGTTATACAATGAGATCAATCACCCAGATCTGAAATACAACTACTATTGTTATTTTAACAGAGACAATCAAATCTAAAACAAAGAAAAAAGAATAACACCATTTTGATTTCAATTTTAAACACAAAAAAAAACATGTTAATAAGGAAACAAGAGATTACAAAAAAAAAAAATATATATACTTGCGTCAAATCGATTTGTAACGAGTGATATGGAACACTAAACAAGCAAATCCAAACGTTAATATTGAATGATTTAATTTGAATTGCATACTAATCAAACCTTCAAACCCATCTTCTCTTCTCTGAATCCTCCGATCTGCTTCGCTCTCTATACCACGGCAAAGTGTACTGCGGAATAGACGTGAATGTGATAGTTAAATATACAGTCCAATAGCCTGTGGGGAACGGAATTTTTAAAGAAATACAATTAGTGAACCATAAATACAAATTTTTTTTTATTTATTTCAAAAATACATTTACATATACGTGTCAATAAATATGCACATATTATATACTTGTATATTATTTGTTTAAGTTTAATATATTAGTTATTATTTTTATACTTCTTTTTTTTTTTTCATTCATTTTCCAAATATTAAATCAAATTAAAGAATGGTGAAATGAATTCCTGGTTGTAAAAAGTGCAATTAGACATTTATAGAGCTGTATATCTATTTGTTTAGATATATATATATTTTAATCTCACCTATTAATATATAATTTTAGCGAGGTATATAGTGCATTAATATGATACTAGTATTATTGAGCCATTTTTAAATTTAAAACTAGACAGCTTTCATACATTTGCAATTGATTTTAGCCATTTTGGAACTTTTCTAATTTTATGTGATTTTCTATACAGTCGGATTGAATTAATGCCTTGTTAAAAAAAAGAAGCTCCCCCCCTACTTGGACACACACAAACATACACACAGTTCACAAATTAAAGTGTTCAAGAACACCCAACCAATAAAGAAGATGCACACACACTACATAGATCAACTGATCCAAGTACTATATAATAGTATTCTCTCAGAATTTTTGATTTGACACAGCGAATATGTATGAATAAAAGGGGTGTGTGACGAATTGACACATCATAATGTTACACGTACTGAGTTAATGGTAATAAATATTGCTCGCTTCTGTAACCGAAAAAACCAGTAGCCGTTCAATAATTCAACTCAGTCGTTGGAACACATTAAAGAAAGAAATTTTTGGTAGCACTCTCTTTTTTATTTTGTCCTGTAATAAAATAAATAAATAAATAAAAGAGTGTTGCTATTCCAATACTAGTGATAGATTAGGAAAAAGGCCCCTTTTTTTTTTTTTTCAAAAAAAGGGTCCATTTCCAAAAACTTCCCAAACTCAGCACAGGACAATGTAATGGCCTCTACACCTACCATCTTAATATGTATGTACAGAATTAACAAGAATTAAACACAGACCAAACCACTACAGCCCTGGGTCTGGACCATATGGTGAGGGGGTTTGTAACCACCATATCATTTCATAGAATTTTGAAAATTTTCTATGATGTTCTCAACCAATCCAAAACTCAACAGAGCTTACCATTTGAGATCTACTACACAGAATCATGTTTTGCTTCGACCATTACTTCGTTTAAATTACAAGCTACAATATGGAATCATGTTTTACATCATCTCTCATTATCTCAATACATTTCAATTTTTATTTCTTCAATGTAGATCATATTATCCTCCTTACTGTATCATATTCTTAAAATTAAAGAAAAAATAAATACACAAACCGAAATTCAGAAGAAAAAAAAAAAAGATGATACGATATACCTTTTGGGTACTTAGCCATATTATCCTCTTTACTCTATCAAATTCTTACAATTAGGTAAAATAAAGAAATACATAAGCCGAAAAAATAAAAAAACTAATACACGAGAACAATATACCTTTAGGTTTCAGCACCTCTTCTGTAACATATTGGAGAAAATGAATGTGAACAAGGCACTCAGGAGAGCTATAACAAAAAGGATATACCTTTTGAACACGGATGTTACCAACAATGTTTTCAGTATTCCTTCAGCAACATATTAATCATATTACAATGCAGCGGCAAAAAATTGCAGATCCAATTTGAAGGGAAAAGATGTCAAGTACAGAGGAAATCTTCTATTCAATGCTGAAAGGCATACCTTTTTTATTTTTTATTATTATTATTATTTTTTTCGAATGGCAAAGCGAACAAGCACCCCCATATTTTGCCCCCACCAAGGTCGACACTCAACCTCCCCTTAGGGGAGGGAGAGCTTATACCATTTAGGATAGAGCCTATTGGTTGAAAGGCATACTTAGCCATCTATGGACTTTTACTTTCAAAAAATAGCTGTATTCTGACCATTGGCATATGTTGAAACAGAAGCTTCATCCCTTTTAAGGACTTCTTCAGGCAACCTGACCCTAAAGACGGCATAGTGATGATTTAAGCTTTTCTCCCCTTGTAATCTGTAAACACTTCCCAATGCACCAGCATTTGGGTTTGGGAAAGCATAAAAGATACGCCTGATTCTTTGATGGACAAGTGCCATAGCACACCTTCACTCAGAAATATAAGAGAGACGTTAGAAAATTGGAGATCACTTGCAAATTTAGAATAATGAAACAAAGAGAAAGAATCACTTAAATTTTAGAATAATCAAACACACACACACACATAGAATGTTCATTGACACTTAAGTAATTGCATCTACATCTTCTTCATTGGAATGTTCATTGACCTGTATGTTTTTATTAAAAATTGAAGTTTCATGTGGAAGTTGTTCCCATTAACTTGTCCAGATGAAGGGAACAGGTATCATTTTAGTTTTTCAAAAATTATACCCCGATGCAGCAAATAAGGTGATTCATAACAATAAAGCAAGTGAAAAGAATAATTAGTTTCACTTTGCAGTGCCCATTACGCTATACAGAGAATATCTGAATAAGGTGATTCAAACCAATAAAGCAAGTAAAAAGATGGATTGAATAATTTAATAGACCCCTAATGTCAATCAGGGTTCAACAAGGATGATGCATTGGTTGCCGGATCTTCCTTGGATGGCTAACACACTTATGGAGGAGAGTCAGGAGACTAGGGATAAAAATGAAAACTAAGACATGCCAGCAACAAACAGATACAAACCTGAACATTCTAACCCTACATTACTGCACGCACATGTTCCCAGTCACGCACGCTTGCAAAAGAGACCGGGGAGAAAAACAGAGATCAATGGCAATTCAAATAATTACTATCCTTTAAATTCTTTTCACACATGAATCCTGATGATTATCAAGACATTTATGTGCTTTACTGTATGCATGCATGCACCCAACAAAACTACATAAAAGTAAACTCATCACATTGAAGTCCCTGATACCAAAACATATGTATGTATTAAATTCTTACTTCAAAAATCATCCAACCCATGAGCTAAATTTTCAACCAACCAACCACTTGCTACTAATGGCCTCTAAATGCATTATTATTTCCCAAGCTTGGAATCTACCAGTTAAAATAAGGAGAAAAAAAAAAAAAAAAAATGAAAATTAGAAGAAGGTTATTAAAAATGTTTAAAAAGATTCCTCATAAACAATAAAATAATATAACAAAATGGATGAAGATGGTAATTCAGGTTTGAGGGCTTACATTGGACATGGTTCCCAAACAAGGTAGATGTCATAACCAGTACACAGATAAGGTCTGGCTATCTTGGACGAAAAACCTTCTGTATCCACATTTTCTTCATCCTCAACCTGAAACAGGACAATTGAATACTGTCATTTCAATTTTTAAGCTCCACTATTTTGCCAAGAGAAACTTTTTTTTTTTTTTTTCCTAGTTGGTACTCACACACACTTGTCTCTTCTGAGACTTGAACCCCTGACCTCCCTTTGGAAAGTAAGAGGCTGATACCGCTAGGCCACTGGCCCGTTGGTTCCAAGAGAAACTTTAAGAAATCTGTTTGAATGGTTTAACAGAATAGTCCACAAAAACACAACTAAATATCAACGTTTGATCAAATGGATGAATGAAGCACCAGAAGATCAGATTAGGAGATTAAAATCTGGGTTGAATTTGAGTCAAATTTCTCTGTAAATATAGCAATAAGTTTGAGAAAAAGCCTAAAGTTGCTTTCTTTCTTTCTCTCCTTCCTTTTTTGCAACACAGAACATTATTCTAATGGGCCTGAGTTGGCTCCAACTTAGTAGGCTATCCAAAAATGTTTCTCTACCAGTCAGACCCCTTCAGTGTTTTCCTTAGATAAGATCAGCATAACAAAATCATCCGGTAGGAGAAGAGAGGATGTAGCTCACATTTGCATGATTGGGCTTCTGTCTTTTTGCCGGAGAGCCTGCCGGAGAAGACAAGTGATCCACTTGAAATGACTTATCTCCAATATGTTCCAAACCCGGGAAAAGGCGTCTATCCCTCGCAGCAGAATATTCAATAGCTATAATAGCAGCATGTCGTAAAGGGTGCCTGTAACAAGAATCTAAATGTAATTGTTGCTCAGCCCACTGCCAAGGATATAAACAAGATACACTGGTGTACAACTGTTCACGTCCCTCTGATAAACAATTTGAGAGCAGAGTATTATGGCTTGCTACTCCATTGGAAACCGGACAAGAAGTAAAGACTTCTGGCTTTTCAAGGCAGCTTGTTTCCACAATGGTCTTGTTCATAGGAGTATTCCAAGAATGGATTTGATCGCGTGCACTTGCAATTACCCCCTTAACTGAAGGATCAACTATAACTGCAGCATTGCCGACCTGCAAAGAAAGAACAAGGGAGGTTAAGAATCACCTGTGTAAGTCTCCACTGCATTTGAATGAATGATAAGAAGTTGTAAATTCCCTAAATTAGCTTATATGAGTATCAAGTCTAAGGATAAAGATAAGTTATCCAGAAGAACAAGGAGAAAAATAATCTTTGGAGTTCCCAGCTCTACAAAAATCTGGTGGTGAGACCCACATATAGCCCACTTAGAGTATTCTCAAAAGGCAAACCAATAACAAAATCATATGAAGGTATGTTTTGTTCCAACTGTATGCTTCAATAAAGCATAAAAAGGCAATCTAGCCTTAAAAAACATAAGGTGGCAAAGCCCTACTTACAATCCAATCTAACAAAAAGCTGCCTAATAGGAGTTGGTTTGGCCAAATTACTCACAAAATAGAGCATTAGGAAAATCACATACTCGTAAAAGTAATTCAAGCATGAGTTTTAGTTCACCTAACAGAAACTAATAACAAAATAATGTTGGCAACGATACAAAATCAATAACTTTGATATTGTGGACATGCTCAAATTGGCCCAAACCTCTACCTGAACAACGAAGCAAATCTTTTAGTGGACCAAAAAAATTGTTTATTGCAGAAACACACTATAAAAATATCACCTAAAAATATCACCTGACAATCACCAGATTTTGCCAAGTCAATAGAAAACATCATGAAGCTTAAAATTGATTGGGAGTCCTCTTCATTGAATCCGGTAATCCCGTCAATGTTGCTGCAATTGAACGCAGATGAAAGAAGTCAAAAATAAGGATTTCTATAAATCACAAAATTATTTTGTTCAATAATTTCAAGGACAACTCTATCTACGCCATGTTTAGTGCCTTATGTTTACACAGCCGGTCCAAAGCCTGAAAAAAGGATTGTTGTGTTAAGACAAAAAATTAGGAGACTTAAATATACCCTTCTAATTACTTGTAATTGAGTTATCAGCAAGGAGCCTTATTGTGATTGATCAAGATTGACTGAATTTTCTCAAAAGTCATTCATTATTGATTCTACTTCAAAGGAGCATTGGATCACTAAAAAGATGGTAGATTGTTTAAGGAGCAATCGTGTTTGATTTCAGCTGCTCATTTGCAAGATTGTGGGAGTGAATCTGAGGTCAGCAATAACTTGGCTCGTGTGTGTTCAGTAGATAACCAAGACTAAGTCTGAGATGGTCAGCAACCATGTATTGGCAAAGGTGATCTGAGCACAAGTCTTGAGTCAAAGTTGGTGTACTTTCTTCGAAATGGTGAATTGCTTTGCTCTGGATAAGGTCCCGTGGTTTTTCCTCGCTGAGGTTTTCCACGTAAAAAATCTGGTGTATTTGCTTTATTTGCTCTATTTAATTGTCCGGTTGAATTATGTATGGTTGATTTAGGTAATAAGTGTAAATTAAATAAGAAAAATTAATCAGTCACAAAATTAAGCAAGGAGACCTAATAACCCCCTCTAGGTCTATAAGTATTCACTAGATCACATTATCTCAACTAACCACATTTGCAGAGTGCAACTCTCACTTGTTATCAGAGCCTAGCATCTGGTATTATTGTTTCCTTCAAGTTCTTTACCATATTAACCAGGACAAAGAAGTATGTGATCAGATATTTTGCTGCAAAATATCTGTATTTACCTCATCATTCTAATTTCTGTAAGAACAAAAAGTACCAAAAGTATCATACTTGGCACTTTTCATTTATCATTGAAGACTATTCAAATGTAACTCAGTTTTGAATTTTGCCAAGCAAACATGGAGGTAACATAAAACAAACTACTAGCAAAAGCTAGTATGATGTGATATATCTTACTAGGTAGGCGGATGATATGATATTGGCCACAGCTTGCATTTTTCTTTCCACTCTTCGTTTGATGATGCAGCATATTTGCATACCTAATATTAAGTAAGTTGAATGTAAAATGTTGTCCGCATTAGAACAAAAGACTGTCCAAAAAGACACAAAATTGTAGCATCATAAAAGAATATTAATGATACTAACTATATAAAATTCCTATAATTTTCATATTACAAGAGAAAGAAAAATTATAAAATTATTTTCAATAACAAGCCCTTTCAAAATTTCAACCATCATGAGAGTTCTCTTTACAAAATATCAAGTATTTCATCAGAAACTCAAAGATAAAAAAATTGATTTCAATCAAGAGTCAAGATCAAATTGATGCCATTACCAAATAAGCGTCGAGCAGCTGAGCCATGATCTTAACTTAAAATAGAAGAACCAGGATACCAATCGTAGTCTGATGTTACTTGAAAAGGAAATGCTAATAATGTTAACAAGAATGCCAGCATGTCCAAAAGTCAATCACAGTATGGTTTGTGCAATTCCATTACAGCAAACTAGAAGAACTTTTTTTCTCCTAATAATTAAATGAGAGCATATGACAAGATCTAGGAGCAAGGCCAATCATATATAAAACATAGACTTTGTACCATGCATGGCATGAAGTACGTAAGTTAGCAATACAAAGCTTCAAAGTATATTAAGCATCAAATCTCTCCTAAATGATAGATGGATACATAACGATATAGTTTAATATATCTCCTTAAGTTTTTCAACAGGTAGCCAATTGTCCTCAAAAGGCATCCTCTTTTGCTCCGCACAAATGCATAAATTAAAAATAGAAATCATTCTTTTAAGAAAGAAAAGAGAATTCTATTAAAGATGCTTATGCTATTATTCACCCCAACCAACAATCCTCTGAGAGCTCAAACACATGTCGGAAGATTGGGCTCAGGCAATGAACCTAAAGAGGCCTTCTATAACTCTTGAGCAATTGCATAAGAAATGGAGATTATCTACTAAACTTGTAGCTAATTGGCTTTATCTATGCAGGAAAACCTAGGGTTCTTGATGACTTGAACTCTAGGAATGAACTACGAGGGAAAAGTGAAAGGGAAGCAATTTAATAAATTAATAGATTTCAAGTCTCACATTCAAATCTTAGTAAAATAAAATTACTAGTAAGACTTGGTCTTATTTGGTCAGCCACATGAATTTTCCTTTTCCATTCCTTTCTATTATAATTCATGTCTCCATGTTTCAATCACATTTTCATGCATGCCTAAACCTCTATTACATGCACATATCCTAATTTGATTAAAATTGCTGTTAAGTTCACTTACCTCAACAAGGCTTCTTCACGTGACTTGAACTTCCTGACCTTGAAGCACTCAAGTCCAAACTCACTTTGAAATTTATAGTCCAACATGCAATGACTTTGTAATTTATTTTGACTCAACTGCCCAACACCACATCCATTTTTCAGTATAGTTAGCTACTTGACCCAACTATTGGGTCTAAATCAAACAGCAACTAATCAAGGACAGTCACAATGCTAACCGTCTTTCTAAAATCTAAAATTTTCACAGCCAAACATGCCTTTTGTGATTTGGTAAGGTTCTGTTCTCCCTCACTGCTACTGCAATCGGCCTATCTTCACACCTATTTTGTCTATCCAGTGGTCCTCATTTACAAGTCCAACTATGATGTCTCACACGTCACCAGGGGGGTTGTTGGTACTTGTATGTGTGGGCATCTCCTAACTGTGTAGATGCGTTTTGAAAACCGTGAACACAAAGAGTGTGCAGAGCGGACAATATCTACACAGCGAGGTGGGTTGTAACAGCCCATCCACCACATGGTATAATATTGTCCGCTTTGGGTCCGAGCCTGTACGATTTTGTTCTTGGACTTTATCCTAAAAAGTCTCATACCATTTGGAGATTACCAATCTAATATCGTTCATCCGTAGCCTGCCAGTGCCTCGCATCTGCCCACAAAGTCGCCACAATCCACCCCCTAAGAGGCCCGACTTCCCCATGGCACACTTTCGATTAGGTCAAGCTCTGATACCATTTATTTTTTTTGATAAGTAAGAATTTTATAAAAAAGCGCTCACAGGGGAGCGAAACCCAAGAAAACAAGAAGAAAAAACCACAAAGAGCCTCAAGCCTTCAAAGAGGCCAAAAACATAACAATCTCCTCAACAAAACGATAATCTCTCCCTGAGACCCAACAAAAGAGAGTAGAAATAATAGAAAACTTAAGCATAGAAATGGGTTTCTCCTTGCCATCGAAGTATCTTCGATTCCTCTCGAACCAAATGCACCACCAAACACAAAGAGGGGTAGCCCTCCAAGCATCCCAGATGAGCGCCCCAACAGAGACACCTCTCCAAGCCTCAATCAACCCTCTAGAGGAGCAGGGCATAACCCAGGGAACCCCAAACAACCCAATCATCAAATCCCAACAATCTCTGGTCAAACTGCAGTGCAACAGAAGGTGATCCACTATCTCCTCATCGCAACGACACAAGTAACAGCGATTGATAACCACCTGCATTCTTCTCCTCAAATTATCTTGGGTTAAAATCCTACCCAAGACAGATGTCCAAGCAAAAAAAGCCACCTTAAGGGGAGCCTTGGAACGCCAAACAGCCTTCCAAGGGAAAGTGCCACCCTCCCCATCAGAAAGGCACCTGAAAAAGGATCTCACCTCGAAACGACCCTGAGAGTGTGGACTCCAAAGCCAACAATCAGCCTCCTCATGAGAGATCACCTGACGATACAGTAACTCCAAAAAACGAGTGACCTCCTCAATTTCCCAGTCCTGAAAATACCTCCTAAACTGAACGTCCCAAGTTAGTTTTCCGTTATCAAGGTGATAACAGTCAACCACCAAGGCCTGCCTGTCAGAAGCAATCCTGTAAAGCCGAAGGAAAGAAAGAGCAAAGGGAAGATCCCCACACCAAAGGTCCTCCCAAAATCTGATCCTCCTACTATCCCTGATCCTAAAGCGAACATGATTACGAAAAACGTCCCATCCCTTTCGAATGCAAGTCCAAACCCCCACACCCCTAGGATCACGCCCCTCGAGAGAACACCACCCACCACTGATTTCCCCAAACTTGCTGGCAATAACTTTCCTCCAAAGCCAAAGTCTCTCAACCCCAAATCTCTAAAGCCATTTCCCAAGAAGAGCCTTATTGAAAGGCAACAACCTTCGAATCCCTAATCCTCCACTCCGAAGGGGACGACACACTTGCTCCCATCGAACCAGATGATATTTGAACTCCTCTCCTCTCCCTCCCCAAAGAAAATTCCGCTGCAAACTCTCAATTCTCTCCGCCATCGAAGAAGGAATCTGAAAAAGGGAGATAAAATAGGTGGGAAGGCAAGAGAGAGTGCTCTTGATCAGAGTGACCCGCCCCCCTTTGGAAAGGTACTGCTTCTTCCAACCTGCCAGCCTCTTCTCAAATCTATCCACCACCGGATCCCAACTTATATGATATTGTCCGCTTTGAGCCCAAGCTCGCACGGTTTTGTTCTTAGGTTTTACCCCAAAATGTCTCATACCATTTGGAGATGGAACTAGTACATATAAGCACTTAATCTTCACCTTACCCAGGCGATATCGGATTGTGCACCTGTAGCGTGCCAGTGCTCAGTAGCCTTTACCTTACCCAGACAATGTGGGATTATGCACCCGTAACCTGCCAACACAGTAGTCTGCCAGTGCCTCACACCCGCCCACCTATTTTGAAAAACTTTAGGCAAAAAATATGCAAAGCGGATAATATCTAAACAATGAGGCAGGTCTTGACAATAACACACCTTATCTTCCTCTTCACCTGGCTCTATGTACCTCCTGCCCCTACTACTTCAGATTTAGATGTTAAAATTTTCCCAACTAGGAATCTCGATCAATCGCATCCCTGCACCAATCAATTTCATCAACAAAATTGAACCTCCCACTCCCTCACTTAGATTTGAACTAATCAGAAATTTTCTCTAGTTTGACATTCTATCATCTGCTCAATACGCCAACTATCACCCCGCACCCCACCCCACCCCCCCAAAAAAAAAAGTTCCAACATGCAAATGTGGTGATGATCTCAGTCCTACATCCAAATTTTCATTATGCTTGGTCTCTTGTTTGAAATGACACTTCTCTGGCCAAAAATCACCAATCTAGAAACATCAGCAATAAGTATCACTAGGTTATTTTCCACCAAACCCTTCTCAGCCTCCTCTTGCAACTAAGATTCAAACAAAACAATGCTCCATTAAGCTCCATCGCCTTCCTACTGGTACTTTCCATCTCCAGTTCACATAATATTGCACTTTTGTCCTCTTAGGCCATCAGACGTCCACATCCACAGAAGTCTTCTTACCAACCACCTGCATGTGAAGATGATTCTGTCCTTACAAGACTTGTAAGCAACCATGAAGTCATACCATTCCAAGCAAGCAAACTTCTCAACGTTAAGGGAAAGCTACAGCAAAGTTACAATTTCTGGTACGTATAAGAAATTCCTCCCATCCCACTTTCTCCCTATCTTATGAAGGCCTCCAAGTGTCCAGAATGACCCAATAATGACTGACTAACCCCACCCTGCATCACTGCAGGGATTGACATGAAGCCACACCTCTCCTCCTTTATTTAATACATAAACCATCCACCCACCAACTTGTATTTAACTGCAAGCTATGGCCAAATGAACCACATTGTTAACCATTCAAATGAAACCTTGACTGGCTAGGAACGTGGAAGCTCTCTCCATAACATAAACACAAGAAGACAAAAAAGTAGCATGCAGAGCAAGTATTAATTAGAACACATAAATAGCATAAATCTACCGAACCAAAGAAAGAACTCTCTTTACCACCATCCAATTTTCATCCTGAAAGGGCCCATTACACCTATGAGGCCTGAAAATGTCTGTACTAATACTTGCACCTTTCAATGCCAATTATAATTACACACATCTCAATATTGGTAATAGCTTTTTTTCGATAAGTAATACTGGTAATAGCTTTAACAAACTTATTAGTAAAACTAAATAATAAAAATTCCTACTCATCAATCCAGCGAGATAATTTAACTAGAGATGTCCTTAAAATAAAAATCAAAGGGCAAATTTGTTTGTTATCCTGGCCATTGGACTGAAAAATAGAAAAGAAAAAACAAAAAAAGAAAAGGATGTACAATTTATTTATGGGGAATGATTCATTGTCATATAATACAATAGTTTTTTGATAAGTCATACAATAAAATAATATACAAGACAAAAGGATGACCCACTTGCGTGATGAAAACATTCAACTGGTAGGAATTGATCAGCTTGACTACGTCATCTGGCATGCTGTCCCGTTGATTGTCACTTTCAGAAGTGAGACATAAGATTACTGATAACTGCGTTTTTCCTGTCAAATAATCCAACTATCACCACTATATTTGGGAGTCAATGGAATTATAAAATCTCAGCAAACAAAGGGCAGAAACATACAGAATTGTTTTTAAAAGAGTGTTTTACTTTTTCCCCATAGCAAATCAGTGGAAAGCCAAACTGCAGAGTTCCTAAAAAAATTAGAAATGATCTACCAACATGAAATAAATCTAGAACAAGTAATAAATTACTCTTCCCAAGACTTGAAAGAGAGAAAGGAATGATGCGCTTTTACTGGTTAATAATATATTTATCACTTTCACTTATATATATATATATATATATATATATATATATATATTTATCACTTTCAACAAATCTCTTGACAGCAAACTAAAATTGAAATAAATCATAGCAAGCATTCCTTGTTTTAACAAAGGGCATCATATTATTTTTGCTAGATTCAGAAAATAACAGATATCTGCCAATTTGGCACAAGAACATAAAAGAAGTATAGTATTGAGAATATCTTTAACTACCAACTTACATCCGAGCGATGATAGTAATATCTCCAAATTTTGAAAGCACACTATTTATGCATTTGTATCCTTCATTGCTACAAAGCCCAGGAAACTCTTTGCCCTCAAGTCTTTATTTATTTATTTATTTTATTGTGTATTCTTCATAGATTGCATTGGGAAATTCATAACCTTAATGAAGAAACTAAATAAAAAAAATTTCAAATTTTACTTAATACCTTTACAACTGAAAATATAGCTGCATTGAACTATTGAAGCAATAAATACTTGAGGTAATTCAAAGGAACTATAAGAATAAGACTACTTCAGGACAAAAATGTAAAAGTAATTATGAAAAAAAAAAAAAAAAGTAAGTAAAAAAATATGAAACCACTTCCAGTTTGCATGGATAGCACCACCACTATAAAAGGCCCACTCAAAAGAAAAGATTAATGACATATCTAGATGGCCATGGTTATTTTGCCTTGGCTCCCTCTTTTATTGGGTTCTTATGTTCACATGTATTTTTATTTAAGTATTCATGGAAAAGTCTATGCTGTTCTTGTAAGTACATCTGTGAGCTTTGGGTCATCAAGATCTGGTAACTGAGAGGGACACAAACAGACTAGTTGAAGAATTTGCTATAAAATGTGACTAACACACTGGTTGTCATCTTGATGATTCCATCAAACTACTGCCCCAATATAATTCTATTTAATGTCCAATAACTGATCAATAATGTTATATATATATATATATATATATTTGGTTGGCAGGGAATGGCATTTTAGAGAGGACTAAAAGAAATAATACCGGTAGAATAACAAGGCATCCTTAACCAGCAAAACAAAATAACAAGAAAGAACAGCAGCCTCCTAACTATTTACTGTGAGTGTGTTGGGGAAGGGAACATTCTTTAACAGAATATGGGTATAGCCTCCTCTTTCAACAAAGAAATCATCCTTCTGCTTCTGCAGATCTGAGAGTCCGGAAACTCCACCCTAAGGAACAAGCCAAAATCCAGTAAAACTTCTCCTCCTAGACCACCAGTAAGATGGATTCCTTTTAAGGGTAATGCTAGGGGGAGTGGAATACCAAACTTTTCTTCCTTCTTTTTTATCCTCATACCAAACTTAAACATGGGAGCGAAGTTAGTAAGGAAAGGCATAACATGTGGTTCACTGAGGCTATGTTAGAGCCAAATGAAAAAATAGGAATCATGCAGCCAAACCCTTACCAAGATAAATTTCTTCCTAAAAAGAAAAAAGGTAAGAAAAAGTTACATAGATCAAATTGCAATCTACAAAAAGTTAAAAACACTACATATGATCCTACATGGTTAGACATTTCAGAAGCTTGTGAAAAACAGTTTACTTTTTAACCATGTGCCAGGTTTGACTCTGCAATTTTTATTTTAGAAATTCAACATATATTTGGTAGGAAACTCGTTAATGCACTTAAAAGAATTTAATCAATGATTGTAATTGAGAACTAAATGGCCATATGCCTAATGCACATCTTAGTGTATTAATGAAACAGAATTACTACACATAGAAGACCAAACAGATGGAAGAAAAGGGATCACTTCAAATTTAATAGCAGACCAAGGAAACCTATAAGGATTTAAGACCAAAGGATAAATTGGTGATCACTCAAATATTATTTCTGGTTAAAAGCAGTTGTGATACTGGTGATCCCTTCAAATTTAATATATTACAGCCAATCAAAGACTAAGAGAACCTATATACACTATTATTTAATGGAATCCAAAATCCTGATACGTCTAACAAGATCTCTCTATTTTGTGCAGCACATAGAATTTGTTTAATATGTTACAATAAGTTAACACGTAATGATGAATTTGACATCACACAAATACTCATAATTGGATTTCAATATTAAAATATATATATATATATATATATATATATATATATATATATATATATATATAATTATGCAAATCACTTGTTTAAATAAGATAACAGATCTTGCTCTCATGTTGCCATTTCAAGTCTTCTTAGTTTCAGGTGGTATGTAACTTCTAGAACAATCTACTCGATCATCATAAATAAGTTTTTATGTGCATGTGCAGGTTTGTGTGTATGAGAAGAGAAAGAGAAGGATGTCACCCCCAACATTTCACCCCTTTAAGGAAAATGCATGTAACTCAATCTGGCCAATGAAACGCACCAAAGCATTAAGGAGTTTAAAAATCTCTATCCATCTTCCCAAGTAGTCTATGGACCTTTAGTTGTAGAAGGCAAGGTCTTTAAAGATAGTTTGTATACCACCCTACAAGAATACAAGGTACAAGACAAGGCTTCAAAAAATGTCACAACAATGTGGACAAATTTATCAACTTGTTGCCTCTATGCAAGCCGTCTTTGTCCCAAGCAGTTGTCTGATTTTAATGGTCTCCAATTAGAAGAGAAAGGGAAGCTCCTTGGAATTTAAACATTGGGACATATGTCAAGTTTGAAGAATGATTTTTTTAATCTTAAACAGATTGTAATCCACTCCAGTCCAATCTGATAATGGAACAACGTATTGAATATATCAGCGACTAACATCTCTCACACATACCATGTAAAAATGGTGTCAGCTTATAATTGTTCCTCTTCCCGAGCTTTATCTTTCAGATCCATCTAGGTTATATTCAAATTCCTTTCAATTTAACAGCCAAAATAAAATTCCCATTAACTTAGCTATCTAGGTTTTCCATTTTATTTCTCATACTCTCAAACTGCATTAAAATTTTATTCTAGATTCTGATATATGCTAGAAAACCATTGGAACTTATAGACTATAACCCATACACCAAAGGTGGAGATGATATCAGGTGCTAGAACATGTTATTAGTTGAATAATTTCAAACTTCGAAATGATATCGAGTTTTGGGTAACAGAAATGTGATTTATATGTATCTGTAAATTATACTACACATAATGCATACATAAGCAAGAGAGGATGCGAGACAAAAACGCACCCACCTCCTTGGAGACACTTTTTGCGCACCCGCTTCACATGGCGAAGATTTTCTAGAGGACAGATTTGATTTAACTTCCTAAAAAAAATTTAAATTCAAAACAGTAATTATAAAGAAAATAGACAAAGTAAAGAAAGAAACATACGGAGTAATATTTTAGTCATTATTTAGCAATACAATCAAAGTTGATTAAAGCTAAAATGAGTATGAGAAGAAACTAAAACGAACCTTACGAGAGTGTTAGCAATTTTTGGTTCAATATCACAGGCAAAGACATCCACTGTTTCCACAACATAAAGACAGATAGGTATCAATTTCATACCGCAGATATAATACTACTACAATCCCCATTCCCCACTGAAGGTTAAGTTCATAAAATACATGTGTGTGTGTGTGTGTGTAGAGAAAGAGAGAGACTGCGTGTGTGTGTTCAAAGAGAGAGAGATGGAGATTTAGTGAGTTACCGGTGGATTGGTGGTGCAGCGAGTCAGGTGGGTTGTCTGGGATGTGAATGATTTCCCAATCAGTATTATTCATCACATTCATTGGCTGAGTTGGGGGTGTCAAAAACTGCTGAGAAATTTCAGGGCTTTATAAGTTGGGAATAGGGATTTTGGCTATTTCACATAAATTAATCACATTGTTACAAGTGCGTTTGTTTTCTTGTTCTTGGTACATTGGGCCTAGGCAAGGCCTCTCTACTCGTGGGCCCAAATCCATAGATAAATCTCTATTTATTCTTTGGTGGTGTCTATTCTTTATCTTGATTGTGCTTTGCTTTTGTTTATGTTACCACCAATTTTAGATAATCGAATGTTTACTTGGTGGGAAAAAAAATAAATGTTTACTTGGTGGGAAAAAAATAAAAAGTGTTGAAAATTAAGATCTGTGTTAGAATAAGTAAAATTCATTTAAAGTTTGGGGGAAGAAATCAAGTATTTTTTATTATTTTATCATGTTTATGTGATTTAACAACTAAAAAATAAGGGGGAAAAAAATCAATCCAAAGCCAACCCAAGCAATAAAAATTGAGAATTGTCACCCGTCCACGGACCAAGTTAATTATTCTAAAAGTTCATAACACTCTTAATTCAGAACTCAGAAGTTAAAACTTTTCAACACGAATAAGTTTTTTGTTGTCATTGTAGAATAAAAATTAAACTACCAAATTATGGCAATAAAGTAAAGTTCTCTGGCTAGAGCAAAAGTCACTTATTTAAAAATAAATAAATAAATAAATAATAAATAATAAAATAAAACCTTAATTAAATGTGGAAAATTATCACCACGTGAATACATGATGATGCTCGTACGAATACATATCTTCATGGTTCAGGAAATTTCTGAAAACTTTCATCTTGCAAATGCCACTAGAACATTCTAACGTTCCTTGGCAAAATATTTTTGATGTAATTTCTTGTTGCAGCAGCAATAATAATGATTGAATTTATAAGGTTACTTCACACTGTTTGGAAGTACATAATATTCAAAGCTGAATTTGGTATATACTCGAGGGTGTTTTCAGAGAACCAAGTGCGGATGATGCTTTGGGACAGACTGTTATCTGGGGTGATTCCAGTGGGCCACTTATCAACCAATCGAAAACCAAATTCAGTCGCGGTTGAAAGTATGGATGGCTCATCAACTCTGCGAAAGACATGGCACAGAATTAGAGCTGGTTCAGAGTCTCTGCTGATGTCTCTGTTAGAAGAAAGTAGCTCTCTGGCAGTTGCAAACAAGGGTGAGATTGCTTCAGGAATATAAGTGATATCAGTGCCTATAATGACATCGAAACCACCATCATTCAATTCTTCGATGGACTTTATATGGTCTCTGTTTCCCCACTCTAGTATCTTCACAATTAGTTTGGCGATAGATGGTGACTTGAGATTTGAGACAACATTTTGTGTCAACAAGTCGAGTGCTTTTGCATCTCCATCAGTCGCAACCACAAGGTCAGCAGATGTAGCAGAAACCATTGAGCAGAGCCCCCCACAACCGCATCCCAGTTCTAAGACTCTCTTCCCAGAAACAATGGTTGGATTCGCTGCAAGGACAGAAGCCATTAACAGAGCTGATTCCCATAGCATCAGGCCAGTTGATTTGCAGGTGTGTTGGTACTCTTTGTGGAGTTCTTTTATCTTGAAGCTCCTATCTCGTAAATTAACTTCAACAATCTAAGAGGAAGTAATACAGAAAAGACTAATTTAAATAACCAACTCCAATCAGAAGTTTACACAATATAGGAATTGCTGGATTCTGCCAATGACAGTAATTATTTACAAAACGGAGGAATGAAATCAAATCAAGGAAACAAAAAAACTATTTCTTTGACTGCATTTTAGTTTTAATTTTTTTTTAAAAAGATATAAGCTATAACATAAATTACGTGCAACATGCATTAAATTCAACTATTTATTATAATTTAAATAAGGCAGTAGAGAAAAATTAAAAAGAGAAGAAAAAGGCAACCCATTACCTCTTCACTGGAAGGTGAAAAACCAAACATTTCAACAGCCATACCCTCAGACATGTCAATCTCAAAATCATTTGCAGGCACTTTCACGACCTCGGGATTAATACTCCCTTTAGAGAGGAAGTCTGCCTCAATTGCAGGATTTGTACTGGATAATAAGTTTGCACCATCTACACGGAATACAGCTTGGACCCAACGCCTGAAATCACAGAAACTAATCATCACCACTAGGCAGTAAACAAAACAAATAGCCATAAGAGGGACAAAACTTTCTCTGTTACTGCTTAGAGCAGTCCAGTAAATCCCTTCAGTAAGCCAAGCATCAAATTTAGCATCACCTAAACGTATCTTTCACTGGCATTTCAAATAGGGAAGTTTCTGTTCTTTCGTAAAAATAAGTGCCCTTTACTAGTCAGGTGGTCCAGTGGAGCAGTTGTCACTGGTTTAAAATGACCACTTGTCAACTGTAAGTTCTCTTAACTACCAAATGAAGAAATTCAGGAGCAGGTTCTCACTATGTTTCATAATGCAACAAATCGAGGCTGTGAACAGACATGCACAAAACAAAAAAACATATATATAAATATATATTTGCATCTGTTGACCTAGGCTTTTTATGTTTACAGGTTTACCACAACTTTGCTTCACAATGTGATGACTGTCCTGCTCTATCCTTAGTTCCAGCTATGCCTTCAATCATTTGGAGTTATCAAAGCTAGTTTGAATTTTCTTTTGGAATTAGTTAGAATGTTGCAGTACATACTCCTACCAGCTTTATTATAGATGTGTCAGATGTGATTTATCAGTAGCAACCATAGATATCAACCTAATTAAAGCATCCTATTTATGCTAACAAATTCACAAGGATAGAGAGAATGTTGAGACAAAAACCACTAGTGAAATTGAATAGATTATCATTACCGATTCATTACTATCTCCCTTGACCGATTCTCCACTTGTTTGCAGCACAGACCATGTTCTTCAGTATCAAATCCATTCTCTTTAAATAAACTTGTCAAAAACTCATCACAAAAATAGAAAGCCCGCTGAAAACGCAAGGGGTTTAGTAAAACCCGGTCAAATAAGAAGCTATAGCAACTAGAAAACATGTCTTCATGTGACTGAAACTTACAGTGCCATCACCCCTGACATAAAAGTTTTCACTGATCTTCTGATCCTTGCAAATGAACCTTTCCTGTCAGTACAATATCAAGTTAACACATGGTTAAATATATATAAAAATGGAAGGGATCATGTGGAATCATCTGCCAAATCAGAAAAAATAAAATAATTCTCATCTATATATTAAGGGGCTCAATCTTGCAATCCACCCTAATAAGCTACAGTAAAATTTTCTGTCACGAATTAGGATAACTTGTATTATTCTATGTGAGGGATTCAATTCTCCTGATCTATAATGTAATCACTTTCATCCCCCACAAGAAGATTCAAATCTCCTGATCCAAAATGGAATCAAACTTATATTCCCCACAAGATGATTAAGGATAAAATACATGATAGAAATACACTTAAATACTATTTATTTGTCAACCATGGCACTGCTTTTGGTCCGAACAAAAAACTAGGCAGGATTGGAGTTCAAAAGGTAAAATGCCATGGCAGTGCTTTTACCAGTTATACAGACTGAAACAAGACATGGGTCGTTTCAGGTTGCCTCGATACAATTATTTAAATTGGTCGAATCAGGTTATACAGGTTGAGACCCCAAAGCTGAACATGACACTATTAATTAAACAGGTCAATGAGATTGATACGATTATGAAACAAACACGGTTAATGTAAACCCAAATACACTAATTTCATGTTGAGTTTGAGTAGTGTTGAAGGGTAGTGTCAAATTTTGCCACCCTTGCTCTCCATGAGTCACCTATTTTGGTACCTTCAGAATCACTTAATATTAATTTACCTCGCACACTCGGTGCTCTCAAATTCCAGTGCATTCGAAATTACCAAAACTCTCATGTATGTCAATGCAATTACCTCACAATAATCCAATTCTCGTACTTGTCAATTGTCTATTTAAGAATGGTTTGACCCATCTTAGCAGATCTCTCCTAGTGCTACCTACTAGTGGATTGATTTAGGGAACTGGAAACCTAAAGTGAAGAGGAAGATAATGCATCTAGTCCAAGAAACAAACATGGCACTAAGGATAAATGGAAAGGCCTTTGGCCAAAGTTCATGATATCAAGAAGAACAATAACATATTTGAAGCTCTTGATTTGGCTGCCAAGGTGAATCAAAGTAGGAAGAATACTCTTGGTAGCATTCTTAAAAGTCAAATGCAAGCTCTAGTGCCTCAAAGATTGCATCTACATTGTCTATGAGCTACTCTCATTATAATACAAGGATACCTCACCAAAGGGCATCTAGCCAAATAGTATAACCTCCCCATCCTCAAAGAATGGGTGTGTGCGCGTGTTTCTTGCCAAATGAAAAAAGAAAAAGAAAAAAAGAGGATACCTCGTAGTGGATTAAACAATGAAGTCAGTCTGATTAAGGTAATAACACTATTGATGTGAGAGGCTTAGGTTCTTTTTTCTCTCTCCCCTTTTGATAAGTATGTGAGAGGCTTATGTTTATTCTTGTTTCTTGCTTATCATATCAGGTCATGAGAATTTCGTTTTTATCGAGGAGCTGTCCACCAGCAATCAAAACTTGACATTTTTTTTTTTTTTGTTCTTTTATCATTATTCAGTAATAAAATTTCAATTTACCTACCAAAAGAAATATTCAACTTTCCTTTTACTTTAATGTCAATTGTTGCTTTGTAATGTTACACATCATATATAATAAACAATGGGCATGCTATAATGCACATCTGCTAAACAAAGTTAGATCCTTTCTTCTTCTTTTTTTGATAAGTAAGTAAACAAAGTAAGATCCTGAAACTGCTGCTCATCTCGATTTGATTAGAAGGTGACTTTGGACAACCATGTAAACAATTTGCTACTAGCCTACAATTCATTATACCGTGCACTTGGTTATGAATATCTTCTGGGTTAAGAATTTATCAGCTTGGAAGAAAGGATTTAGGTTGTTATGTAGATGGACAAGAGTTCCAATTGTGTAACTCCATTCATTGACAATCAAACAAACACATCAGAATCTGTCTAAAGTCACATAAATATCCTATAACTCATTTACTAAAAAATGATAATCATGGGCCACTACTGGAAATCAGAGTACTCCATAAAGCCGAACGGCAGCATACTAACCTAAAATTAACCAAAAAATGGGAATCAATCACAACTAAAACTAGAAGTTGATAATGCAAGGTTCAAGTGAGCCTTGCTTGAAACCAGACCAATTTTTCACATTTCTATCTTTGTTAAGTTTAAACTTACATGATCCTCGTACAAGATGCATATGAAAGTATTTAACTTAAAAAAACTGAGATGTAATGGGGATGTAGAAGTATAAACTGAAAGAAGCACCCGATGAGCCACTACTGGAAGATTTTTCACCACAATCATTCTGTTTGTATGCATGTAAGTATGTGTGTATGTAATGGAAGGTTCTCACTACACAGACCCACGCAATCACACACCAAGAATGGGAAAAAATATGTCAAGCAGTAAACAAATAGTTAAATATCTGTTGACGATATTATATTTTTATATTAATTTACCAGCATATAACCCAAAACCACAGAGCCAATTCCATCTTTAGGTCTTCAAGTATGAATAGAACTTCAAAAAGTATTCAAATCCAAGAAGAGATTACACCAATTTTATTTTATTTTATTTTTTTGATAAGTGAGATTACACCAAAAAATTTACCATATGATTACCAAAAATGGCTGACTCGACTAAAGTAAGCATACTAAAATTCTACAGAACAAATTCGAAAAGGAAAGGAAAAAAAATATACAGTATATAGCAACCTGAGCAAGGTCGCCAGTGGCATAGTCACGGAACAGCACACATCCATTTGGCTGGAAACAAGAAAAAGTTCATGTCACATTAACAATTCATAATAATAATCCAATTAAGGCTTTTCATCGTTTCATAATGGCATATGATCATCTCTTACCTTAAGAACCTTTTTGATATTTTGCAATACTAGAGGCATTTTCTCAGGAGATACTGCAGATAAGACAAATATCTGCTTAACAAGTCAGCTAAGTTAACTAAATAACAAACATACATAAAAAAATAAAAAATAAAAAACAAAAAAAAAGATTGTAGATTCGAGCATTGTAACAAAAATGCAGGATTAAACACTCTTTAATTCAATCGAGCAATTAGCCATCAAAAAATTTGAACTAACAACTGCCTATGTATTGTATGAACTATATAAATCGCTATATCATTCAAATACCATGGTTACAATGTCAATTGAAGATGGAGAAATCTGCTTGCTCAAATCATCAGCTGTCAGATCACAAACGAATGCATTAACCTGGGTCTCTGTGAAGTCCTTGTGAGCCTGCCACGAGGGGAGGGATTTGTGCAATTAGAAATTTAGAACATGTAAACCGGATCTTATCAATATTACGCATTAAAATATGTTAAAAATGCACTCCCCAGTGTCATGTTGAAAGTGTCCTGAGAGTGTCAGGACCATATTCACAACCAATCCATGTCGGCTTTTAGACATACAAGGTGTGGGAAACACTTTTTGAGCTAGCACAACTCCAAAAAAGCAAAAACCCTAGTTAAAATCTAAAGAACTGGCAAATAACTTTTGCTGCTTTACATCTCAACTGACAACTTCTTAATTAGAAGCAAAATATACTCAAACATACAGTAAAGTGAATTTAACCAGAATTCCAAAAATGAAATAAGAAACTAGATAAAAGTCATTAAAAAAAAAAATGAGAACTTAAATGACTTTCAAAAATATAAAATACCAAGGCCTAGTTGGACAAAACTTCTCCATTTAAGTGATATAAAACTCCCAAATTTGCACATAAAGAACGAACACACTTACATGTCACAAACTACAAAAGGTCATTATCCATTGTATGTCTGTAATGGACACCTTTTAGTACTAACAAAAATATAACTGCAATGAAAAACTATAATAGAAAAGTACAGATAGATGTAAATAGAATTTTTAAAGATATTTCCTATTGCATAGATTCATCTTCTATATTATTCAATTGTTTAATATGGAATCAGATAATTTGTCAAAGTTTTATAATCGTCTTGTAGATATATCTTCAACTCAACTCAATAAAGACTTTTCCCAACTACTTGGGGTCTGCTAAATGAATCATGTGTTCCCAACTCTGCATGTGTCATGTTTGATGTTTTAATCTTTACACACAGACAGTCCTAAGCTTATAATAAGAAGGTGGGTCGCATTAAGTAGCTTGGCAACCAGCATAAAACTTTTTTCAGGACCAATATGAATAGTCTTACATAATATATGTAAATGTATACAAATAAAATTTTATATTTAGATACAGCCATGGGTAGTGTTGTGGTAAAAGCTCAAACTGTCAAATATAAGAACACGGGTTCGAATGCTGAGAGCAGCAACTTTTGTAAATATAATGCCAAAAACTAGATTTGTATCCACTCTACTCCTCTCAACATTCTCGGTTAATAAGAACTACATTAGGTAATGACCACTTGTATAGCCATGTTGGTATCCTTTTATAGAATTTGATGTGTTAGGTAATATCCATTTTGATGTGAGGGTGTGTGAGTATTTACCTAACCAAAAAAAAAGTTTCACTTGCATCACAATATTAACAATTTAGAAGAACAGCAAGAATCTATGACTACCATTGACATTGGAGGGTTTGGGCATTTTGAATAGTGCATTGAAATTAATATAACTTAACCATAGTTCATAATTGAATGATTGAATCTACAGGAAAAGTTTAACAGTCAAAGCCATGCCATGAACCTCCATGTAATAGATACAGATAAATATGATTGTGTTGCTACTTTAACAAGCCAGAGTACGATGCCTTTATTTTGAAAATGAGAAGCAGTTAACATGCAAGACTGGTGCATAAAGACAGATTTCAAAGACAAAATTAATAAAAAAAAATAAAAAAAATTAAGTAAAAAATATCTTGAAAAATGTAAGAATTGTCATTTTTACCCATGAATTTCACCTTTACTAAGTCAATGCTATATGCAATATATTAGCTTCCCTATAGTTCCCACAAAAGCACAAATAACAAATTTTTCAAATGGCTATCAAGTATCAACCATTGATATTAATATGCCAAGGTCAGCAGCAGAAAAGAAGAAATCAAACCTTAACCAAGTTTATAGCACGTGGTGAGAAATCACATGCATGAACAAAGATCTCAGGGTATGTAGCAATTAAAGGAAAGACGGTGTTTCCAACTCCACAGCCAACCTGTTTATTAACAATAGTTATAATTTGCTGAAAATAGCAACTAAATATAAGAAACAGTTTAAACTTTAAAGACTTCTGGTAAAGAACATTGAAATATTTTATAAATAATAATAATGCAAGTGATTCCCATCACATTAAGTAGCCCTTGACAAATATTTGCCAACATAATATGCAGAACAAATTGGAAACATGTTCCCAATTATCAGGGAGAGTTAAAACTGCTTATTATTTGCCAACAGAATATGCAGAACAAATTGCAAGCAGAACAAATAAATCGCACTGCTACAGCACTATACAAGAAGACAGAGTTATTGACTATGATCCTCATCTACAGAGAAGGCATTTCAACAGACAAACAAGATAGTCATATCATGTAAAAATAACAAAATAACTAGTCAAATCCAAAATAGCCTGAACAACTATGTGATCCAATTATTGGTCGTGTAACCTTTCAAATATCATTCTAAATAATTCTTTTCTTTTCTTCTCTTCTCTCTCTACCCGTCTCAAAACCTCAACCTAGGGCTTGGGAGTTAAGACCCAAAGACATAAGACAAAGGTGGACCAATATCATTCTAAATCAATTAAACAAACCCAAGTCCAATCTGCAACATTATGTAAATAAATAATACAGTGTATGCAACCCAATTCCCCCAACTGAATTTAGTAAGCAGATGAATATGGTCAGTACAAGCGATTACATGGAAATTGCGGGACAGAGAGGCTACACTAATTCACAGATAAAAACTAAATGGAAGGAAGGTGAGGAAAATAAAATATGGTAATTCACCTCCAGTATAACTTTTCTTCCTGCTCCCTGAAAATCCAAAGATCAAGAGAACAATATAATTGAGGAAGCAGTCTACCAAGATTAAGTACTAAAACAATTACAAACCAGAACTACAACAGGTGATTACTCTACTCACAGAAAAGTAGCTTCCCCATTCCTTATCCAAGTAGTGTCGATCCTTAAAGAACTGAAGACAGAAAGTATTGGCCAGACCACAATCAATAAAATTAGCAGTAAAAGAGATTACAATATTGGTGAAAATCAAGAACTAGGGGCTTTTTGGGAATTTCAGGAATTGGACCAACTAGGCTTGTACACACCACCATCTTGTCACTACAAGATAACACAAACTGAACGTTGCTTTTAAATTTATAACTTCAAGGTTTATTAAAAGAAAATGTGACATGGATCAAAATCCTTCTACCAGCCTGATTCTCTGGGTATCCCAAGCAACCCCAAATTTAGAACTGTAACTTTTGTTGCAGAATTCCTCATTGTTAATGCTAAAGGAAGTAGCATAGCAGTAGTGGTAGTGGCAGCTACAAGATGAAAAACTGCGATAAATAAATATATTTGAGCAAAACTTACTTTGTCTTGATGACGTTTGTAGAAGATGTCCCAGTACTTCTTTGCTTCCCTTTCATACTTATCTGCCAAAATAAAAATATAGTAATAATTTTGAAAATGGAAAAGAAAATCACTAAGAGAGAGAGAGAGAAAGAGAGACCTCTCCAAAAAGGGGAGATTCCACTGCTAGCAGAAGAATATATTTGTAATTTTGGTTGTGGTTGTTGCTGTTCCTCCACACTCTTTTGTGCATTAGATGCCATAGCCTAGCCTAGCCTCCCTGGGAAGATAGACAGAGATAAAATTATAGTAGATAATTGGCTGATATAACAAAAAGGAGCCTTTGGAAAAATTACGAAATACTATTATGAATAACAACACTAATGCAATCAGAAAGTCCACTCAAAAGATATATGATGAATATGGCATTACATATGCTTATCATAGAGTTCATTTCAGACAGAGTAATGTAATATGCATCAAAATGACATTTTATAGTGACATTTGTGAAGTTAAAAATATTTTGTTTGAAACAAAAATAATATGTAAAAGGAAAAATATCAAAAGCAATTCTTACACCATGGGTGAAAATTTACAAATAACAGTAATGATTAAATATCAAATAAGGACAAGACGGGCATAATGACAACTGCACCATCAAAAACTCTGAGAAGCTCTCATTACCAAGAATTTGGATTATCCCAATATTGTAATATGCAATGGTAAAATCAAACGCATCACTCTTTTAGAACCAATATATATATATATATATATATATATATAGTGAAGAGCAGATTTATACATTTGATCCAATTATGAGGTATTTCACAATCCTTTATTTTAGTAAGGAAATACATATCTTAATTCTTAAATGACACTAAAATGTTCTCACGCCCCCAGATTTGAATAGATGCATATCTTGTCCGATACCCAAATCTGATGGAATAGGAGAGCAATGCCCAATGCAGTTGATTCTCTGCCAGGTTGGATAATGAACCATGAACTCAATAGAAATGCCCACCACTTAAAATAGAACCTCAATTACAATCTCAAGATCCCATAAGAACCCCAACTCTAATCTTGAAAAAATCCAGAATGAAATACTTAAGAATACATTCGGACCTCCCTACAAAGATTATTACAAGACACATGATAGTAAATTACTTAAGACATCTTAATAGATGAAATCCTCATAGGAATGCTTGCCAATTAATAATATGAAATGATAGAAATAGCCCACCGCTTAGCAAAAAATAATACAACCTCACAATAATAAACAACCATGCATATGATTTCTAATAGTTGTCACATAATTAAATATATAAGTTGCAGTTAAAAATTTTCAACTGCATAATTAATATCTCCAAATAAATTAATTCGACTCGACGGAGCTTTTTTCTTAACAAATTAGGGTTAGCCACATAAATGCTATTTCGCAATTTCGGTCTAAAGCTGTAGTCTCAGTCAAAGCATACACTATCTTATTTTTCTTAACTATCTTGGCGCAAGCTAATTTTAGTCTTCACATTTTAATAACATTACCATCAACACGAACCGTGTTGCTTATCCTCATTGGTGGAATTATTGAAAATTACAGCACATGACCAAACCATTGTAATCAATTTTCTCTCATTTTATCTCTAATTAGATAAGGGGATATGCCCCGGAATCTTTATCTATTAGTTTGCTTTCTGTTTTCTCTATACAAATTATAAGAGTATTCCACTGATGTGACCAAGGCTCGGGAGGAAGATCATCAATCCTAAATTCTTATCTCTATCAATCCTAAATTCTTATCTCAACCCTCTCAAAATGCATTGATTTTTAGCTCATCATTCTTGTCATTCATCAATCTCAACTTTAGAATTTTTGCCATACTAATTTTATAGGCCTGTTATTTCTTGGCACCCCCAACATTTTATCCTATAAAATATGACCAATCTATCAAGTATTCTATAAATTTTATCTTTCAAACTTAGAGGTAAACACGGATCACACAATACGCCAGAAACACTCTTTTGTTTAACCCATCCAACTTTAATCCTATAATTAGCATTGCCTCTAATTTCTTTCTCTTTGTGCATAATCAAGCCTAGGTAATGATATGTATCTTCTTGGTATCTCTTGGCCCTGAATCTTCACTGCATCCCCACCCATAATTCTAGTTTTACTAATATTACATTCCATAGATTAAATTTTACTTCTGCTTATTTTTAAAACACTAGATTCCAGAGCTTCTTTCCATACCTCCATTTAGTATTCACAGCTCTAGTTTCAGTTTTTAAAACAATATCAACAGCAAATAACATACACCATGGAACCTCCTGCTGAATGTATTTTAAAATTTTATCCAAAGGCAAGACAAAAAAAGAAACGGTCTTAACGTTGATCCTTGATGTAAAACTACAGCAATTAAAAATCCAATTTTTTTTTTGCAGGCAGTTACTATTGTCATTGTTTCATCATACTTTTTTTTTTTGGGTGAATTCTGTTTGCAAACCATTTATTTTTCTAAAACCCTCTAATTTTATCTCTAGGCACCCTATTAATTATATGCTTTCCCCAAATCTATAAACACCATAGAAGAATTCTCTTCTTCACTCTATCTCTGTCAATTTGTCTCCTTAGCAAGTAAATAGCTTTTATAATTGACTATCGATGAATAACTCCAAACTAATTATCTGCCATTGTAGTTTCACGTCTCAATTATCGTTTAGTAACTCGCTCCCGAGGTTTCATAATATAACCCATTAATTTAAGACAATGATAATTTGCACAACTTTGAATCTCTCCATAATTTTTGTATATAAGTACTAAAAATACCTTTGAATCACTCAAAAAGCACTATTTAATAACATCTCGCTGCTCAAGATTCCACACAAAGAGTTCATCATTAATTTTTGACATTAACAATCTACCAAAACTTAAGACACACACAAAAACGTGGATAGATTATCGGTTGCAAATTTTCAGATCACACTTGCTACCGCTACCCTCTCTCCCTCTTTTAACCCACTGCACTCAACCTCTTACTCCTCCGCCCGTTCCCTCTCTTCCTCTCCCTCTCCCTCTCTCTTCTTTGCTGAAGAAACTTGAAATAATCCACTAATTGGGTTCTTCTACAAATTTCCCTTTACAATTAGCAAGATTTACTTGTAGGATTTCATGTATTTATTGTCTAAGTAAATTAACTTGTAGCAATATTTAGGTAGCAGAGAATGTTAAGTTGCTGCACATTTAACTTTAGTTTTTGCAAAGATTAACACCTATCAAAATAAAAAATAAATTTATTTGCAGAGACTAACAAGCCAACCAATTTAACAGCAAAAATGAAGAGATGATGGAAGGTAGAAATCAAACTGATATGCCCAAAAATCAATAGGTAAAGTGAAGACTAACGCACATCATAGTAGTTCATTTCAACCAATAAATAAACCGAAAGCAACTGACAGTGAGAGATCCATTCTGTAATTCTTATGTTGTATACAAGAGGGAACTCAGATATTATATAGACAAATGTATGAATTCAGTAACTGATCATCCTCAGACCGGAAATCCAACCAAATATGACACAACACATGAAACTTCAGAAGAAGAAGAAGAGACTAACCTCGTTCAACAGATTTGGCGTTGCTAGGGTTACGATTCTATCTCCGAATCTTAATAGTCTGGTTCTTTGCGGCTATGTCCCGGTCGCTCCTTGTAAGATGAATCAAAGAGCGGAGGTGTTTGATAATTTTGAATAAATTCAATTAAAGCTGTGTTTGGCATTAATGAAATACGTAGTATGCAATCTGCATTAGTGCCGCCTAAAGTAAAATAAGTAGTAAATTTCACTAATTATTGAAATTTTAAAAATTATTAAAAATATCTCAATTTATAATTATTACTTAAATTCAGCTCTTAAACTTTTTGGAACTTAAATTTAAATTTTGCCAAATTGCATCATACTCATGTTTTGTACTTGTTTCTGCAAGAATAATAACTCATGTGCAAAAATCACCCTTAAAATTTTGATTTGGTGTAAATCTGTTCCTCTTAACACATTTCAGATCCAAAAAGTCATAGTTTGACTAAATTGCCCATATATACACATTTTACATATTACTTAAAAATGCATCATTTTATGATATGGCGAAAATGGTCATTTAATACGTCATGTGATACGTACCGTAAGCTATAAGAATGATTTTTACACTTTATAAACTATTGTTATTTTAAATCTTTTGATCATAACAGTTAAATTTAATTGAGAACGTAGTTTTGTCGCAATTTGAATAATATGATAATAGTAGGTGATTGAACACTCATTTGTTTATTTTTTATTTTTTACCCAAATAAAAATTGAATACCCATCTGTTGGAATGTAAAGAATTATATATGTGTGTGTGTGTGTGTGTGAACATTTATTTCAAATTCTAAAGTTTAAAAAATTAAATGAATATTATTTATATATAATGAATAACTATTTTTAATTATATATTTAGTGAAAACTGATAACTATATAAAAATTTAATTGGGAACATTTTTTTTTCATTTTCTATAATTATAAAAGGAACTCAATTTTCATTTCATATGATATACTGTGCATTAATCTGACAATTGTGATAATTTTTTTTTTTTAAGAGAAATAATACACGGTTAGCGGAAATATATAGAGATAAATTTTTTTTTTTGAAAAGGTGGGAGAAAATTCTTAAAAGTGGGTTAAATATAGTTAATGTACACATAACACCCCTATACTATGAGATTATTAACATACACGCCGCCTTGGGCATTTTCATAACATTAAAAGGGCAAAACAGGTATTACAACATTACTTTATGTCAAATATTTTATTAAGGATGTTTTCGCGCAATTTAAAATAATAGCGGTGTTTTTAGAACACTTTTCAAATAGGGTGTTTTCTACACTTGACCTTAATAATAAAAACTGAAAAATACTTTTGAAAAAGAAATGATAATATATTAAACATGGTGTAAAATTAAACTTTAATGAAAAATAAGTGAATTAATGACAAAAACGGAAGGAATCATTAGGAAAGTGGGACTAGGAATCTAACCATATTTGAACGAGTGTTTGCAAAGCAAACTTTCACATGGATTTACTAGTATTATTATTATTATTTCAGCATTCACGTTCTAGCATTCATCTCGTCTCTGTAAAGATTTGAAGGTCAAACTATGAGTTTTGAGAAGTAGCATTAAAATCCCCACGAGTAGGGAAGTGGTTAAAATACCTAATTTGCACCATGTTGAAAGGGATCCTCGTTAAAAAAATAAAAAATATATATTAATTGACTGGTAATTCAGATTTTAATATTAAAGCTCATTATTTCACTAAAATCCTTTTGCAAACAAAAATCTGTGTACCACTTCACTGTGAGTTATCATTACAAGCCAATTATGTTACCTCAGTGAGAAAAATTGACAGCCTTAATATTCACCACCGTACAAAAAGAATTTCCATGTTGAATCACTAGGGTGGACGGTACAATCGTGCTTTGATCGTATAATTACAAACATCAGAGGGATTCAAGCATGGATTCTATCAGGAATGGATATGTTGGCGTACCTACAATATGGATTTTTTAAAACAAAGTCGATATTGTGTAGTTGCTTCACACATCACCGAGTTTTTCCTCCGCTCGCAAAGTGGTATTGTTCTGTTCCTCCTCTTCATCCACATTGGAGCTCCCTGATTGTTCAATACTAGGAACCACCCCATTTTCTACGGGAGGCAGATCACCATTTTCCGATATACTCCTTTCCTCGGCTTTATGAACTGGTTTGGGAAGTTGTCTGGATGAAGAGGTTGCTAATAGACGGCTGAGTCCGTCAAATAAATTCTTGGCATCCATGATAAGAGCAGCTCCGCCAGGGTAACACCGACCAAAGCATGTAGCACAATGTGGATAAGCAACCTAATAAGAATCCAGAAGAAAGCCAAGGCTGTTAATTTTGATGCACGCACAAACTGCAGATAAAAAACAGCTTTAGTTTGTAGGTGCTTCACCTCAATGAATGCTCGGCAAAGTGAATGGAAAAGTACAGACTCGGTCTCTCTAAGCATCCGACTTGTATTGTATCTCAGTAAAGAATCAGAAACAGCCCGCAATCCCTTCACTAATTCTTGAGAAAGCACATGTTTCAAGCTTATTGGAGCACAGGGACGCAATTCATTCATTGCAGCAGCTACACCTGCAACCAGGGGAGACGAGAGGGAGCAAGAACACCAAATCTTAAGCAGTTATCCGGGGCATTGCACAAATCAATTTTAACATGCCACAATATTATATGTAGCAACAACCAAGTATTAACTCGAGTTTCTGCAGAATGTCATCCATTCCTACAACTGAGGTAAGGGAAGGGGTGGGCTCAAAGGCAAAGGGTCACCCTCTTTTATCCGAGGGTGCTGGGAGGAGTGAACTGGATACAGATCAACCTTTGCCATTATTTGCACAAAATGACAGCTCTCAGTATTCGAACTCCATTCTCATGGTTGACAGCCCGGGCATTTTACCGGTGCTCTAAGCAATGGCCCCTTGGGGAGGGGTGGGTGTGACATGGGAAAATGGAAAGCCTCAGAAGGTAACTCAGCCATGCTTCCTCCAAAGCAACTTTTATCAGTAAGAACGCTAGAGCCAACTCTCAGGCTGAACATCGAAGAATTAGATGAGGTTGCTAAACCAATTTTATTTTTGCAACGAAAGATGATTTATACTACTTGAGACCTAATTTTTAAGTTTTTAAATGTGAGAAATGCTGTCAAATGCCATGACTAAGGGAAGTCCTTCCCACACAAGAAAAGATCAGTTATCACCTCATTTCTGTTAGTCAAACTTATCCTGCATACAGTCAGCCATACTTGACATAAACAAATTTATCAGCTGTTAACATCCAGTTAGAAATGATCCTATTAGGTTAAGAAGTGCTAGAGAAATTTTAGGGTAGAACTAAGCAGAAAATAACATGATGTAAGAAAGTACCTAACTCCAAAACTCATTGCAGACTAAAGTATATATAAATCAGCTGATGTTGTTTTACATTTAAACGCACATGTACGCTGAACAAAGAAACATAATGGAGAGAGATAGAGCTCCTTTCCAATAGTACAATGAAGAGAAAGAGGGCTCCTTACTCCTTACTATGTAGTTAGTTATCTTATTGGTATGAGGTTGAATTTTCCACCCAGATATAGGCGTGTGGTATAGCCTCTACTTCAACTAGGTACAGGACCGGCTACAATGCTAGGTGACTTAGACGGTTCACGGTTGCCTAAGGCTCACAGCTAAGAACTTCCTTTATGTTTCTATTTTCACTCTTTGATTCACTCCGACTTGCGGATTAGATATAAAAAAGCTTATATAGCTATTTCGCAACCCCAACAACATTATGTCAATTTGGGAATCCTTGTCAGTCCCTTGTGTTTTTGTACTTCATTTCTCGCAAACTAGAATGAAAATTTGTTGCTTCGGTCTTTACAATAAATACTTTATGGTTATAAATTGTAATCAGTACACCAACAAAAATATCTACCAAGATATTTGATATGTTCTGATGTTCTTATGTTTCTTCATAACCTGCCAATTTCTCCCATAAGATTTATTCTAATCAAAATTTACAGCTTAATTTAAGACGCATATCACAACCACCAAAATTCCAATGGTTTCTGATACAGCAGAAATAAAATCAGTTGTAAGAAAAAATAAATAGAAATAAAAATATTCCAGATGAAGTAATTGAATAATGTTAAATACATGGCTGAACTTACCATTAACAAACACAGCAAGAGGTGGATGCTCCATTAGAATTGAAGGTGGGGTCACATCGTCCTGATTTTCTTCACCAACACTATTGGCTGTAAACCCGACGGCTGGTAACGGGACCCAGCGATGTGAATCCAAGACTAACTGGAGTGAAGTAAGAAGCTAGTTAACATGTCACCTCAAAAAATAAACAAATAAAATAAAATGAAAGGTGGTTTTGCCTTAATGAAGACTTCCATCCCAGAATGCCAATTTGTTTAGAATTGATAGAAATCACTATGTTCATAAGCTATTTAATTTGTGGCAAGTATCATAACTAAATGCAAGATTTTACCACTTGCCAGCATACCTGAAAATTCTCAACCGCTGTACTTATATTCTTTGAGAATAAGTTGAGGACTGCCCTGCATAAGTGACCAAACCAAGACATCTATAATGAAAATTCACCAAAAAATCAAATGCAGCATAAAGAAGTTTTTGTCATATTTACTCTTCAAAAAGCGAGGGAAGCAAGCCCCGAAAATCCAATCCAACATAACCAAGCCCCACGGCGCAATACTGTCAACATATAGTGAATTACATACAGAGATCAATATAACATACAAATTAAAAAACAAACAAGAATGAATTCTAAGTAAATCATATACAAGTGTTTTATTGAATAAGTCCTTTTGAATATAGACTCATGCTCTAATATGAATGCTGATAATTCCCTAACACGAAAATGTGCCCGTGTAAAGTAGAAACAACTAAGAACTTAACATGACAAGAGTCGACTCTCGCACTAATAGACAGGTCTATGTATAAGGATATATTTTCAAATGAAATGAATAGGCAAACCATTAATATCATGCGCAAACTTTATAGTACTGGAAACGGGGCAAATGTAAATTTTATAATCTCGTCAAACCTTCAAGAAAATGAAGAAGACATGCAACTATACAAATCTTAATTAACCCCAAGGGGTTGGCTCAAGTGAGAAAGTCACTTGGCTCTGGTGCCTCGTGAAGCATCAGGTCTAAGGTTCAACTCCTCTTGGGTGCAAACAATTCCTTAGAAGAAGGAGAAAAGGGGGAGGGGGAACAAAACGTAATTGAAGGTTCTCACCATGCACTGATCCAGGATATTTGACAAAGACCCGCCTTCAGTTATTTTAGGTAGCATGACTTTGAGAGTTTTAAGGTGAGAGGTAATTTGATGCATCGCCCAGCTAAAGAGAAGCCCGCCATCATAGTTTTCTTCGCTTCCAGATGTATCATCAGCAAATATGGCTCGATATTGGTTAACAACGTCAAAAAGATGCGTCCTATGACAGTTTACCATCCCTTTTAAGTAATCATAAGCATTTCTTTGGTCTAGGTCACCGAGAATTCCAGTAAGCCATGCCTCTCGGCATCTTAAAAACTGTTCAATCAAGAAGAATCTCGGTCAAAAACAGTAGCATCAAGAAACCAGATAAGCATATCAATTAGAAACAGAAACCACAAGGACAACTAAACTGTCCGTAAAACCAATCACCTGTAGGCGCATTTCATACTCACTAAATACTCCTATACGACGTAAATATCCAATAATGCGGAGACATTCTGGCAACTACAAAACACAAGGTTATATGAACAAAAGTTTGAGAAGTATAAAGCTAAAAAATAAAGATAAATCATCCTGCACCAATTGCAGATGCTCAACATATTATTTAATTATTTTTATCATAAGGGAAAACCTAAAAGTACCTGAATATTTGATTGAAGTTTCTGGAGAAGCTGAAAAAGAAGAGATTGTGTGGTCTGCATAACTTCTGCAGCAAGTGCCTGAATTACAGGTAATCTATTGAAAGGAATAAAAAGAAGAAGAAGAAGAAAAAGAAAGAAAGAAGAAAAGAGCACCTTAGTAAGTTGCCTTCATTAGGTCATAGTCATAGTCAAACTAAATATCAACTAGTGAGTAGAACAAGAGAAGGAAAACTCACTTCGGGTGCATTGTTGAAAGCTTGCAAACAAAAGCTTCTAAGTCGAGAGCTTCATCATAATTTCCATTCCTTACACATCTGCACAGTAATATATTTAGTGATGCTTCCTAGACAATTGAACTAAAACACACATCATCAAGAATACCAAAATCATAAAATAAACAAGATGGACCACCAACAAAGAAAAAATTAACACATCCAAATTGTACTCATAAGAATTGTTTCAGTACCCCAGTTCCCCCCTCCCCAAGGGTGGCTTCTTTGGATAAAACCACAACATTGCACTACTTCATTCATACCATAAATTATTTTCTCTCCTTTTGCTTTTCGCAGAAATCACCTCCACCCACTTCATCTTGATCTCTTTCTTTTTCAATATTAAATTGTAAAATCCCACTAAAAAGGCATGTTAATCACCACATTACAAACCATGCACAACCATTTTCAAACGAACAAACTGCATATTTGAAAGCGAACCTACACAATTTATACCATTACTAAGTTGGCCATCGATTCAATTTTAAGATGTCATAATTACAATTTTGTCAAACACATACGTGTCCATAAGCTGAGGAATTTCAAGCAAGTCAAGCAAAGTACTATGATTTGATAGCAGTGTTTGATTCATCTTCCTCTTCTCTAAAATCTGCTCTGCAGAGTCAATGAACTCAGTGCAACCAGATGTTAGCTTTGGGATTTCAGAAATCTGCAAGGCAAGAATACACGTATCAGTTTACGTGATTTAATTAAATCCTTGATCCTGAAGTTAAAAGTCTAAAGAGATGAACAGTAAAACTTATAGTATAATTTTCTATTTCAATTCTAAGATGCCTAACGATAAGGAAACAAACTAAGATAAGCACATTAATATGTTCACGTGACAACTAAAATTCATGTAAAGGGTAAGCAACTCAGAAGCATGAAAGCCGAAATTTTTTGAGGCAATATCCGTGCTTGTGGGTAGTTTGTTGTTTAGTTGGTGTTGTGGGTAGTTTGTTGTTTGGTTGGGTGGCCTTGCCCCCTTTCATTCTTGTAACATTTTTCATATCAATCTAATTATCTTACTTAGCAACAATTTTTTTTTCTTCTTTTGTACAAGTAAGATTTCATTGAAAAGCAGTCAAAAGGGAGTGCATCGCAGTTCCAAAAATAGAGCCAAAAGCTATACCCAATGCTATCCACAAAAGACAATAAAAGCTCCATATAAAAATAAAGAACTAAGAACAAAGTATTTCATCACACCTAACGAAGACTACCCCATCAAAAGTCACCTATTTTTTTCCCTCCACAAGGCCCACCATAAACACAAAGAGGTGACTTGCCACACATCTCTACAATGAGGTAAAAAGGAGCATGCCTATGGGGCATGTCGGTGAGTCTAGCCTTGTGTATCCAATTTGGACTTCCTGTTGGGTAGCCTTCCAATGACTTGTCTAAAATTATATTAAGGTTTAAATTCTGACAGTGAAAGATCAGATCCTCAAATGTTTAAGAGGGAAGAAAAAAACAGATATCAGCTCAATGACAGTATGAAATGATCGTGCTCATCCACGGGATGAGAAATTGCTCATGATATAGATGCTTTAATTTCTGAAGTATAACATGTCTACCTTCACTAATTCCTCCCCAATTACATATACTATGAGGGACTTCTATATGCATGTGGTGGGAGTTCGAGGGTTGGGGGTCATGTATCACCTATTTAATTCTAGATTAATTACTTTGTTCTACTCAGACAGATGCTTGTACATGCATTAGGAAGTCACCTCTGACGGATCAAGCTTCCTCTAGAAAGCAGCTAACGAAATTTGAAGGGAGGCCTTTTGTAAATAGGTTTTGGTACAGAAGAGGCTGGTTCAGAAATAGGTGAGAAGTTCCCATGGTGTGAGGATCTTACTAGGAACCATTGAGAGCTTATGGAGCTTCAGCAACAGTGTTGGAGAACATAGTTATTAAAGGCCCAAGGCGCACCAAGGCGCTAGAGGTCCTTTGGAGCCTAGGCGCGCGCCTAAGTGAAGTGAGGCGCACAATTGAAAATTTAAACTACCATAATAACATTCATATCTCATAAGTCATATCAATATTCTAAAAATTGATATCAAATATAAAAAAGTAAATCCATCAACTATACAAGCATCCAACAACCATAAAACAGAGCACAAATTTGTTTTCTTGAAAGGCAAAGAAAAATGTGTTTTTTGAATGGCAAAACAAAGCACAAAAAGAAATAAATATGTTAACCAAAAAAAAAATTGTTAACAAGAAAAAAAAAAAAAAAAAAAAAAAAATGAAATAACAGAGCAAAAAAAAAAGAGAGAGAGATGAGAGAACTAGACGAAGAGAGATATGTAAACAAAGATAAGAATAAAGGAGAGATCTAGAGGAGAAGAGAGAAAAAAGAAAAGAAAAGAAAGAACTGACGTGGCTTCGTCATTCATCTCTGCAACTAGGGCTTCATCTTCGTCTCACAATCTCATTCTATCGTTGTTCAGTTAACACTTTGACTCTTGGGCTTTCTTATTTTTTTATTCTTTTGAACAAAAGTTCCTTATATCGTATGATTGAGCTTTCTTTTTTGTTTATTAAGTTGCCAAAAATACCCTTTTTGGCTTAAGAAATAATACAATCGTATTTTTTTAAACAAATATCAGTGAGGCGCGCCTAGGCGCATCTCAAAACCGAGGCGCGCGCCTAGTAAACATTAGTGAGCCTAGGATGACAACAGGCGCTAAACCTGAGCCTCGAGTGCCTAGGCGCGCCTTTAACAACACTGTTGGAGATGCAGTTGGGCAGAAGATGAATGGTATTAATATGGAGATGCTACCCTCTGATATTTTTTCAGGGAAATACAGCTTTAAGGTGTAAAAATGAAGCTCCAGTAGCAAATTACATTGCATGGAAAAGAGAGGAGAGGAGAGGGATGCATCAGAATCCTAGACTCGTCAGGTCTCTTAAGTTAACATGCTTAGGCAAGTGTGACTTTAGAAGATTTAGGTTTTAGATGGTAAATTCTAGTTAGACTATGAACCTACATTTCCAAGGTATTTTTGAACTAAAAAAGAGTGAAAAGAAGTATTTAGACTTATCAGGGATTTGAAATATTTGAGAGGATTTGAATTGGAAAAAGTTGTGAATTTACTAATTACACAAGACAAGTTATACTGCTACAACGTTCCCTTTCTACTGGTGCCACCTGGTCCGGTAACTTCTGCACCAATACAACTTGCCTTTTCTACCAGGTAAAAACTTCTCCAGAGACATTTAATCAATGAACTTGGATAATCCACTGGTACAATAGTGGCAGTAACTTTCCTATTACAACTTCATAATTTTACTGAGTGATCTCCACTAAAGAATAAAAATACCTTTGCAATTTGCTACATTAACTGGCACTCCATCTCTGTTTTGCACGGTGAAGATTCTGCTTGTTTGCTACGAGGGTTATTCAAAGAGAGTGTTTGCAGTAGATCATTAGTGAAGAAAAGCAGATTGCCTAGTAGGTAATTGCATTGAAGTGGATTGTAGATAGCTAGTAATTCTGAAACCAACTAGTCTTATAGTGGCAATGTTGACTATTTTTCTTCATAGTGAATTATGTGCTGTAGACCAAGTGTAGTGGATTTTCCCCGTTTGGGTTTTCCACATCAAAACTTATGGTTTCTGTATGATTTGCTGATTGTTTTATGTTTACCCCATTGTGATAATTTGTTTAGTTCAAAACTTCAAATAAAATTAGAGTATTGTGGTTAAAAATGAATCGGCCCTATTCATCACCTCTAGGTTAAGTAAAATAGAAATCTTTCAATCTCAACACATTCCACAGTGCAACTCCTACATTTCATCTAAATGCAACTTACTCCAATTATATTGGACCAGCAGGAAATGTGTTTATGCCATTGCATTCTATTTTGGGTTGACCACTTATATGAAACCATCACACAACCTCAAACTGCGTCTGTTTAGCATTTTTTTTGTAACTGTTGCTCCTGTATGAATCATGCTACCCTTACAAACTGGGAAAAAAATTCTGAACCATTATTTTCTCATCTTGGGAAAAGGTATTGCCTTTTGCTCTAAAGTTGGAAAAAAAAAAAAAAAGGCTGAACTATCTTTTCCTCACATTGTCCTCGGTCTTTTCCATTTCCTCCATTCCATCTCTAAATTTTCTCTAGCTACACTTATTTATGGACTCTTCCTTGATTGTCTAGCAGTCTATTCCATAGAGCATGGCAAATATTGTCACATAGCATTTTCTTTTGAAATGGACAAGTGACAATGAAAACACACTCCACAAGCACCACCCCAATTGAACCACCATGCTTGATTTATAGCATGACATCCTCTTCAACAGTTCAACCCCACCCCCACCTATAAAGTATTGGTATAATGAGTTAATGCCAATGGTCTTCCCACTTTCCTTTTGGACGATCAAACCCAGATAATGGTAATACTTTCACTAGTGCTTCTCCTTGCTTCATTTATTGTTCCTCCTCACTTAATTCATTGATGACGAGTACCATATTTTTTGTTGCATTGAAGCTTTTTTTGAGACATTTTAATTTTTAAGCACCTCTTAATAGTTCTAATTTAGCTTTCCACTTTGACTGGATCTCATAAAAAATAATATTAAAAATTAAAAAAATTAAAAATAAAAAAAACTATAAATTATCAGTAACCATCTACAACAGAGTTGTGAACGCCCGTTAATTCTTCAGTAGCCAGCATAACAACTAGTCCGGTCCTCCAACCATTCTCCCACTAATTATAGCTCCCCAGTCTTTCTGCTTTGGAATCTCTCTGTTCCAGTGTATGTTCTTTTAATATATATTCCAAAGCAACCACGAGTAGTGTAAGAAATGATTAGATATTGTTACATTTAAGAATTCATTTGAGTTTCTAATAATTATGAATTCCGTAGGTTGTAGAAGAAATGTGATCCGAAATCAAAATTTACAATGATGCCGATCAATTAAAGCAATAACACAATTTTACATAACAAAAATAATTACCATAGATTCGAGATGTTTATCAATAGAAGAAACTTCTTCTCGTATCCCAAGCAATGCATCGGCAGCTGAAATGAATGAGCGGTAATTTCCAACCGCCACTTCTTGCATCTGCCGCCGAATCCTCTCTGCATCGACCCGAAGAAGTTCTGGTTCCTGTAAATCATTCAAACAAATTAATGTATAAATAAATGCATACATACATACATACATAATATATATATATATATACAGAGAGAGAGAAATTGAGGACCTTGTGAAGGCGATCGAGAGTGAAGGAGAGGAGTTCAGAGACGTAAGGCTGTTGAGAGACGGAGGCAAGAGGGAGGAGACCTGCTAATGTGGCTGTCTCGTCTGCAGGAGTTTCGGACTCCATCATCGACGTTCCAATGCTGTGTCGAATTCAATCTTAATTCAATTAGGGTTTGTTTTGCTCTGTATTATGTACAGACTACACAGGGGAGATGCAGATCCAGAGAGAGACTAACACAAAACACAATCCACAATCCACAATCCACAGTGTGTTTCTGTTATTTTCATTTCTGGTCCATATTCTATTCGAATTATGTCTGGGTCCATATTCGGTCCATATCGTGTTTGGGTCCATATTCTATTTGAATTTGGTTGGATTCTAGCGGAACCGAAATCCGAACTGAGATGGTCCGTTAACATCTGACTCCGAATAATGCTTTGCTACGATACGGAAAATATGAAGAATAAGATGAAGGTTAGGGTTATAAGAAATTTAAGTTTTATCAATTTATCGGGCTTAGTTTGGTTAATGGCTAAACTTAGTCTTACATTCTAAATGAGTCGTTGTATAATTTAAACAGATTCCTATAATATATTTAAAACGAGGTTATGCATAATATAAACAGTATCTCTCTTTCATGTATATAGTATATAATTGTGTATGTTCACAAGCTTTGTTTAGAAACATAAACAGTTTCTCTCTTTCATGTGTATAATATATAATTATGTATATTTTGAATTGTATTATGTACAGATTACAGAGTGGAGATGCAGATCCAGAGAGAGACTAATATAACACATAATCCATAGTGTGTTTCTGTTATTTTCATGTCTGGGTTCATATTCTATTCGGATTCTACTGAAATTGAAATTCGAACTACACGAGATAGTCCACGAACATCTGACCTGAATAATGCTTTGCTACTATTTGGAAGATAAGAAGAATAAGATGAGGGTTAGGGTTATAAAGAATTCGAGTTTTGTCAATTTCTAGGGCTTAGTTAGGTTAATGGCTAAACCTATTCTTACATTCTAAATGGCCTGTTGTATAATATACTTAAAAAGGGTTTATGTATAATATAAACAAGTTCTCTCTTTCACGTATATAGTATATAATTATGTATGTTCATGAGCTTTGTTCACAATCATAAACAGGATCTCTCTTTCATGTATATAGTATATAATTATGTATGTTTTGATCTATATTAAATATAGACTACAGAGGGGAGATATAGATCCAGAGAGAGACTAATACAACACACAATTCACAATGTGTCTTCGTTATTTTCATGTCTAGGTCCATATTCTATTCGAATTCGGTTAGATTCTACTGAAACCGAAATTCAAACTGCATGAGATAGTCCGCTAACATCTGACCCGAATAATGGTTCACTGCGATTTGGAAAATATAAAGAATAAGATGAGGGTTAGGGTTATAAGGAATTTGAGTTTTGTCAATATATGGGGCTTAGTTAGACTAATGGCTAAACCTAGTCTTACATTCTAAATGAGCCGTTGTATAATTTAAACAGGTTCTATAATATACTTAAAACGGGATTATGTATAATATAAACAGGTTCTCTCTTTCACGTGTATAGTATATAATGATCACGAGCTTTGTTCACAAACATAAAAAGGTTCTCTCTTTCATGTATATAGTATATAATTATGCATGTTTTGATCTGTATTATGTACAGACTACAGAGGAGAGATGCCGATCCAGAGATAGGGAGACTAATACAACACATAATCCACAATGCGTTTTTGTTATTTTCATGTCTGGATCCATATTCTATTCGAATTCGATTGGATTCTACTGAAATCGAAATTTAAACTCCACGAGACAGTCCGCTAACATCCAACTCAAATAATGCTTTGTTGCGAATTGGAAAATAAGAAGAATAAGATGAGGGTTAAGGTTATAAAGAATTTGAGTTTTATCAATTTATGGGGCTTAGTTGGGCTAATGGTTAAACCTAGTCTTATATTCAAAATGGGTCGTTCGATAATTTAAACATGTTCCTATAATATTCTTAAAACAGACTTATGTATAACATAAACATGTTCACTCTTTCATGTATATAGTATATAATTATGTATGTTCACGAGCTTTGTTCACAAACATAAACATGTTATCTCTTTCATGTATATAGTATATAATTATGTATGTTTTGATCTGTATTATGTACAGACTACAGAGGGGAGATGCACATCTAGAGAGAGACTAATACAACACAAAATCCACAATGTGTTTCAGTTATTTTCATGTTTGGGTCCATATTCTATTCGAATTCAGTTGGATTCTACTGAAACCGAAATTCGAACTGCATGAGATAGTCCGCACCCGAATAATGCTTCGCTGTGATTTGGAAAATAAGAAGAATAAGATAAGGGTTAACGTTGTAAGGAAATGAGTTTTGTTAATTTATGGGGCTTAGTTGGGTTAATGGATAAACTTAGTCTTACATTCTAAATGAGCCATTGTATAATTTAAATAGGTTCCTACAATATACTTATAACGGGCTTATGTATAATATAAACAGGTTTTCTCTTTTATGTATATAATATAATTATGTATGTTCACAAGCTTTGTTAACAAACATAAACAAGTTCTCTTTTTCATGTATATAGTATATAATTATGTATGTTTTAATCTGTATTATGTACAGACTGCAGAGGGGAGATGCAGATCCAGAGAGAGAGAGACTAATATAACACACAATCAAAATTGTGTTTCCATTATTTTCATGTCTGGGTCTATATTTTGTTTGAATTTGATTGGATTCAATTGAAACCGAAATTCAAACTCCATGAGATAGTCCGCTAACATCCGACCCGTATAATGCTTTGTTGCAATTTGGAAAGCAAGAAGAATAAGATGAGGGTTAAGGTTAAAAGGAATTTAAGTTTTGTCAATTTATGGGGCTTAGTTGGGCTAATGGGTAAACATAGTTTTACATTCTAAATGGGCCGTTGTATAATTTAAGCAGGTTCTTATAATATACTTAAAACGGGCTTATGTATAATATAAACATGTTATCTCTTCTGTGTATATAATATATAATTATGTATATTCACGAGCTTTGTTTACAAATATAAACAGGTTCTCTCTTTCATGTATATATTATATAATTATGTATGTTTTGATCTATATTATGTACAGACTACAAAGGGGAGATGCAGATCCAGAGATAGAGAGACTAATACAACACACAATCCACATTGTGTTTATGTTATTTGCATGTCTCAGACTATATTCTATTTGAATTCGGTTGGATTCTACTGAAACCGAAATTCGAATTGCACGAGATAATCCGCTAACATCCGACCCGAATAACGTTTTGCTGCGATTTGGAAAATAAGAAGAATAAGATGAGGTTTAGGGTAATAAGGAATTTGAGTTTTGTCAATTTATAGGGCTTAGTTGGGCTAATGGCTAAACCTAATTTTACATTCTAAATAGGCCGTTGTATAATTTAAACAGGTTCCTATAATATACTTAAAACGGGCTTATGTATAATATAAACAAGTTCTTTCTTTCATGTATGTAGTATATAATTATGTATGTTCACGAGCTTTGTTCACAGACATATTTACGAACAAACAAGTCCAGTTTATGGTTGTTTGAGTTTGGCTCATTTACGAAATGAGTTTGAAAATCTTATTTCAACTTGGTTCATTTATCAAATAAACATACGGGATTCAAGCCTTTATAGAGTCGAGTTCGACTTGTTCTCAAATGAATTGGTTCACTTACAGTCCTAGTGATTGATCTGGGATCATACAATAATTTCTCACCTTGAACAATTGATATAAGTGTGCCTCATTACACCTCTTAATTTTTGATGTCCAATGGAGTTTGAACTAACATTATTCTTGGAATTTGAATATATATATTTTTGGGTAAAGTACACTAACACTCCTTTAGGTTTGATAAAAGGACACACAAATAAAACTTAGCCAATTTTGGGACAATGACACCCCTTTGAAAAAATTCCATCCAAACAAGGCCTTAAATCATATGAAAAGACAAAATTCCCCTGAATGGGAGAAGGAGAGAGAGGGATTGCAGACAGAACGATATAGAGAGAGAGATAATGGTTTTTGAGAGAGAAAGTGAGGGTTGCAGAAGAAACTAGAAGAGTTAATTCAAGAAAATAGAATTAAGTTAAGGAATTTTGTGGCACGTGAGACTCTAATCGATGAAGAATTTTGGGTGAGTTATATATATATATATTCTTATGAGATATATTCTAAGCCATGAAATTTCTCAGTACTTCTTATTTTCACAAATGACTCCAGCATTAGATGGAGGCTTTACTGTTATAAATCCAGCTTTTGGCTTGTTTGCAAGACCTGTTTAATATATTTTAAATCCAATTTATGAGTTGGATCTACATGTTCTAATTTTAGGTTGTGTTAATTGGATTTGGGGTGCCTGATGTTTATGATTTTAGTAAAATTTTCTGTTTCTTATTTTATTAATTTGTCCATTCGATCATTTCAATAACAAGTTTTTTCTCCATTTGTTTTATTATGTGGCTCTTTTGCTTGATGCACTATAACATAATGATGGAATGAATCATTGACACAGTGTTGATATATATATATATATATATATATATATATATATATATATATTTATGTATCTGTGTACACACACACACACACACACACACACACGTGTGTGTATTATATATATAAAAAAAAAAGGAAGGACGAAGGAAGAGAGAAGGGAGAGAAAGAAATGGGGTATTAAGGTTAGAAGGGTAATTTCAATATTTAAATGGGTTAATATAAAAGTTAAAGGGCAAAAATGTCAATTCATTATCATTGGGGTGTCTTTGGTAACTATATGAAACTTGAGGGGGTGTTATTGTCCCAAAATAGGCTAAGATTCATTTGTGTGTCCTTTTGTCAAATTTAAAGGGGTGTTAGTGTACCTTACCTTATTTTTTTTTATAGTCGGATCCCATTAGGTCATGGCAAGGACAGGCGTGGAATATTCTCCTGACAGAATAATTTTGTAATTATTTATTAAAAATAGAGTTTCAATCTAATTTTAAAATATATTATGAATTAATTAAAAAAATAATATAATTTTTTATTAAATAAAACATCCATCCATCCAACTCCGAGCTAAATTTTCATGATAATGTGAAATCTACACCCAAAGAAAAAAAAAATTCAATTTTTTGACTTAAATTTTTTTTCCTTCATGTTTTGCTTTAATTGGATAACATAAGTTTTAGCACTGTAGGCCTCTCTGCTGCGTGTCCCACCGTGTCACAACACGGCATGGTGCATGTGCTAGCGGCAAATCCAACGACCACCATTTGTCCATTTGATAGTTAAAGAAATGTGTAAGGAAGATACGAGTTTTATTCAACTTTTGTTTAAGTGTGAAATAGTGATTGTCTGAACTAATAATTCTGAGATCATATAATAATTTTTCATGTCCAAGTGCAGCATGGTTACTGAAACACATCTGTAATGAAGACCATCTTTCTTTCTTTGGCCCCTCATGCTTTTGCTTTTTGAAGTTATGAGTGCTTATTCTCATCATACTGATACTGATCATGATTTTTTTTAGCTCCTCTGTTTTTAACTATCCTTATCCAAGCTCCCAACTAATAGTCCATCTAAGTAACCATTTTAAAGCTAAAATACTCCTTGATATCCTTCTCTGTAATCGCTAAAATTGAACGGCTCATTCAACATGACATCTCTTAAATGCAAAACGATGAAAATGAATACAAGAAAAAGAAAAGAAAAGAAAAGAAGGTTATTGCGACTAATTGTAACCGACTGTACAAGACAAGAAGTTGAATAGTGCATTAATGTGTTTTTGTGAATTGTTTAATTTTTTTTACCAATTTATCAACAAAAATACATGACAGAAAACGGTTGGCAACGATGCTCAAAGTGTATAAAATTCTAATAATAAATTTAAAAAATAAGTAAATAAAAAATGAATGCGAATAGAGAAAAGACTGTTATTGTAAGAAAAAGAAAAAAAAAAAAATTCTTAATTGAAGAAAGAGAGTGCAATTTACTTTTATTTATTTTTAAACGAACAAAAAGAAATTTGAAGAATAAGTGTAAGAAGGAAAATAATTAAAGAATTAAAGAGATTTTTAAAATAGATCACTAATTTTTTTTGGCATTTATAAATTTCAGGGGGAATTATATATGTATATATATATATATACTAGTGGGCCAGCATGGGGCCAGGGTGTGATACCCCCTTGTTTCGGAACACGGGTTGATCAAGTCTGCGCACAAAATTAGGGAATATCAAAACAATTAAAGTATTTAAACAAACACAGAGTACAAAAAAAAAAATAAAAAGAATAATTAATACGCTGAAGAAAACTAATAAACAATAAATCCATTAATAATTCTCCAACATTTACAACTCGGGAATCCTGAAACCCAAGGACCCCTTGACCAAAATCCATTAACCAAAAGTTCACTATTAATTACTAATATCAAATTAAACGATAATAATATCTTACTTTTAAATAAAGCGAAAGAGTGGATAAGTCCTCCAGCTGCGGAATCTCAGCCTTGAGACTTGAACTTCTATTAACCTGGAAAAAAAATCACGGGTTAAACCCTACGAGTAAGTTCTCTCTACCAGACCTCTGAAAACCAATAAATAAATCATCTCTATTAAAAAACAACCCTAATAGAGTTTTAACCTTGATATACCATAATATACATATATATATATATATATATATCACATGGTATGATATTGTCTGCTTTGGACCTGAGCTTGCACGGTTTTGCTCTTGGGTTTCACCCCAAAAGGTCTCATACCAATTGGAGGTGACACACTTACATATAAGCACTTCACCTTTCCTCTACCCAGGCGATATGAGACTGTGCACCCGTAACTCGCCAGTGTGGTAGCCTGACAGTGTCTCTCGCACCCGCCCACGGCACACCGGCCCATAAGGTCATCACAATTCACCCCCTTGGAGGCCTCACGTCCCCATCGGCACACTTCCTGCTGGGTCAGGCTCTGATACCATTTATAAAGACCCACTCCACCACATGGTATGATCTGTGGGCGGGTGTGTCGTGGGTGGGTGCGAGAGACACTGTCAGACTACCACACTGGCGAGCTACAGGTGCACAAGTCCCACATCGCCTGGGTAGAGGAAAGGTGAAGTGCTTCTATGTAAGTGTGTCATCTCTAATTGGTATGAGGCATTTTGGGGTGAAACCCAAGAGCAAAACCGTGCGGGCTCAGGCCCAAACCGGACAATATCATACCATGTGGTGGAATGGTTCGTTATAAATGGTATCAGAGCCTGACCCAGCCGGAAGTGTGCCGACGGGGACGTCGGGCCTCCAAGGGGGGTGGATTGTGATGACCCTGTGGGCGGGTGTGCCGTGGGCAGGTGCGAGAGACACTGACAAGCTACCACACTGGCGAGCAACGGGTGCACAGTCCCACATCGCCTGGGTAGAGGAAATGTGAAGTGCTTATATGTAAGTGTGTCATCTTCAATTGGTATGTGGCCTTTTGGGGTAAATCCCAAGAACAAACCGTGCAGGCTCAGGCCCAAAGCGGACAATATCATACCATGTGGTAGAGTGAGTCGTTACAAATGGTATCAGAGCCTGATCCAGCCGGAAGTGTGCCGACGGGGACGTCGGGCCTCCAAGGGGGGTAGATTGTGATGACCTTGTGGGCGGGTGTGTCGTGAGCGGGTACGAGAGACACTGACAAGCTACCATATTGGCGAGTTACGGGTGTACAGTCTCACATCGCCTGGGTAGAGGAAATGTGAAGTGCTTATATGTAAGTGTGTCACCTCCAATTGGTATGAGGCCTTTTGGGGTAAAGTCCAAGAACAAAACCGTGCAAGCTCAAACTCAAAGCGGACAATATCATGTTATACGGTGGAGTGGGTCGTTACACATGGGGTCCAGGCAAATTAAATGGCTAATGTACCTTAATTGATCTCTGAAAAGATGGCCCATGTTATGCACTCTCTTTATCAAAGTATGTCCTTAGCAATTAATTCCTAGGTCCTCAATACAGAGTGTTGTGAGAAAAAGAGCGTCCCTTCATAATTGCCTAGTGCATATGATTGCTGATAAATGTCTCCATTTCTTCATCACGAAACAAATACAGTAACAATTTCATTACATAACACACATTTTAAACTGATATCGGTAAGCAAACAATAAATCTTCTGACCGTTGTTCACAGATTGAATAGGTTCAAGTTCTTGACAATGGCTAAACATTATCATGACAATGCAAAATGTTAGCTAATAAATACACATCTACGAACAAAATGAAATACCACAAAATCTATCCCCATAATTTATTTATCCATCCAACAAATTAATACAACTCTTCATCAACCAAAAAGCATAACATGAAATGAAAATAGTAACATGACAGATATGGATGCTTGAAGAGAAAGAGAAGAAGCCTCCGAAGCGTAGAAGTAGTAGTAAGGATAGGAGTAATTGCCCTGCTGCATACCAGGAGGCGCCTTACCGGAAGGAATGTTGATGTAGTCGGGAGAAGGCGGGGGAGTGGCACCCCACGAAAAGTAAGATGATGGCGGTGGAGGTGGTAGCGTGGGAGTTGGGGGTGAATCGAAGTAATAAGACTCCGGTGGTGGTGGTGGTGTTGGGGGTGAATTGAAATAATAGGACTCAGGTGGTGGTGGTGGTGGTGGTGGTGGTGGTGGTGGTGGTGAATTGAAATAAGAAAGCTGAGGTGGTGGTGCTGAGTGGTGCGGCTTTGACTGTCGTGGTGGTGGAGGTGGTGAGCATATGACAGGACACGTCGCGCAATCACTAATGCATAGCAAACCTGTTGCTGGTATGTCAGTTTGATCTGCAGCTGTTACTCTGGCAAACATGATCATCACCTCTATGACCCTCAAGAGCAACACAAGCCATTTTCTTCTCAGATGTGCTAGACCTTTGGCATGATCCATCTCATGAAATGCTGATTAAATTAATGGCATATAGTTAGCTTCAGAACTAGTAGATCGAGCAAGTTGTGTCTATGGCCTTGTTTGTGACACACAACACTTGCTATACTTATCTGCTATGTGACTTAATAGCTATAGCCAGATAGAATCCTTTGCCCTCTGGTTCCATGCGTCTCTCAAAAGTTTGATTTAGATGCTTCTTCTGTGAAAAGAAAATGGAGGCCTTTGTTTGCTGTAAAGGAGGACAATCACAACCACCCATGTTGTCTTTGGTCAATGAAAGTTTAAATTTGTTTTATGAGAAATTAGTATATGCTATAATGTTATCGGCCAATCACAATTTGACATGAAAACAAATGTGTCAATTTTATTTAACTTTTATTTATGTATCGAATAGTGATTGATCTCGACTATGTAATCCAAAATTATAATATGAGGATTGGAGTACTCCCAAACTCAGTAGGGGAGTTATTTAGCGCAATTAAAAAAAAAAAAAAAAAATTTAGAAATGATATGAGCACCCAGCGTCCATTTGGCACTTTTTATAAATTGAACTGATCTTGCTTGCATGATGGGGAATATGGCTTTTAGTAAAATTGTGAGTGTTAGTTACATTAAGCTGCTTTTACAATTATATTAAGGCAGTGTGGTGTGTAATTAATAAAATGTTGTGACATATTGAGCACTGAAATCTTTACTTTCGGCGGTGATTGGATGGATATAGCACAGAGGATTGGACCAATAGGGAACCTCAAGGCAATGGGTCCCACCTAGAGATCTATCTATTTGAAATTGAATTGATCAGACAATTACGGGTATAATTTTCAAATGACAGTGCTAAATATTTCGGTGGTACTTGCTTTATTATCTCTTTGGAGTTTGGAGTATGTATTATTGAATATATATATATATGTCATTTTCATTGGGGGAGGGGAATCCAAAGTTAGGAGTGTTTGGCAAAGTCATCCCCTCTTTTTCTTATGCCTTTCTCTGAACATAATCTACCTTTGGGGGCATCAATTCTCTCTCTCTATCCCCCACAGTTTCACACTTTATACTTTTCTTGTGAATCTCTTCTTTGGTTCCAACCACAGAATCCAATTTTCTATTGCAGTTTCCAGGGAGTTCTTTGCTTGGATGCCAATATTCCTTAAAGTGGACAGACAAGACAATTAAGCAGTGCTGCTTGCTTCAATAATATAGACATTTAATCCCAAATCATTTATTCAGATTGTGACACTTGGATAGAGCATTGCACAATTTGAATTATTTATTCTCCCATTCTAATATCAAGACACTAATTCCATAAAATCAAACACAACTTGAGCGTACTTGTGTTTTATTATCGTGTACCACCCCTCTTTTTGAGTGAAATTAGTGCTAAGCCACAATTGACTATAGATTTTTCCTAGGAGAATTTGATAAGGTCAATTCATTGAAGTTAGGGGGACACAATACAATAAATTTTCACCTCAATGATCATTCTTATAGGCAAAAAATGAAGTCCGCCTAAAGAAAAGAATTGAACTTGGAAAGTTAAGATCATCCCTATTTATGGAAAAAAGAAGTGAAGATCATCCCTATGTATGAAAAATGAACCAGTTATTATTGTTGTTTGATTGTCGTCATAGTTAAGTGGTGGTGGCACTGAGCTTTAAAGCTAAACTTGTTTCTTTATCAAGCAAAGCTGAATAATCACCTTTCCATTAGAGTCTTATCAAAATAGCAAACTTCTATTCCTACTGCAGCAAGAAAGCTCAAAAAAATAAAATAAAAGATTAAAACATAGAAAATGAATTCAGAATTTCCTGAAAATTTGCAAACCGAATAAAAAAATGATAAAATTGCAAAGGAAAATGATATTCAAGCCTACGGGACCCACTTCAGGCCATCAATGGCCTTAATTGTTTCACTTTGATAAATAGGCTTAACTAGTCGGCTTGAATATCACGACTCCATTGCAAATAATCCATTAGACAGGGAGAACACTTGAAACAGATACATGGTTGAACTTGCATCAACTTCGGCCTGCCAAGAACTCTGTAAAAAAGCACTGTCTAATCAACCATACACGACATAATACAACAAATTACCTGCTAAACAAATCCAAAACATAGATCACTACACCTCGGCTGTCTGCTGCCCCGGATCACCCCACCTCCGGTAGGTAGGCCTCTAGGAAATACACAAATACAACTTTGGGTCGTGTGCTGGCAAAAAGAAAAAGAGGACCAGATTTGCCAATCGAAACTGGTTATCCTGAGCCAAGGACCCATGAACCGGAGGGTGATTTAGAGCTGGACCAGGGTTGGAGCACTATATAATTAAAACTTGACATGACATAAAGATAGGAGTGGCTCGAGAGAAATTGGATCAAATACAACTACACAATTTTAATAACGGGATAATTTAACTGTCAAGTACAGCGTATTTTTGCTCTCATATTAGCTTGTGCCACACTAACCAGAGTATACCCACATAAAACAAGCTTCATTCTGTAAATATAGTTTTAGAAGCTGGCTTACAATCTCTTTAAGACCTCTTAGACTGATCATCATCCCAGCCACATGTCTATGGTCATCGTGGACCCCCAAATTGTTGCTCATTATGATCAGATGGCAGACGGAAAGGAAAATGTGCAAAGTGTATCCTCAAGACGGGGGAGTCAGGTTTCTTGTCATCAAATTTGTAACCTGATGAAGATACCATAGCTCATAAGCCTATCAAATGATGTAATTTTCAACAGAACATCAAATGAGTACATTTCAATTTCTTCAAAGCGGGTACGACAAAACAACTCATAAAGTTTATATACTCGTTTTAAATATAAATTAGTAACTATATAAAAAAATGTAAATTAGTAACACAATCAGGAATTTGAGGTACATTAACTAAACCTATTGTGATGCATAATGATCAATTAGAGTGTATAATTTGCATGTACAAAAGCACAACTATTATGTCTATTGAATTCACTTGCTTTATATAGCATACCGTTGTTGAGTTTCCTTGTCCACCATAAATACACCCCAAGAAAGGGTATTGAGTGTGAATTATATTTACATACAAACTTGTGCATAGATCAGAAAATTTTCAGAACTTCTTAGAGAAATACTTTACCTTGAAGAGCTTCCATAGCAGTAAGAGCACATTTGGCATCATCAAACTCAACGAAGCATAAAACCATTGACTTGTCTCCACTCTGCAATATAATTGTCAATCAGAATATCACTATAAAATGGTAACAAACATAAAAAAATAATAGAAGGAAGCATACGCTGACATTAAAACATTATGAACATGAGCAAGAAGCAACTAAGTAGGATGACAAAAGCAGAGTTTCTTTGCCCCATTATGGAGCAAAATATGGTTCAAGAAAAGTTGTTGCCAAAGGTTTTAGTGTATGTGTGAGTCAAATTGCGGGGTAGGATTCCCTTTGAAATCAGTTTCATCTGCTACTCACCATGACAGTTTTTTTTTTCCTTTATTCATTATCCCATTTGATGAACAATTAGAAACTTGAAAATAACACACAAATATAAAACATGCTTCCAAACTGAAAATTTCCGATGCACCCCATGAACATAGGTATGGAGTCCATGCTACATCCTTCTATAGGCAAAGACCGAGTCACACCAGGTCTCTCAAATCCATTGGTAACCAGTAGCCTCTATCAGTAGTTATATAATAGCCTAGCTCTACATGACAGTGCAAGATATTTTACATAGGTACAAAACAATTTTTAGTGGAGCTGAAGCTAGCCAACCATTATTTGAGTCTAAGCAAATCGACAACATATTCACAACCCGATCATCTTGCTTGAGCTAAAGCTAGGGAACCAAAATTTGAACCTAGAATGCACATCCCAGACAAACAAATTGATAGCATGTCTACAACCCAAGTATTTTCCAGCATATCAATAGCTTCCCTGTATGATGCACCAAACATGCCTAAAAGATCATCGTATAAGTGTTTGGCAGGTGTCTAACACAGACAAGTGTCCAGCAACTTCCGATAAAAGATCATCATATTAGTGTTTGACACGTGTAACATGGAAATGTATCGAACACCTTCTGACATGTGTCATACAAATTAAATAACTTCTCTTAATTTTGAAAAAAGTAAGCATATATGCTGGACAGGAAGCAGGGAGGCAATTTAGAAAGTTCCAGAAGAGAAGGGAAGAGGGAGATCAGTTTAATATGGGAGATCTTTTAGTAATTTCCAAGAACAAGGAGGGGCAAAATATGGCAAGGAAAAAAAAAAACACACTTTTGAGTTAAAAAAAGACACAATGATAAGTTGCTGTTTGAGAGAGAGAGCGAGAGAGTACAGGAAGATGAGAACAGTGACATTTGAGGGAGACCTACCAATGACCATCTATGGAGAAGACGAATAAACAGTATGATAAGCCCAATTCGTCAATTTTTTATTTTTTATTTACAACATTTGTTGCTTCTTTTCTTTGTTCTAACAATTTGAGGCTTTAAAATGTTTCATTTTTCACATCCTAAACCCTAAATTTAAATGTGGCATTATATTTAAGATGTTTTGAAATTGAAAATCTGTAATAGCAAAACATTAAAATATTATATTATAAGATCATAGGGGACATTACTTGGTTCAAATCTTGAGAGCAGTCACTTTGTGAAGGTATTCCCAAAGAAATGTGCCTCTCAGCATTCTTGATTAACAAGGAGCAACACTGGGTAATGACCGTTATACTAATAGGATCATATTATCATATGTATAAAAATATACTAATATTATAAGACCATATATAATATATATACTTATTAATATTTGCCACGTCTGCATTATAGTTTTTATAGGTCAATGTCACTGACTCACTGTGTCCGTATCATAGCGTATCTGTGCTTCAAATACATACGTATGCTTCTCACCCATGCAATAAATACCAATTTCTATAATGACCTAGAGCAACTGAATAACTCGGTAATTGCATTCAGTGGAAAAACATGTTACAAAACTGATGTCTAAAGGTACAGTGCAGGTTAACTAGGGAGCTTTTCAATGGGATGAAGATTGAAGCAAGGGGAAGTATTAGACAATTACAAGGTAGTTCCAATTTGTCTAGTCACATGGACTTAAGAAGTGTGAATATGAAGACGTGATCAAACAAAAAGTGAACATTTTTTGCTAAATTTTTTTCTACCAAATCACTTCTCAACATATGTAGGCCATATTTATTTTAGCTAACTTAACAGATCTAATCAGCAAAAAAATGAAAAAATATTTTGGTTTGAAAAATGCAGTACTGTTAACCAAATAAAGATGATTGATTCTGCAGATGAGAAACCATTTAAATCAAAATTAGGTTTATGCTGATTATTTTTTGAACAGAAACATTCTTAAGACTAAGAATCTGAAGCCCAAAAGAAATTTTTTTTTGCTATGTATTAACCAAGTAGGGTTTTTTTAAATTAATAAATTTTTTAATAATTTCTGATAATCAAAATCAATCAATAATTCAAACCAAAAAAAGGATATAACCAAAGATGGAGAAGATGATACGACTAGATTCACTTGCCATGGGGAAAAAAAAAAAAACTAGGTAAACTGTTAATAGCTTTAGTTAAAATGGCAATCATCTATAGTACATTCTAAAATGAAGCAGTAAACTTACACGTCTGGGCTCCCTATGAACGACTCTGATATCTTTAAAGCCGATGAAAGGACGAAAAAGGTCTTCAACTAGAGTCAAGGAATAAATTGGAGTAACAAAACAATATATCCAAAAAAATATAAAAAATCAATATATTCAGGGGGCCTTTGGACACATATGGATAATCCAATTTTTGTTCCATAGTATAGATTTCTATCCTACCTCTAAAAGCTAGATGGCTGCTCCTGTAGATGCAACCATAAGCTCATTTTAAATCGCACTGGACACAAACTGGACTTATCCAAAAGCTCCCCATGAATTTCAATAAAGTATTAGGCTCTATCAAGATGCCACACGACCAAACCACAAACAAATAACAAAATACAAGGATACGGCCTACTTCTCTCCTTAAACAGTCATTTGGAAGCCCTTCAACAAACAGAATATTTGATTCTCCTGCTGGAACTGGAAGGCCATCAACTTTTCTCAGAGAGTTGGGCCTATCATTTATTAAATCCGGGATGCCTGCGCTGACACCTAATGCAATATCTCGTCTTTGGCTCAGCAAACTTGGATCTTGTAAAGGAGCTGGGTGGGCATTAATGCTTGCTCCTGCTGTTAATCCACCAAGACTGTATTCAGGGCGAACACCAACACCAGTAACATCTACACCATAAGGCCCAGGCTGCAATGGCAATACCTAAAAGTAAAACCAAGAAACCCATTTTACCATTACCCATACTTCCAATATAATAACTGAAGAGTCCACTAGTAAATGAAATTCTTACATCTTTTCGTAGGTAATCTGAAGCATTACCCTGCAGATCACTGAAGTTGTTCCATGGATGATGAGATGTTAATGATGATGGTTCAGATGACAAGTAGCCAGGAAAGCTCGGTATTGGAACACTGCCTGTTATTATAACAAACTAATCAAGGCGTGTACTAAGATCAACAAAGATTTCTGTATCAGAGAAGTTTATTATATATATATATATAGCTCGTATTGGATAATAGTAGTTTTCCATTGTTGTTTATTCTTTATCTTTCACTCAGTTCTGCCACAATGAGAATAGCGTCACAGAGTAATCCTCTAACATCTAAGAATCAATATATATTCTTAAAATGTACAGAAATAGTATTCTGAACATATTTAAAGGGAATGCCCTAAAAAAATAGCCTGGCTAAAGCAGTATCATAAATGTAGCAGCAGAATTTGAGCATAAATCAGATTCCGAGGAATAAAGATAAAGAAGAAGGAACTATTGAAAACCCAAACTATGAAGTCGACAAACAAGCTTCAAATTTAACTCCAGTTGAAATTTTAATATGCAAACCTGTGGAGGTGTAATATACTTTATTGATTTATTCCCTCCATCCCAAATTAAGTGTCGTCATTGGGAACTGTGACAGACAACACTTAATTTGGGATAGAGGGAGTAACTTATTAGTATTATTTTTGGTTTCAATTAGATGAACATGATTTCAAATATGCAATCTAGATCTTAAAACTCGCACAAATTACCATCAATGAATCCGTATTTAGAAAACCCCATCTTGTAAAATGGATACGATACGACACAACAAATCCTAAATAATAAAGACATGGACATGGAGGGAACACAACGAATAACAAATATACATTTTTTCAAAGTTAAATATACATTTTTTTTTTTAAATATATGTGATAATATATTACAAGACTAATATTACTTTTCATCCAACTAAGAACAAAAAATTCCACATCACAATAACTAATGAACAACAACAGCAATTCACTCATTTAAGAACAGAGGACGGGCTGAAGTATAAGTAAATTTTTTAAATTCCATTTATAAAATTCGTTGTAATCTAAATCCATAGCTAAACAAATTATTACAGATGCTTAATGAATGGAAGGAAAGAAAAAGAGATGAGAGAGCAAGAGATAGATAATTGGCTGAAGTAAAATTTCTGCTTTCTAAAATTAGGGCTTTGTTGAAAAAAGAGAGGAAAGGAATTCATCTAAGAGAGAGAATCTTTAAAGAAAGAAAATAATAATGAAATAAGGAAACTAAGGTGTCGTTGAGAGAAAAAAGAAGAAGCTCTTTGTTGATAATAAAAGAGAGAACCTGTAGAGGAAGAAAGAAGATTGTGATAGGAAGAAGAGGACAAAAAGAAAGGGAAAAAAAAAAAAAGGATTTGTAAGGAGAAGAAGGTTAGCCAACAGTCAAGTTTCATTAAACCATCAAAGTGAATTCGAAGTTGGTTGCAAAAGAGAGCAATTCTTACCCTTCTCTCTTTGAGATCTTTTACAATTTCAAACAAGCAATAACTATAAAAAACAAAAAAACAAAAAAACAAAAAAAAAAAACAGCCTGATAAATCACATTTTAAAAACTTTTTATTTTTTACGTTTTGACCTCCATATTATTTAAACTGTCCAAAGAATTCCACATACTTCGTATTTTATTTTTTTATTTTTTGATAAGAACACAATTTGTATTTTAACCCTTTTAATAAATAAATAAATAAATAAATCCTCTTTTAATCAGACATGCATGTTGACAATGTATCCACAATGTATCAACATGCCCGTCACGTGTCCATGGCATATCCACAGCACGTCCACGACATGTACAAAATGAAAAATATTCAGAGACAGTTTTTTTGGCGTGTCTGAGATATGTCAGGCCATGTCCATGTCTGACATAGACACTTCGACCTTCTAGAAGCTCAACAATGATGCGAGGACTCAGTTGAGCTGATCGAGTGGGGCTGGGGGATGATCCAATTGTTTTTTCTGGATCTGAAGGGCTAGATTGGGTGTTTGAATCCTGGAGCATTTACAAGGTAGAGAGATGGAAAGAGCTTTTTGAGGAAGTCCAGACTCCAGAGGAAAAAGTAATAGCAGATTTGTAAGAGAAATTTGAACGAAAAGCAGGGCAGAGGGGGTTTTGTTTAAAGGGGAAAGGTTAAATGTGTCTTCATGCAAAAGTAGTGGATGGTAATGTTAGTAGAAGCATTTAGGTGGAGTTGATGGAGCTGGGGTTGAACCATATGTAAAAACATATGTAAAGGTAGCTGTTATTAAGCCTTGCCCTAGCCACCATCGAAGGTCGGGAGCAACTATCGGATTTGAAACTCTATGATCTCAAAGATGAGAATGACTGATGTCAGGAGGGGATTGATTTCTTGCGATGGTTTCTGGTGAAATAGGGTGGGGACAGCTTCAATTCAGGGAAGGGGTTACGTTAAGGATTGCTCAATCAAGGTGGAAGATAAAAGGAGATGCTTCAAGGTTGGAGCTCAATAAAGGGCTTCCTCACCTCATAAATTGTCCCAATTAATAGTTGAATTTCATATGGAACTCGATAAAGGGGCTTCCTCACTTCATAAATTCTCCCAATTAATAGTTGAATTTCATTATCAAGCTTCTCATGTTAGTTTGAATTTGGAGGTAGACTAGTGCCAAATAACATCCTTGCGGTTGATTGAGCTTTTTTCTACTTCTAGTTTCATAGTTTCTTTTGCACAAAACACCAATTGATTACATGTGTGTGTATGTTGTAGTTAAACTGAAGATTCTGCAGGAACCACAGTATATAAGTTAATTTAGATTGAAAACTTGATTCTGCCAACCAAAACAAAAACATTTTCTCCTATTCCTTCTCTATTTGTCATCTTAAAAATAATTTTTAAAAAAAGTCAGCACAATTTATTTACAAACCAATTCTTGAAAAAAATTGAGAGCCAGATTAAATCAATATGCATGTACATGTATATAAACATATATGATTCAAATCAAATTGAACGTTAAAATCAACAGCAAGGTATCAACAAAATGCAGGTGAATGCGGCGACATGAAATCAATTAATGTTTGAAACAAGTAAAAACCGAATTTTATGTTGGGCTCTATCAAAGTGATTTTTGATTTCGGAGATCACAGAGATAGGAAGGTAGAGAGAGATTAGGGTTTAGGGTAAAAGGATAAAACCTCTGTCCGCAGGAGCACCGAATCTCCGGTAGGGATCCCCCATGAGCGTCTATCAGCTCCCACCTCTCCCTCTCTCTCCCCACTTGCTTGGTGAAATAAGGCCAAACTCAAAAGCTTTTTACAAGTGAATTGGGAGTCTATAAGCCCAAAAAAACTTGGCCACGACAACATTGTGAACAGAACTTCTCAGAAATTTATTTCTGGGCTGAGCGGAACAAACTGACAGGCACAAGGTGAGGCGGGTTTATGATCGGTGTTTTATTGGGCCGAACTAGCCCAAACCGACAAAAAATAAAAAGAAAAAATTGAAGTTGGTAGATTTCACATTTCTTGTAGACGCTGTTGTGCCTTACAGGTTTGGCCATGTCATGGTGGTATCATGTAAATAAATTCAATTTGGTAAATATTGATTCTTAAATCATTATTATCTTATTTCTTACCTTTTTGGCATTCTTCTGATTGATTGAGTAATTATTAGCCAACAATTACTTTTATGCACTTCAAATCAGTATTCACTTATGATATCAAGGGATGAACTTGTGTCTCCTCAGTCATTTGTTCAAAGGCATTAGGCATACGGCATGGCATACCTTTATACCGTAATATCTTGGTCCATGCTAGGGCACCACATGATGACATTATATATATATATATATATATTTTTCTTTCTTTCTCATTGATAAATAAAAAATTTATTGACACCAAAACACAACAATCTCATTATAGTTGATGTGGATAAATTTTGTACGGTGATCATATACTTAGACAGATATATTATAGCAATAGTAATTAAAAAGTGTTGGCTAGAACATTTAGAGACATGAGAGAATAATAATTTATTTATTTGTTATGGAAATGAATAGTAGCATGTAATTAGTTACTTGAACTATTATTATATATTTTTTCAGTAATTTACTATTGCTTTATATTTTACCCGAAAATAATTATTTTATTAATTATTATCTTATATTTCAGCCAGAAATCACTATATTTATTTATTTATTTATTATTATTTTTTTTTTCCTTAAACAAATGTAAAAGTGTGACCATTCAACTCGGACATGGGCAACTTTTTTTAAAAATAAATGTTTAAAAGTAAAAGTTAGACAATGTTTTATTTAATTTTATATTTAATTTCAACACTTGTCATGATTTTATTGAAACTGGATCGGACCCAAATGTTGTTAATATTTGTAAAATGTCTTTTATAGCTGGACTGATTGAATGATATTTTAATAATAATAATAAAATATCTCAAAGCAATATACTAGATTGCCCATTTTAAAAGAAGATTACAATATTAGCCTCCTAACCAATCATAGAAACCCTTTTTTCTTCTCTTTACCCTGTTTCTTATCCACCTCCTGCCACCACCACCGGCGGAACTAACAGCCACCGCCACAACCTCCTCCCGCGGCTACCTCCTTTCACCACCGTCACCACCACGACAACCCTTTCTCTTCTATCGTCTATGTTTTTCTCTTCTCTCTCCTCAATGGCATATTTAAACAGTACGCCCCTAACCCCTGACCTACGGCATTTGAATTCTTGTTTCTTCTTTATACATATTTGAATATGGCAGGGCAGAACCAGATGCTTAAGACGGATATATTTGATCTATGTGTATTTTAGGAGAGCAGATTTGGATCGGGACGGACGGATCAGTGGAGCTGAGGCTGTCGCTTTCTTTCACTGCCATCAATTACCGGTAACCAATCTATTCACCAACACTTTGGAATAGTCAATGCTTAATCTTTAACATAGAAATTAAGAAGGTACCATACAATTAAATGCCAGAACGACCTTGTGCTTCCTTTTACATTCGTTTTTCACGAAAATTAATGTTATTCCTCTTTTTACATTCAGTTTCCATGGAAATATTTTCTAAATCGAAATGATGACAGAGAAAAATTTATGGAAAAAAAAAGCATACATATATATATATTTTTTCCTGTAAGTAAAAACTACATACATTTTGTAATTGCTCTATTATCATTCAACAAATTAATCATACAAATGTGTGTCTGATGCTTCAGAAAAATTCTGAAAAAAAAAAAAATTGATCTGCTTGTTTTGTATCACTCAAAAAAAAAAACGAAAAATAAATAAATAAATAAAAAACAGTTCTAGGAACTAGTATTCTTGACTTTTTAGAAATTGTCTACCTAACCTTTTGTTTATTATTACTACATAACCTTTTGTCTACCTAGCCTTTTGTTGGGAACAGTGAACGACATCTTTTTGAAACAGAGAGTATTATTTTTTAAAAATAAAAATTTGATTTCACACAAAAGTAGACAGAAAGAAGGAAGGTCCCATGCAAATTCCACAACCACCTTGTGGTCCTTGTGCCTCTTTTCACATTCATTTTCCAGGCGAATGTTGACGACCTTGTGCTTCCTTTTACATTCATTTTCCAGGGAAATAAAAATTACTCGTATTTACATTTTTTACCCTATATATAATTAATTAATTCCTCCAATAGAGGAAAAAACCACCAATTGATCTATTAACATTGATCATACAAATGTGTGATGCTTTAGAAAAATTCTGAAAAAATAAACAAAAAAATCCGTTTGAATTGTCACTTAAAAAACAATTACCAAGAACTCAAAAACAAAAAAACTGTTTGGAGATAATTTTCTGAAAACAAATTTTTTTTTTTTAAACTCATCTTTCAGAAACTATCTACCATATTATTTTTTTATACAATTTTTTAATTTTCAATTTTCAAAAAAACTGAAACAGTCCCTTCCTCCGGAATTTTTTTCTTAAAAAATCTATCTATAAAAAGGCCACCATCCATAACATTACTCTGCACATTACATCTCTTAAACACAACCATAACAGTGTAAAGAATGGACCATTTACTCTGTTTTCTGATCCTACTCATCTTCTTTCATCTGCACATTCCATCCCTTCTTGAAGCTAAACTTACTGATGGTTTCAGCATCGATCGTGACTCGCAACTCTCTCCATTCTAAAACCATTTTGCCACCCCTGGACAGCTCTCAAGAAACGACACCATTCGATCCATTGCTCAAACCAACCACATCCGTCCCTCTTCTGTACAAAAAACCAACATGGAATCTACTGTAATTCAGACTTCTTCTGAACCTTCTGGTTACCTAATGAAGCTTTCCATAGGAAGCCCACCTGTTGAAACCTTGCTATGTTCGATACAGGAAGTGATCTTGTATGGATACAATGCAAACCTTGTAACACTTTTTGCTTTTATCTAGACCATCCCCTCTTTGTTCCAATGCAATCTTCTACTTAATACCAAACTTCCTTGTGAATCAAACATTTGTCAACATCAATTTGATCACTTCATTGATACTGGATGCGACTTACAACTAATGAATGCGAATATAGTACTGATTATGCAGATGATTCACATACAAATGGAGTCCTGGCCTATGAAACATTCACTTTTGGTTCTAGGAATGGAAAGGTTTCTACTTTTCCCAATTTGTTATTTGGATGTGGTCACAATAATACTGGAATATTCCTAGCCAAGGCTAGGGAATTATTGGTTTTGCGCACGGACCATTGTCACTGGTTTCTCAATTGGCTGCGCAAATTGAGCAGAAATTCTCCTATTGTTTGTTGCCAAGAACTGTGAATTCAGTCAGTAAACTGAAATTCGGAACTGACTCGGCTTTGTCCAGAGATGGAACTGTTTCTACTCCATTTCTAGCTAAGGATGACCTAGACACCTTCTATTATCTCACTAATCTTCTCGGTTAGACTATTAAGTATAAGAGTCATTATTCATGCAACCTTAACTTAGTACTCTCTTGTTAGATTGTAATGAGTTGAATTTCAATGGCAACCATTCTAAGGTGGGAAAGATTTAAGGTTTGCCCTAGTTAAGTATGTGGAAAGAGCAATGATACTCTGTTCGATCAAATTGGCCTACTCATGGTCCGAATCCTACGTGTAATTACCACGTAATTACCTAAATTGTTGATATTTTATTGGGTACTAAAGATACCAAAAATAAATATGGAAAGAAGCTGAACAGAGAAATCAGAGATATATAGGGGTAGTCAAAACATCTTCAGTTTGTTTCTATATTTATTTTTGGTATCTTTAGCACGCAAATAAAATATCAATGATTTAGCTAATTACGTGACAGTTACATGTAGGATTCGAATTAGGAGTAGGTCAATTTAATCGAGTATCATTACTCTTAAATCAATAATGGACAATCAATCGGTAATAAAATCGATTTAGAGCTCCTAAATTACTAGTTTTTTCTTCAAAAATTAATTACTAGATTTAATTTTTAAATTGATATTATATATAACTTCTTATTTTAAGTGTTTTTATCCTTTTTACATGTAATTTAAAGAAATGACTTTGAATTTTTATGAATTTGTAAATTAAATCTAGTAATTAATTTTTGAACTAAAATATTTTTTTCTATCTTTATAAAGTATGAAAATTTGTAAAGAAGGAAGAATGTGTCATCCTTTCTGTTCTCTTTTCTTTGAGTAATGATACACTCTGTCCAGAGAGATAGAAAGGGGTCATCAAAAACTCTTCAGCTTCTTTCCATATTTATTTTTGGTATCTTTAGTACCTAAATAAAATATCAACAATTTAGGTAATTACGTGGCTTACAAGTCGGATTCGGACTATAAGTAGGCCAATTTGGTCAAACCGACTATCATTACTCTTGTTTTAAATCATAACTTTTACTTTTGGACACTTGTTTTGTATTTATTGGACCACATTAACAGGTTGGACCTGGACCCAAGTATTGTTCTTACAATATTACTTAGCATAAGTGGGTTCATTAATAGGAGAAAAACTTGCTTGCTAAGCCAATACACGTACTTTGGATGCTTCCATTGTATGATGTAATGAGAGTAAGAATTTTTTTTTTTTTTTTTTTTTTAATATACTTAGGGGTGATAAACGCTAACCGTTCCACTAGTATATAATTTGTCCAAATTTTAAGAGGCGTCACTATGATTTACCCTTTATAATGTTTTGGTCCAATAATCGTAGACATGAATTCATGTTAGAGCACCACACGATGACATATATATATATATATATATATATACTTAGGGGTGATAAACGCTAACCGTTCCACTAGTATATAATTTGTCCAAATTTTAAGAGACGTCACTATGATTTACCCTTTATAATGTTTTGGTCCAATAATCGTAGACATGAATTCATGTTAGAGCACCACACGATGACATATATATATATATATATATATATATATATATATATATATAACAATATCGACACAAACCATAATTTTTTCTCCCAACATCATATACAACCATTATTATGGTGAACAATAGATTATTAGGTTAATTTCACTGACATTCTCTTAGGTTTGACTAAATATCACATTGAAATAATTTTCGAATATTACTATCATTCACATTACAAACGTTAGATCCGTTATTCACTCACACTCTTAAATTTACTTTTCAGTGGTGTCAAAGCACTTTTTGTATAATAAATGACATTGTTACCCTTTTGACTTTATGCTGACTTACAAAAATAATTAAAATAACTTAAATATCATTTGACCTTGTAAATTTATAATTATTCTTTATATATATATATATAATCAAGAAGTAAATTGATTAGAGATATGAAAGGATTTTTTTTTTTGGAAGAGCAAAACCAAAAGATTAGTTACCCAGTAAACAAAAAAATAACAAATATATTATCCCTAAGAAGAAAGGAATTGTAATTCTCTCTTCCATTTCCATTTACCATTTAGAAAGATTTGCATTCATTAACACAGCATGATCAACAAAACAAAAGGAATGAGAATAGAAATAATTAGTAATAGTACAACCAGTACTCTATTTCCCTTCTCTCTCTCTGTCTCTCTCGATGTCCCACTTCTTCTCTGTTCAAATTGACATGAAGAAGACCCATCGGAGGAAACATTAATTATGGTATTGACTATGGTTGTTGATGTTAGTGACGTTGCCATTGCTTGGTCAATACCAATCCTCTTAATAAATGATTTTTGTCCTTGGTCTCACACAACATATTCAAAGCTTTCAAAATCACCACAATAAGCATGATGAATTGGATTTTTGGTGATTAGGGTTTGTAGTGAGGGAATGGAAGAGTGTAAAATTTGCAGAGAGGAAAATGGCATTTTAGTCATTTTAGTTTAAAAATATTTTACAATAAAATGCATTAAAAAAATTAGGGGTAACATTGTCTTTTCGCATATTTTTAACGGTGTTATTGACGAAAAAGTCATTTGGGGTTTGAGTGATATTAATTCTCGAAAGATATTTTAATGTTATATATAGCCAAACTTAAGGTAGTGTCACTGAAATTAACTTAAGATTATTTACATTAATGACTATACTTGACAGATATATTATAACAATAGTAATAAAAAGGGTTAGGCTCGAACATTTAGGCTCGTTTGATTGAATGATTTGGTGGTCTTTAAAAAAAAAAAAGAAGATTGTGTGAAGTATGATTGAGTTGTGCTAAATGGAGAGAAAAGAAAATATTGGGAGAGATTTGGATGGATAACTATTCTCTCAAAAAAAATGGGATCCAAGATTTGAAGATAAATGATTGTGGTTAAATAATACTTTTATAATCTTGAAAGTACCTTAACAATTAAAATAAAAAACTTGTTACGACACTTGAGTCTCATCTAATGACAATTAAAATATTTTTTTTCCTTTTTATTCCTTTACAATTTTTAAATAAAAATGCTATCATTTTCTTAGTAATTTATCCAAATATGAATAGAGATTATTATTATTTTATTATTTTATTTTCTTTTCTCTCATATTTATCTTGAGAGAATAACAATTTATTTATTTTAATGTGAATGAATAGCAACGTATAATTACTTACTTGTAATATTATTTTATAATTTTTCATAATTTACTATTATTTTACTGAGTATATTTTAGTCAAAAGTCACTGTCATTCTCTTTCCATTCCCTTCCTTTGTCTTTCTTTCTTTTCAAATTCAACAGCCCAAAGGTAACAAAATTATCTTTAGAACATTATGTTTTGGTTTACATAGACATTAGAATTTAGAATAGAGTATGAATGATTGCCAATTAAAAATAAAAAATCAACATTGAACAAACATGAAAAATATGACTATTTAAGAATATATGCGCAACTTTTGGAGAAAAAAATTCAAATAATTGAAATTTACTCTGCAAAGTTATCACGCAAGTAAATATGAGTATTGAAATTTGGCTTGGTGTAGGCAACATACTTTATTATTTTTATACAAATTTCCTGTGTCTTGGGATCGCAGTTATTCACATGCTGTATAGAGATTTGGGAGAAAGACCTTTATTTATTCATTAATTATTATAATTATCTTGAATGTTAAACCTTCAAATACAAGAGAAAGGGTGTTAAACTTTTAAATACATACATTAATTGATGAGCACCTTAATAGCTTAACCTTTTTGACAATGGGTGTTCCGGCAATTTCATGTCTTTTGCTTCCATGATTTCCACATACTTAAACAACAAGCAAACCCCAATCTTTCTCAATTTAGTAATAGTCTAATCAAGAAGGTTAGTCGATCTGATTCGATACATGCATTTAAAGAATAAGAAACTTTTAACTAATCTACTCGTTAAACTATTAAGTCTTAATAACATTATTCAAACTTAATTTATTAACTATTATACATATATAAAAAGAGGAATAGGTACATGGTATACATAGGAAAAAAGGAATGCAAAGAGAAACCAAGTGATGTATACGCAGACACAGTAGTGCAATCTGCAGGAGCAAATGAGATCTGCTTCCTTGCAAGGTCATATTCCACTTGAAAGTTGATCTGAGCATAATTTCCAAAGAAGGACATATCTTCTGTAGGCAACATTGCCAAGCAACTCATTTCATCCCACTCTGCAAACATGTTTGATCTCTTCAAAGTAACATTAGCACCCGTAAAATGAAATACCATTTTCATCTCCGGAACCCTACTTAAATCATTTTTGTCATAGCACAACAAATAGTTTCCTTCTGGATCTTGCACTGTGTTAAGACCAATGGCCTCTTTCACTGCAGCTTCAACGTCATAGTAGAAACTTGCTTGTAACATAGTCAGTTCTGTCCCGGAGTCAATTACGATATTACCCTCACGACCCTGTAAAATCTCTATCTTCTTGCCTCCCACGCTTGCACCTTCAAGAGTGAGATAGTAGAAGGTGTCTAGATCATCCTTAGCTACAAATGGAGTCGAAACAACTCCATCTCCGGACAAAGCCGCATCAGTTCCGAATTTCAGTTTACTGGCTGAATTCATAGTTTTTGGCAACAAACAGTAGGAGAATCTCTGCTCAATCTGAGCAGCCAATTGAGAAACCAGTGAGAATGGTCCGCGCCCAAAACCAATAATTCCGGAGCCTTGGCTAGGAAATATTCCAGTATTGTTGTGACCACATCCAAATAACAAATTGGGAAAAGTAGCAACCTTTTCAATCCTAGAACCAAAAGTGAATGTTTCATAGGCCAGGACTCCATTTGTATGTGAATCATCTGCATAACTAGTACTATATTCACATTCATTAGTCGTGACGTCGCATCCAGTATCAATGAAGTAGTCAATATGATGTTGACAAATGTTTGATTCACAAGGAAGCTTGGTATAAGTAGAAGATTGGATTGGATCAAAGAGGGGTTGATCTTGATAGAAGCAATAAGTGTCACAAGGTTTGCATTGTATCCATACAAGATCACTTCCTGTATCGAAGATGGCAAGGGTTTCAACCGGTGGGCTTCCTATGGAAAGCTTCATTAGGTAACCAGCAGAAGTCTGAATTACACTGGTGTCGATGTTGGTTTTTTGTACAGAAGAGGGACGGATGTGGTTGGCTCGAGCAATGGAACGAATGGCGTCGTTTTTTGAGAGCTGTCCAGGGGTGGCAGAGTGGTTGTAGAGTGGAGAGAGTGGAGAGTCACGATGAATAAGATCGATGCTGAAACCATCAGCAACTTTAGCTTCGAGAAGGAATGGAATGTGCAGATGACAGAACATGACTAGTATCAGAAAACAGAGTAACTGGTCCATTCTTCACACTGTTATGGTTGTGTTTAACAGATGTAATGTGCAGAGGAATGTTATGGATGGTGCCCTTTTTATAGATGAAAGTTTTCAGAGTAAATGAATGTAAAAAGAGGCACAAGAAGGACCACAAGGTGGTTGTGGCATTTGCATGGGTCCTTCTTTCCACAACGTTGAGGAGACTAGCTCTCAAGTCTTCTTGACTAACTCAAATTTCCCTAGTGTTAGTGGATGCAAACTTTCCAGGAAAGATCCAAGTTGACGCTTAGACGACCCAGCCATTGACTTATGTAGTTTAATCTCCACTTTTTAATCTCTGCTTAGAAAGGTTAGGTGTTATTTTTTTTCCAAAAGAAGGCTTTGATTTTTATGACACCGCTCTAAGACCAAAACAAACAAACAAACAAACAAATAAAATAATAACAAAAAAATAAATACTTACTTCTAAGCCAATAGCAACGAAAAAGGTATTTTCAATACTTACTTCTATACTTTTTCTTGTTAATTTCTTCATTAATATATAAAAAGAGCAAATAAATAAATTAATGAAGAAAATAACAAGAAAAAGCATAGAAGTAGTATTGAATCGTCCATAAGCTTAACTCTTTCCAAGTGCTAGTTGGGCTTCTTTTATTCTTAGCCTCAACAAAAGACATACATAGAAGCTCTAAATTAAAGTTTATGGGCCGAGTACACCACACTTGTCTTTTGGTCTTGGCTGAATTTGGCCCAAATATCAAAGCTCTAGATTATATTGATATAGACTTTGGAACATAAGCGTAATGGTGCTGCCGAAGTGAAAGGGCACACTGCCCGATTGGGCTCAAGCACTTATAGTCTTCAGTTCGACTCCCCTCCCCCCTAACAAGTAGTAACTACTACTACTAACCTTCTAATCATTGTAAAGAAATATATGTATATATATATATATTATATATACTTTGAAACATGTAAATTTTATTGATTTTTAATTGAAGAGCAGCTCAAACCTTTTATTCCCAGGAGTTTAACTAACTAAATAAATAAAGTTAGAATTACCTGTACCATCTTATTTGTCTTAAACGGTCAACTCATCTAAGGTCTCGTTAGATAAATTGCCAAATTTAACATTGGCGAGACAAAATAATTATTACAGTTATGATCACAAAAAATATATATATATATTTAAGTTTGAATTAATAAACCCATGTTTTAGAATGGAGAAAAGAAAAATGAAGGAAATAAGCCATTTGAATTTTATAAAGGAGCTTCAAATAAGAACTCCATATATGAATAAAACGTCAAATCTCTGACTGAAGAATTCGTTATATGCTTTAATTGCTAATTGTGGTTGCTTTATTTATTACACATCCATTGTAATTGTAATTGTAATTGTAGAGTAAGTTACCATTTGACACATATGTTGGCAATCCGTGGTATGTAGAGGATTCTATATATACATGTAAGTGAATTGTTGATATACATGTAGAATAAGTTTTCATTTACACATCCTTCCATCGCATGATGTAGAGTAAATCATGGTTATCCTGGCTTAAAATTTTGAAATTTTAGAGTAAATGTGATCTTATATTTATTGTACACATTTGTGTTGAGAGTCAGTATGATTTTTCATGATAGAGAAGGTGTTGCATTTTATATTTATAAATTTAAAAATTGACATAAAATTCCATATCGAAATGCAACCTTTGATTTTTTGTGAATGCGATCTAGGAACAGTCCTTGTGTGATTTATTGTGCATCGAAGTCTATAGAACAACCTCTATGTTGTCAATGGCTTCATCCATTGCACACTTAATATTGCGAATTGTGGCTGCTTACACTATGTTGCAAATTGTGTATTAAAAATTTTGATTCTTAATTCAAGGGTCAGATTCAACTTAATTTTGCTCTTAGACCCCCAAATTTTTTGAAACTTGCTGTTAAACTACAATATATTCATTAAAATAAAGACTATCAAACAGCACAAAGTATTTTTTTGAGTATGAGAGTTGGCGGTTGTGCAAAATAATGCAATAATCTAGTAATCAAAATTAAAATTTAAATAAGTTGGTTTATTTGTGGATATTACTTATTTACCTTTTGATATCTCCATATAAATTGCAAGTACACAACCACTTGAATATATATATTTGAATTATTGAATATGGTTTCAAATGATCATAAGTGAAGTAAAAAAAAATTCTTTATTGGGTCCTGGCAAGAGTTTACGGATAAGAAAAAAAGGTTAATGATTAAAAAAAAAAAAAAAACTTTTCTGTACCATACATGTTGTCTCATTGAACTGAAATTTGTTTCATTCAATTATTAAAAAATATAAAAATAAACAATAAATTATTTTCATAAAAAAAATATTATAGTGTTAGAGATTTTTTTTTTATTTAAAAAAATGATAATAAGAATAAATTATTTTCATAATACCAAACAGGTCTTTAATTCATTGTATCCACCGAGTAAGACAAAATCAATTAATATTTCATTTTCCAAATTCAATTTTCATAATTCAGGAGTCTAATATTCTGGATTACACTGTTAGTTATGCATAAGCACAAGGCCTAATCAAGGGCTCCACCCGTTTATAAATCGCCATCAAGCCAGCTCAATTGTCACTCCTATTTATCTATTTTAGCCTAAATTTTTGTATAATTTTTTTAATTTTTAATTATAAAAAAATAAAAAACTATTATCAAAATACAAACAGTCTTAAATCCCATGTACTAAAGTTTAGAAAATATCTTAACTTATGATTGATACAAATCCATTAGTACGTGGAATTTAAGACTTTTTGTAAAATTAGTAACAAATTCATTAAACCAAGCAAATTTTTTTGTACTATTTTCTGATAACAAAACTGTTTTCATAATTACAAATTAAGCAAATCCTAATTTTTTTTATTTTAAAATTTTGACAGCTCAAACATGTAATTTTTTACAAGTAGATTTTTGTATAATCTTCTATTTTTAATTATCAAAAAACAGAAAATTATTATTAGAATACCGAGTAGTTCTTAAATATCATGTTACCCAATAGGATGATTTGGGGCGGGGATCTCATTTCCTATCCCCATTCCTGTTTAATTTTTTCACCCCTATAACTACCCCAAAACTCATCGAGTTTTTCAAAGCAACCCCCACCCTCGTATCCATTTACATAATTGGTTCTTTAAAACAGCCCCAAAAGCCACCGGGGTGAAAATGTTTGCCATTCCTAATATATATACTTAATTTATTTTAGTAATATATCGTAATATGTAAGGGTAATTTAATGAATTTATTATATATTTAGGGCGGGGCAGGGCAGGGAAACCATTCCTGAACTGGTTTCAAAATCTGTTAGGTTTTCAAAGTAGTTCACATTCTCATCCCCATTTACATTATCAATTTCTTCAAAACTGTCCCCAAATGAGACGGGACAGGGGCAAGACCTGTCGGGGTGGAAATTTTTGTCATCACCAATCATGAACTAAAATTTAGAAAATATTTTGGAAATTTTTGTCATCACCAATCATGAACTAAAATTTAGAAAATATTTTGACTCGTGGTTGCTACATATTCATAATTATTTATTTTTTCAAATTCAATTTTTAGAAATCACCTAATTTCACATCAAATTTCAGGACAACATCAGTAACACATCCACCCAAAATATCCGGTGAGAAACAATATTTTGTCAGAAGATGAGAGCACCCCACAAAAAAAATAAAAATAAAAAAAAAAATAAAATAAAAAAAAAAATAAAAAGAGCCCTTCTAAATGAAAGGTTTTGGGCCGAACACACCTCCATATGTCTATCGTCTGGGCCAAATTTGGCCCAAGTAGCAAATCTTTAAATTATAGTAGTAATGCATATAAACTTTGAAACATGCAATTTCATGAATTTTTACTAATTAGTTACCCATTTGACTTTTCTGCATTGTCTACTTTGTGCAAACCTGATTTCTCTACTTTGGAGATTCCACAGAGTTAACTGCACTTGGGTTAGATATATGATTAAAATGAATACAATGAAATTATATCAAGAAACATTATTAAAAAATAAATAAAAATTAGAGGTGGGTCTGCTTAATTTAATTTTTTAAAAATAATTTTATATTTTGTTAGAACTGAAAATCAGAAAATTATACAAATACCCTGGTTGCCATGATAATCGTTTTCTAAAAGCTCAATTAAAAGAAATATTTATTTTTTTAAAATTGTCTTTTTATATTTTGAGTGACAAATACTTGAATAAAACACTACTTAATTATTCCGTTCATGTAATTATTAAATAAATACATAAAGTTGCTCTTTTTTTTTATTCTCCGAGAATGCTAATGCCTAATTTGGTTTATTTTTTTAAAAAAAGTTTTCTATTTTTTTTTGAGAATTAAAAATTGTACAAAAATTTGATTTGATTGACAATTTTTGAAAAATATTTGTTTTCATAAAGTTTTAAACTCCTGACTTCCTTTTAGGGGGTAGAGAGTTGATATCTCTCACTAACCTATTGATAAAAATATCTTAACTAAAAGTTGCTACTCATCCCTTATATCTGCAAAACAGGAGGAATGTATCATTATTTCAAAAATCAGGGCCAAGCATAATTTCACATGAAATTTCAGAGTCTCGGTTATATCGATAACCTGTATGACACTGCATGCGTGTAGTAATACAAATTTTAATCTCTCAACCGCTAAAAATATCCAATAAGAAGAAGCCATTTCTTATAACGGTTCTTCCCATTCCGTCAGAATACTAAATGCACTGACGCCTAGGGAACAGACTCTGTGCGTTCTGACATCAGGAAAAGCGTTTGTTGGTAATTGTGATTCCTTGCACATCCATTGTATGTGTAGAGTAAGTCCACCGCCCAACGTTTGACGATAGTGTTTATGTTGGGAATCATGATATTTTTCAGATTGTGTACATACGTGTCAGTGAATTGTGGATACACGTGTTAATGAATCGTAAATATACATGCCGAATAAATTTCAGATAGACATCCATACATTATATTGGTAGAGTAAAGCTGCTATACTGTTTGAATTTTTAAAGATTTGAAGAGATCTAAAAAAAAATCACTTTCATGATCAGAAAAGGTGGCACATTCATATTTATAACATGAAAAACTAACCTTCCAGAAATTTTATTCTATTTCTAGAAATATTTTAACCTTCCACTAAAGTAGTATCTGTTCTAAAAAGATGTATGTATTTTGTTAAGAAAGCTTGTGGTTTGGTTAGGAATTAGGATAACTTCTCAGCAGTAATTAATATTCCTTTCCTTCGATTTTTAGAAAATGAAAGGGAGGATAAATTTCACATAAAATTCTAGAATAAAAATGCAACATTTGATTTATTGTGCACTGAAAACGTTCTAATTTGTTTTTTTGAAGTAAAATGCAACATTTGATTCATTGTACATTGAGGTATAGGGGAACAACCTTAGTTTAAAGGGAGGTTTAACCTAGCATAAAATTCCATAGTTAAGTGCAACCTTTAATTTATTGAGTCTTTATTTGATTTATTGATATATTTTTATATAATTACTTTAGCTTTTTTTTTAAAAAAAAAAAAACCTCTATGTTGTCAATGGCTTCAGCAGTTACACATCCATTGCACAGGAAATTGTGACTAGCAGGCACACACCCATTGTATGCGTAGAGTAGGCAAAATCTAAGCTCAACCATCCAAAATAGCTAGAAACAAACAATTTTATTTAGCGCCTCTTTGAATTAGTTTATAAAAAAAAATTATTCTTAATTCAAGGGTCAGATTCAAAATTAATTTTGCCCTTAAACCCCTGAAAAATTTAGGAACTTATTGTTTAGATACAATAACGTTCATTAAAATAAATTTGCATTATTTTCAGACTATCAAACAACACAGAGTATTTTTTGAATATGATAGATTATAGTCTTGCTTGCAACAATCTAGTGGTCAAAATTAAAATTTAAACAAGTTCGTTTATTTGTCAATATTACTTATTTACTTTTTGACAAGTACACACAATCACTTGAATATATATATATATATATATATATATATATATATATTTGAAATAAATATGGTTTCAAATTATCATCAGTGAATGAAGAGGATTTTTTTTTTTTTGGGGAGGGGGGTGTATACACAAATTTTGTTAGTCTGCAATAGAAACAAAATATGGAGCAAAATAGAATTTTATTAATTTATAAATGTGGAGTACAGTCCTTTGTAATATCTTTTACAAAAAAAGAATGGTCCTCTGATTCGATCTCCTTGTTTTTGGTTGGTTGGATCCAAGGGCTGCACGAGCTTGTTCTTGAATCACTGTGGAATTTGATGAAGAACGGCACGTTGTTGGATGTGCTTGATGAGTCTCTGGATTTCTAAGTTTCTGAACTTCTGAATTCTAAATTTGTATCTGAATTTGTAAACTTCTGAATTCTGAATCCTCTCCTTTTTTTTTTCTTCCTCCAAGCCTCTATTTATAGGCTTCTTGGATTAATAGGATGATGACACGTGTCATCTCCTGATAAGGATAAAACTATAATTGGGTCGGGCCGGTTATATTGTGATAATTATCTTTAAAAATAATTATTCAAAATATATTTTATTAGGAATAATTATCGTTTCATTTAATTATCTGGGCTGAGCTAATTAAATAATTTAAGTGGACCAATCCTGCTCAATTAAATAATTTATTTAAACATTAGGCCTATATTTAATAGGTCCATTCGTTAAAACCAAAGCCCACTAAATTTTAGTGTCTACAGGGGTTCTGGCAAGAGTTTAGCAATAAGAAAAAGAGGTTAATGATAAAAATTAAAATAAAAACTTCTCTATATACATGTTTGCAAGTTGTCTCATAGAAATGAATTTTGTTTCATTCAATTATTAAAAAGTTCCAAAGATACCCACTGAGGGGGTAACTTGCATTCAAGTGAATAATTTGTCAAAACTAATATAACATAGGGATAATAAAATAAGAGTTTTATTTATTTATTTATTTATTTATTTTTGTTACGGGCAAGAAATTCACATACGCTACTCACACACACATATTTACTTTGTTCATTTGAAAACTTAAGCCGTCACTATTTACTTTGAAAGATAGAAAAGATACCACTGGGTAAGGGCGGATCCAGGAGTGTAAATTTTTTTTTTATATTTTTACTAAGGGTAATTTTAGCCAAAAACAAAAACAAAAACAAAAATTAGTTGTACTAGCCCACCCGGTATAGATTACCCATCTCATTATGCATTTCTGAATCCGCCCTTACCATCGGATCACAAAACTCTTAGTTAATAAAAAAAAAAAAAAAAATTGAGCCTTAGAGGTAATAAGAATCATTAGTCTAATAAGATTTGCTTGGTGCAAAGAGAATATTACAGTACAAAAAGTATGGGAAATCTAAAATCACAATTTTAAAAAGGTAAAAGCTCTCGCTAACATATAATTGACCAAATAATTGAGTGTCCGGTGACCATCAAGGTGCAAGTTTAATAAAAGTATTCTTGCAATAGGCTTTTGTTAACAAAATATAATATAAAATTAAGAGGCTCACATTAAACATGCTAATGCTTTGTAATCCAAAATAATGACCTTAATAATTAAAATAACATTAACTTTAATAGTCAAAAGGACAATTCTTAAAATCTTTGTGATGCCATTTGTACATAACTCCACCTAAACATATCTTTAAGTAACCTACTTACTACATACTTTCAAAGTTATCAATGTCAATGATAGGTCATACCATTAGGTCTAAACATTTTTCCACAAAAGGAAAAAATATTTAAATAAATAAATGAACTTTTCAATAACTTAATTCATTACTTTCTTTTAGATTCAACCATGCCCCCCAACAACTTAATAAATCTTGAAGAGATTTTAGAGTTTGTGATTAAAATTTCTGCAGGTCCAAGTGCTAGAGAATTTATCATGATTCCAAATAATTGGGAGACTTTCAAGAGACTCTTACCATTTGTTTAACACTAATGTCTTCTCATTTTGTACTTCATGAGGTCATTTTCGTCCAACCACTAGATTTAAAGCAAAGTAATGCATGACCTTAAGTTTGAGTTAGTTAATTAATTAATTCAATAATACAAATAAACCTGTAATCAAGTCTTTAATAATAATAATAAAACTCTGCATCTTGACTTAATAATAATAATAATATTTGAAATTTATCTCGTAATTACAAGTCCAAAGGGTAGTACTTGTGAGCATTTCAAATCAATAAATTTTTTTTAAAAAAAGATAAATAAATAATAATAATAATAATAATAAATCTTTTAACTATATTTGGATGTTGAATGGACATGGCACGAAAAGGGATGGAGCATGGAAGAATGGGTGGAAGTGCTTTAATATGCTTATCTGGATTTGACACCTGTCCACATCTCTCTGTGTGTTTGTGTGCGTTTTTTCTTTTCCCCAAATCTCTATAAATTCTCTTCATTAGTATTTCTCTTTCTAAACTGTACCCTTTTTCTTCTTCTTACAACAAGTTTCTGTACTAAAAAAAAACTTAAACAAGAATCAAGAAAAGAAGCCTTAAGAGTGATCACATTCCTAAGCAATCCATACCTTGTTTTTCTGATACTTTGATGCTTTTCAGGTCTAATATGAGTGTTACTCAAGTCTTGGGATGAGAGAGAAAGAGGAGGCTGTGAAGAATACTCTACGGTTTGTCGAAATTAGGTAGACCACTCGACTCTTCCATCTTCTGTTGTTTCAATTTAATTTCGTTTCTTTTTTTTTTTTTCGTTTTTTTTTTTCTTTTTTTTTTTTGAATAGTAATTTGAAGTGGTAGTTGTTTGATATAGAGTGGAGAGAGAGTGAGAGACCCTGTTTTCAAGAGGTTGTTGTGGGTTGCCTCAGATCCAGGGAACTAATTTTTGTGTTAAAAAGGTTAACTTTTTTTATTTTTAGGGTTTCCCTGTGATTCGTTGGACTTTGCTTTGCCTTTCTTAGTTCTTTCTCATGACCCCCTTGCTCTGTCTCGTGTTTAGAGATAAAGGGTTGTAGTTAATTTAATTTTTATCTACTTTTTTTTGGGTTTTTTATTTATTTTTTATTTTTATACATTATTATTATTTTTATTTTTTTGGTGGAAATAAGGATCTATTGTGGTTGTTTATCACTCTATCTCACTGTAGTTGGAAGTAGATAAAAGTTTAGAGAAGAAGTTATATAAGGTAGAGTAGAGACAAGGCTGACCTATCTATATTTGGTTAAATTTCTCACACAAATGAGATGGGATTCCTTGTGATTCACCAGATCTCACTACCCATTTCTATGTCAAAGCCTTGTTGGTTGGTGTGCGTCATGCCTTGAATTCTCTCTATTGTTTTAGTTATCTTGAATTTCTTATTAGGCATGGAAAATGGTCTGTGGAAATCTGTTACTGTTATTGCTAGAATATTCCTGATAATTGTAGAAGTTGATGAATTCGTTGAAAAATGATAGGTTGTCTAAATTTAAAGGGGCTGGAGGATAACTTTTACTACTACCCAGATAGTGATTTTGATGGAGGAGATGTACCGGGCGGTTTCTGTGCCATATAGATTAGGTAATTCGGTCTGTGATAACTCAACTACAGTGACCTATATGGATATCACTAAGTTAAAGTTGATGGCGGATTCCACAAGCTTGTTTTCAGATTCTGCACCTAAGGGTTCTGCTGAGTCTGTTTTTAGTGGGGGTGTGGATTGCAATTGTCATGATTCAGTGAGTGGAGTTAGTGTTACAGCTGTGGCAGTGCCTGAAGCAAATAGGAGTAGTGGCAGGGCTGCCTTAGGGGATATGGTATCTGAAAATGAAAGCAACTGTGTTGCTACAGATGCTATAGCACGGGAAAGTGAGGAAGATGATTCGTTATTTATGGACGCTGATCATAGTCTTGATAGCTCTTGTTCTCTTTCTGTTGTGAGTGACACAAGTAGTCTATGTGGCGATGATTTCTTAAATTTAGAGGGTGTGTTTGAGTCAGGGATACCAAGTTCCATTGATGTTGAGAAGAGTATTTGCAACGATGAGATTGTTACAAATGCCACAGAGTTGGGGGAGTCGAATGTTGAGGAGGAGATTGTGAGTGGTCCTCTTGTTGTGTCAGGGAATCTTGGTGTAGAGATTGCTGATGGATCTAATTCAAAATTACCTGCAGTTGTGCTTCAGATGCCGTTGGAGAAACAGATGAGTGCATCATTTGGCCGCAGTGTTTTTGAGGTGGATTGTGTGCCCCTTTGGGGATTCACCTCTATGTGTGGAAGGAGACCAGAGATGGAAGATACAGTTGCAACTGTGCCTCAATTTTGGAAAATTCCAATTCAAATGCTAATTGGTGACCGGCTAGTAGATGGCATGAGCAGGTTTTTAAGTCATTTGTCCGCTCATTTCTTTGGAGTATATGATGGCCACGGAGGCTCTCAGGTAACCCCTCTCTCTCTCTCTCCAGATTGGGCATGGTTTTTTAAATTAATAATTATTTAATTGTGCATTTGCTCAAGTAATTTTAGTCCCTGGGTTTAATTTTCTTCTTTTAGGTTGCTAACTATTGTCGTGATCGAGTTCATGTTGCTTTGACTGAGGAGTTGGAAAATTTTATGGCCAGCTCCAATGATGGAAATATTAAGGGTAATTGTCAAGAGCAGTGGAGAACAGCATTCACCAACTGTTTTCTCAAGGTTGATACCGAGGTCGGAGGACAAGATGATATTGAACCTGTTGCTCCGGAAACTGTTGGTTCTACTGCTGTTGTAGCTATCGTTTGTTCATCTCATATCATAGTGGCGAACTGTGGGGATTCAAGAGCAGTCTTGTGTCGTGGCAAAGAACCTGTGGCATTGTCTGTAGATCACAAAGTATGAGGACCTATTCTTGTATCATCTTTGTATAGTTCACAAGCGACCATTATAAACTGATATTTCTTTATCTTTTTCATTGGACTTTGTTTTTAGCCGAATCGAGGAGACGAATATGCAAGGATTCAAGCAGCTGGAGGAAAGGTCATACAATGGAATGGGCACCGAGTTTTTGGCGTTCTGGCAATGTCAAGGTCCATTGGTATGTGTTTATCATCATTATTTGACCACCTTTCCCACCTAATTTGAATTTAAGAATAGTTTTACTTAATGATACTCTCCATTATTATTTTACCAGGGACTGAAGACATTTTATAGCCATGTTAGTATGTAGGTTCTAACCATATATCGCTTTTTGAATTATGTCAATTAGTGTAAAAAAAGAAAAGAAAAACAACTGTGTTAATTTGTGATTGCATCCTATCCCATTTCTGCATTGCACTTGTTTAGCTTTCTATCAAATTTCAAAAACCAATCTTGTATGTGGGGTGCAGGTGACAGATATTTGAAACCATCAATCATTCCAGATCCAGAAGTGACTTTCATTCCTAGAACAAAAGACGACGAATGCCTGATCCTGGCCAGTGACGGCTTATGGGATGTGATGACGAATGAGGAAGTGTGTGATATTGCTCGGAAAAGGATACTTCTTTGGCATAAAAAGAATGGTGTTACACTTCCCTCAAAAAGGGGTGAAGGAATTGATCCTGCGGCTCAGGCAGCAGCAGAGTGCCTCTCAAACCGTGCTCTTCAGAAAGGAAGCAAGGACAACATCACTGTGATTGTGGTGGATTTGAAAGCCCAAAGGAAGTTTAAGAGCAAAACTTAATGTCATTTGGCTTGTATGAGTTATAGGTTTAAGATATAGTATTTTATATAGTTTAGGCCCTTCTGTTTTTCACCTGGGCTTTATGTCTTCTTCATAAGAGTAAACTATCTCTATGTACTAAAGAGCATGCAAATCTAGCCGTCTGAAGTAGTAATAGGAGGTCCTTAGGGAATTGCTTTCTCTTGCGACGTTTGATTGTATTCGTTATTTTGATAATGTAGTGGCTTGTTACTGAATTATCAAATTTGGGAAGATAGCTTGTGAGTTGTGATTATGCATTATTAATCCACTAGCAGAGCTTTTGTCTATGAGTTCTGCTATATCTTGTTGCTTTTTATTCAATGCATTGGCTGTTAAAGCGTGGATGTAAGGTGTTCTTGCTGCTATGATGCTCAAGAATATGTCTCGATCCCGTGATTAAATAAGGAGATCCTCCGACCCTTGTCGCTCTCTTGTAGTTGAAGTTATGAGAAAAAAAAAAAAAAAAAAAAAAAAAAAAAAAAAATCTTGAGAAAAATGTAGAAAATAATTACAGTAAAAATATATGAGTGCAAGGCCGACCATACAAACCAGATTACTGGGGAAAGAGTGTGATGTTGTTATAGAAATGGAGATATTGGGTTGTGTGGAGGATTGCTTGTTGAGATCGAAAGCTTGAGATCTAGATAAAGGGGTAGAAAATCATAGCAGATTTGATTAAATAAGAGGAAAATCTCAGAGAGGTGGAGGTTTTGTAACTTCACCCATGGTTCATAGAGGTTCTGTGCAAGTGCTAAAAATTACAGCATATCATGATTCAGTGTGATTACTCCAAAGTTTTATATAAATGCTAGTTTGTTCGCTGAAAGTGAAAAGACACTAATTATCAACTTCAAGTATTTTGAGCCTAAGAAAGAAGCCAAGAATTAGCTATGCTAGGCTTTGTATAAAAGTTGCTGTATGTTTGGAGAAAATAATTCATTGTTGGTCAAAGCCAAATACTAGTAAAGACTAGTTAATTACATTAAGTATTTGAGATAATACATGGAATATAGTTGTATGGAATAAAGATGAGGATGATGAAGATAGTATGGATGACGCTGAACAATGCACTGAATATAGACGAAGATGATGAAGATAATGTAATTAGCTATGCTAGGCTTTTTAGTATGGCCTGGACATATAAATGACGCTGAACAATGCACTGAATATATAATTTGCCAAAAGCTAATTAGTTTTAAAGAAATTGGATCTATATTTGCAGGTTGGCCTTCAATTTGGTTGTGCATGAATGAGACAATCCAACCTTCTGTCATTTGCTATATTCCACTTTTTAAATTGTGCAAATAAAGTATATTTCCTTAATTTGCCGCCCAACAGAAGACTGAAATATCTAAGGACGTCTTTAACAAGAAATCATTGTTGTATACAAAACGTCCAACAAGTCCTCTTTTTATTGGTATGAGCATATAATCTATTCATATTTAAAAATTGTAAATTGTGTGGTTATTGCCCCCTCCATCTTATAACCATTAAAAATACGATCGTCAAATATGATTTGTAACACTTGGGGAAGAAATTATTACTTGGCGCGTCAAATCAAAGAGGGAGAGGTTACGTGGTTTAAGACATTTTGGATTTGCTGCACGTAAACTCATGTGGTTCACTGTTTTTCTGTGTGTTTTTTGTTTTGCGGGATGAATGTTTTACAATCATTTATGAAAAGAAAAAAAAAAAAAAAAATTGTTTTACAATTTTAATGTTACATAGAGAAGGGTGGGTGCATACCCTGCTAAAACCTAGAAAATTACAGTATAAAATAAAATAAAGTACATAAAAATAATAAGAGACAAGAAAGAAAAAGAATTAGAAAAGGAGTCAAGATTGAGGTCATATTTGAGCCATTTGGCTCGATTTCCTTAAAAATCTTTTGTTCAAGTACTTGAAAATAAAGAATAGTTTTCAAAGAAGTACATAAATATTTTTTTCTTTTTTTTAAAAAAAAAAAAAAATCAGGAAATAATTTCCACATTACCATGAACAAAGGAACTCTAACTATTTTCTAAAACTACCCTTAGAAAACTGAATCAAACCCTAAAAAAATAAATAAAATAAAATAAAATAAAATCTTATTTAAAAGAGCTCTAGAAAAGCTACAAATCAAGAAAACATCTCTTGTAATTAACAAAAAAGTTCATGACAATATCAAGTAATCTATGGGGATACATACTAAAGGTTCATAAACAGGCCAACTTTTAAGCTCAAATTTTTTTGATATGATCATAGTCGTATATTGACCTAACAGCCTATTTAAGTCACTAAATGACAGTGTAATCCAAACATCAATATAAAGTTAATAAATAAATAATGACTTGCATGCTCTACTAGACAGAAAATGAAGTGCAAAGCCCAGCTTAGATGCCATATCTGCTCATTATTAAAGACCAGGTGCAGATTCGAGTTACAAGAGAGGGACAAAAACTCTGAAATTTCTGTTGATAGAAGAACGACTGCTAATTCTTCTATTGACACGGGCCTGTCCCGAAAAACGTGCAAGAAGATCTTTCAGTACAAAAAGGAAAAAAAATATATCATGTGGTTCAGAAAACACAAATATTGTGGCTCATTCAAGAATGCTATGAATGCTCAAGCACCAAACTTAGGAACTGACCTCAAACATCTGAGAAGAACCAACCAGAAGAGGAAATAAAACAAAGGTAATACCATAATCCACCAATCTACTGTAGAAAATATTCTAACTCAAAACTATATTTCTTTAGGAATGTTGGTTGTTAATACTCCTCATAAGTTGGTCTTGTGTGAAAGATCGAGTACCGAAAATTCACTTCAAGAACTTTCTTCCAAGACCGAAGTGAGGCTAATACTTCCTGTATGCCAATTCTTGTACAACCTCGGCAATATGTTTCTCATTCTGAATGCTCTGAACCCAATTCGCGTTAATGTGAACCCGCTCAATGCTTTGCTTCAAAGTCCTAGCAATTGATGGATTAGTACGGCTTGCAAAAAACTCCTCCACTTCTTTCACCTTTTCATAGGAAGAAAACTAAAAAAGAAAAAGAAAAGCATGGGTGAGCAACAGATCACATATAAAATTAAGCATAGATATCTGCTAAGTAACCATAGAAGAGAAATAGAGATTTGAGGAACTAAGAATGTATGTATAGAGAGAGAGAGAGAGAGACCGGTGAGACAATTGCGCTGACAAATTGGGTTATTAGAAATCCAGATCCATATGTTTTTGAGATGTGATCCCAATTTTCCTGCATCCAATCAATTAACGGGAGAAACCACGGATCAGAAAATAAGGTTGTACTTTCTTTCTTTCACTGCAGTGTCCCTTCAAATGGACTGTTTTTGGACTGGTTCTTGCTAATGCTAGAGTTGAGACACAAGGATTGAATGCCACATGAAAGTCACAAGTAATATCTTTTCTGTGTTTGTGTTCATAACAAATGGCAGGAAGAACAAGTACACACTATTCACACTATTGCACACCTTGCCTTCATTTTATTAGCCAATACGTCAGGTAAATCAAGAAAAGTATGAATAAGAAAGAAAAAGAAATTTCAAAATAAATACAAACTTTAGCTGCCTTCTTGTTATACCACAAGATCAACTTAGCTTGAGCCTCTAGCTATTCAAATTAGATCACCAGACCTATTCCAAATATGAAATATCAGTCAATAAAATCTGTCAACCTAGAAAAGAAAGGTGCATGGCATCTCCTTCAGGAAATATTTATTTTTTAATATACTTTTAACTCACAAAACTTAGTCGCAGATTCCTATGTTATTTCAGGGTATTGTCTTTTAAGGAGTAGAGATTGTTAAAGCATAGTTGGCCTTGTGTATTTCTTTGGGTTTCGCTCCCCTTTTGAGCACTCTTGTATAAAATTTTACTTGATAAAAAAAAAAGAGATTGTTAAAGCATAGTTACAATCAGGATTTTGTCCTTCTACAATGGTCATAATTCTTAATCAACAATATCCACACTCATCTTTTGCAAGACAACAAAAGAGATGAGTACCTTCAGCCACCTCCAAGTTGTATCACGTCCTTCCCAACTAACACTAAGTCCAAAAATAGCATCTTGGCTTCGAACCTTTAATGAAGAAAGAAACAAACTTAGCAAATTCAAGCTTCAATTATGGCCCATCAGTTTCAAAAGTTTGACACTTCAGTTAGTAAACAAAAGCAGAGTTACCTCATAAGACAGCATAAAGTTGAGAACTTCAAGAATAATATCTGGATCCGGACAAGATGCTAACGAACCTACAAATCATATGATAATATCTAGTTGTAGTTAACTAGATAGATTCAGATGTTTTGCATCACTTCTATAAATAAATCGTTATTACCTAAAATTCGAGTTTTTTCCTGGCTTAGGTCAGTCTCTCTGTAAACTCTCAAAAGAGATTCAAAACCCGATCTATCCGATGTACTGACTTTTTGCATGACTGCCACATATGCTGCCTGCAGAATGAATGTCCATAAGACACATAACTAGGTAACTGTAATACAACAATAGATTAACTGTTTATCAACCCTTCTCAAATCAGGAGGTAGAAGAGGTGAATTTCTGTCATCCAAGAATGCATTAAAACGCCTAATCGCTTCATTTTGTGTAACATCATGTCCAAACTCAACCAGAGCAACCAATAACTCCCCTCTCAACATGGCGTCTAAATGGCTCTCACCATGTTTAGGATCCCAGCCAAGTTTTCTGTAAAGAAACTCAAAAGCACCAGAAATAAATAAATATATACATAGAAGCATGAAGCATAAGAAATTAAGATACTAACTTTGCTCTGGAACTTTGAAAAGCACTTCTTGTTTGGGTACAAGATACCTATTAGATCATTGTATTTAGCATACCCATTGCAAATTCTAAGCTTGAAAAGCGAAGCCTCGCTAAAGAAAAAATTACATGAACTAGATCAAACTACAGCTTTGATATAAATGTTCTGAATCTCATGGTAAGATTGTTTGTTATATCATATTATGGATTTTGTAGTAGGTGCAAATTAAACTATTCATCTTTTTCTTTTTTCTTCTTCTTCTTCTCCTTTTTTTTTATTTTTATTTTTATTTTTTATTTTTTATTTCCCGATTAATACATGAGCACTCGTAGTGCCAACCGATCTTAGAATTTGCACCTCCACCTTTGAGGATGGCAGTAAATTCCATTCAAGCTAACAGATGCTGATATATAAATATTCAAAATTTAAAAAGGACATTGCCAACTTTCTAAAATGAAATTAAAGTGATAGGCACGATTCTTTTCATTTCTAAATGCATGGAGGTCATCTTTTATGACTTCTTTAGCTCTAGTGGAATCTCCTAGTCCTTACTATATGGGAATTTGAGGGTTCGAATTCCCATAGGGGGAATAGTGTGTGTGTGCTCACTTACCAAACAAAAGGAAATCTAACTGGAATCAAAGAAACTTTATCTTATTATTTCCGTTATATTAGTAGCTAGGTTTCCAAATTCACTCAAATTGCCTTATTGTTACTACAGATGACATTATCTTAAATTTTGCATCTAATAACTTCATTCCACATAATAAGTTAATAACATATAAATTATCTTGTAATGGTAAATGGAATCATAGAAATTCATTTTCTCTAGTAGTCAGTTCCTATAATGGTTACTTCACATGGCCATTCCCATATATCTGTGTGTTGTGTGTACGCATGCTTGCGCGCGCACACGTTTCCCAAATCAATTGTGATAAACTGATATATGGATATCGATTGATTGTTGTAAGCAGCATTCTATAGCTTTTAACAAGCTACTTACTCCGCAGAATTCTGGAAAAGGCTAATGAAAAATTGTTTAATGTTATCCAACAATTCAGGTGTGGCATCGGCTGCAATTCTTGCAACTTTAGAACTTATCTGTGAAAACAGAAAATGGGTTAGGACCTAAAGCACGCTGAAGCAGAACAAATCAGTATCTGATGGCGAACATTACATCAATCAAATTAGACAGAACAGTATAATCCAGTTCCTCCCTGTAAGCGCTCATCAAGGTGAGCAAAGAGGACAAAGACTGTTGGCAAGCCATGCTCAAGGCAAAAGAATCATCCAAAATGCCTGTCAGGAAGAATAACTCAATATTATTTCCTTTTTTAATTTTTTTAGACTGTTTTTAGATAAAAGTTCAAAAAATATCCAAATTACCATATCTATCTGTTGCAGACAAGCACTTGCTCTCTATTGCATGTCTCAGCCTGCCTGCCAGGTCCTCATCATATTTCACCCTGTAGAAACCTGTCTGGTTTACATTAATTTTTATCCAAGCACATTCCTCTATATCAACACTTCCAGATTTTTCTTGCAATAGAAAATTCTTGCGAATATCATATGAGCCACAACATAAGGTTATTGGAACGATCCATTGCCCATCCCCATGCGAACCACTCGACAAAAATTGCGACTGCCATTAGTTAACATACATAAATTGTTAGAATTTCCATTAGCTCCCTAATATCATAAAACAGAAATATAAAAATGAGTAATAGATGACTGCGCATTCCGGTCAAGAGATGTCACGTTAAAAGTTCTGACAATTATAAAATTAATGGTTGAATTCAGTAATGAGAGAACCTGCTCAAACTCCAAGTGTTGTGCTTTGACTTTAACAGAGACAACTGGGTAGCCTTTTTGCTTGGTCCATGAATTCATTAGCTTGTTCACAGGTTCACCAGATTCTTCCTCAAGGACGGTCCATAAGTCTTCTGTCTTTGCATTTGAGCAAGCATATTTTTTTATGTATGAAGCAAGTGCCCTCTAATTGCATGAAGCAGCCACATTATAATAATAATAATAGTGTTAATGTTCAAAAAAATATATAATAATAATAAAAAAAGAAAACACCTAAAATGTTAAGATGCAAGTAAAATGTGCGTTAAGATATTCACATAATAGCAGGAGCATAATTAAAAACCAATACATTATATAGTTTACTCCTCAGGATCCACAAAACTTTGGATGCAAGGACACAACCAAAGAGTCAATAGTATCCAAAGTAAGGGTATGGGTACTTAAAAAGAAAACTGAGGGACAAAGTGCTTGTGAAAAAAAATTGAAATAATATGGAATTGTAAATAATTTTAGTTGTCTAAGTTCAATAAGAGTAATAAAGAAAATAGGGCCAATGATATCAATGTTATGTCTAAAGCATGATCCCTTGCCTAAGTTGCCTTGCCATACTACATCCTATATTATTCTATCAGGTCAACAAATATGTCTTGGTTAACATGAGTTTTATGCATATATTCCGCACAATCCCATCTATAAATATATGCATTTCATAAATTAAATATACCTAGAATAAACAAACTAGAGAGAAAAATAAATAGACAAATTTGTGCATACAAGCACATATACTCACTTTTGCATACAGTTTCTAGGCTGAGAATCAGCTTAGCTTGTGAGTGTCTTTATTCACCACACATACATAGTGTGAGTAATTAAGTTGTTCTAAGGTTCATGACTGAGGACACACTGAACCACAAACAGAAGATTTTCATAGCATCTCTACATCAGCTTTTATGGAGACCTTGCTATATGAAGTGGAATTCAATCGCTGAAGAAGAGAAGCAGATTGCTGGGGTAGTGATCGCATTGACGGGGATTGCTGGGGGCTAGTGATTTTGAAGGGACTAGCATAGTAGAATATAGACTGGTTACGAACTCGGAGCATCAGAGGTAAACCAACAAGTAATTCCTAAGGCACTTGGATATGGACTCATGGATATAGATTATACTCTTTTCTCTTGCTTAGCGGATCGGTCTGCCTGAGAAAGAAGCCTCTGTAATTTTTCCCATTTTGGTTTTCCACGTGCAAAGTTTTGTTGTCTTTTATTTTTATAGCTTTGTTCGATTAATTTGGGGTGTGTGTGATCTTTTAATCTGAGCAAGCCAAACTAATTCAATCTGACAATATGAAGAAAAGAAATTAAAAGATCTATTCATCCACGCTACGTCTCTGTTTAAAATCCTCTAATGGGTTCTGCCTACACCACTCTCAAAATTCACTAAAATTTGATTTAGGATTTCTTCGTTCTATATCCAAGAATACACTAGGTAATAAAGTCATTTTAAGTGTTTCAGTTTGCATCTGAAACAGGCAGAAAAGAAAATTCGGTGACAATAAGGATTGCTCCAAAGCATTCACAGCTGGAAGATAATCAATTTTAAGAGCCAAAAATATATATATCCATGTACGCGGATGTGTATCTATATAATGAGAAAATGATCCAACAGAGGAGAAAAGTCAAAGCAACAAACTAAAGGACCAAGCAGAAACCATTTAGAACTAAAGAGAAGTGGCAAAGAACAAAAACTGATAAACCAACCTGAAAAGGTTCAGGACCAAGATAGCTTTGCAACATCTGGATCAGAGATGCACCTTTTCTGTAGCTAATCGAATCAAATATTTCATCAATCTCACCAGCATGATTTATCTCGACCTGAAAGAAAGTATGCTTTAGTTGAAAATTAAAATATACATCACATAGAAGCAGATATTCAAAGTAATACCACTGAATTCCAGATGCAGACAACATAAATCCAATATAAAATTGACCACCCTATTTACCTCAATTGGATGTGATTCTTCAAGCCCGTCCAACCGAAGACCATGATTACATTCCTCAAGAAACTGAGTCCATATTTTCCATTCTGGGAACAAGCTATCAGTAGCTAAATAGCTTACCTGAACACAAGCAGATCAATTTTATATCATATACCAACATGCAGTAAAATAGAAGAATAAATATACATGCGAACCAAAGTGAAGTACCCATGTTGCAAATCCCTCATTCAGCCATAGATGCGTCCACCATTCCATTGTCACAAGGTTGCCAAACCACTGGTGTGCAAGTTCATGGGCTATCACATTTGCAACCTAAATAGAACCAATTGAAACAATACAACTTTCATGAATGTCTAATAAAACAATAGCAGATCCAGGTCAAATTAGCAAGCAAATTACAAATCCAGATAGAACTTTCAGTATATGGACAATACGCCTTGCTTGTTAGCAGCAGCAGAGTGTTTATCATCATAGAGCAAAGCTGTCTCACGGTATGTAACTAGACCATAATTCTCCATGGCCCCAGCGGCAAAATCAGGGATTGCAATCATATCCAATTTGGGTAACGAATATGGAAAAGCAAAGTATCTGCAGGACTTGAGATGGTTAATCAGATAACACACCTCAAAAAAAATCATGAAAGCCTCTAAAGAGAAAATATAATAAATTTACAAGTAAGAAAAATGAAAAATATGTTGCACAATTAGCAATTACATTCAGAAATGTCCATTTGATATGAATGTAGCAGTTTGCAACATGAAGTCTATATATAATGCATAATAATAATTGCAGCATAAAGAGAGAGCTAAACACACTCTTTGTATAAATCAAGCGTCTTGACAGCAACATCTAAAGCGAACTTCCCTTGTTTTGCCTTGCCAACCTGGCAGTATACCCGAACTGGAATCCCTGTGTAGCAGGAAAATTAAACCGTTAAAAACACACAGGATTTGTACTGAGTAAAAACATTGAGAGAAATGGTGTATGATTTTACCATCAGATGTATGATCTTCCACATAATCAAATAAACCAATGACAACAGCAACCAAATATGTAGACATGATTGGTGATTCCTGATAGTAAACTGTCTTGAGATTGCCATCCACCTTTTCTTCTGTGACTGGCATGTTGGAAAGGGCTACTAAATCAGATGGCACCTCCAGTGTGACCTTGAATGTGGCCTGAACACCATGGCGTTGAGTGAAAAGGAAAGTGGGGTACACCATAACCTTTAATTCTAAAAAGACTTGGAACAGTAATTGAGCGTACCTAAGTCATAACTCCATCTAGATACATAACCATATGAATATCTTTGTGTGCAACAAAATTAATAGCTTCATGATCTAATTTTAACAGATATAAAACACTTCATTATCAAATCGAATGAGTTGTTGTCTTACTTAAACTGTGTTATTGTAAAACAAAAAGCATTTCTTGAAAAAATCTATATGAATACTATTACGACATTCTTTTTTGGGGTTTCCAATGTCAACAAAATGAAAGAAAAAAAAATCTCACAAAAATATTGTACACACACACACACACACACAGAGAGGATGGTAACACCTTACAAGCAGGTTCATCCCAGCACGGAAAGCAGCGTCTGCCATCGGCTGGTTCAAACTGTGTCACTGCCATGTTCTTCTTCTCCCCATTATGCTCATAAGTGCTAAACAAGAATACTTGAACTTAATTTGAAATCCAAAAATTAAAATTCAACAAAAATCATTATTATCAATACATACACTCTATTTGGCTAAATCGTAAAAAAACAGTAAAAAAACAAGAAACATAAAATTTTAAATCGTATCCTCTTGGGGTGGAGGAAATCACTAGGTTCCATATAGCAGGGGCTTTGTCTTCTTGTGACCCAGGCAATGAAAAATCTAATTTTCGGTATTTTAGTTTCTTCCATCTCCATCTATCACATTCTTAGCACACCAGAGTTCGTTTGTTTTTTGTTTTTTTTTTTTTTTTTTGCAACTAAAAGGGTGTCCTCACTCCTCACCCTTTGGAATTGGCTAATCTCCTCCAAATACTTGTGGCAATTTTAATCGAGGAAAATTCTTATGAGACTGGCTTCAAAAGGGGGGAATCAAACTCAAGACCTCCTAACCAATTCTTCCACCCCCTTGGGGTTAGAAACCAAAAACTTGTAGAAAGCATAATGCAACAGTCAACAGAAATGTGACGTTCCAACCAACAGGCCTGTAGCCTAGCGGTACCAAGCCCCTACTTTCTAAAGGGAGGTCAGGTATTCGAACCTCAGCAGAGGCATGTGTGTGTGAGTACCCAAGTAAAAATAAAATAAAATTGTGACGTACCACATCGCCTAGGGGAAAAGTTGCTGAGAGTTTAGGAAGATGTGCAGGTCATATTCTAAATACGTCTCAAGCTACCCTCGCCTACCTGCATCTATAACTTGTATATTGTATTTGGGAAACTGGCCAGCATCTCTTCTTTGACTGCTGGCGTGTCAAGATGCACTCCTTACCTTTATTTGTGCTCCTCTGGGTGCTAATTCGGTTCTACTTGCCATTCCCATGAGAGAACAAGTACTTGCCATTCCCATGAGAGAACAAGTACTTGCCATTCCCATGAGAGAACTAGTAGCCCCATCCCGTTCTCTTTTCTGGAAATGGAGGAGGGTTACAGGTCAGGCCAGCAAGGATGCTGGTCCCAAGAGGGGGTGATTGTGCCGCCTGGGGGAGAAGTTACTGATGCTTATTTACGTGGATATTCCCTTAACCATGTAGACACGTTTTGAGCAAAACCGTGAGTACCAAGAGGAGGGCGTGCAAAACATACAATATTTACACTGGTTGGTGCGGATTGGAACAAGAAAATGTGTATATGTGTTAAGAGAAAGAAAGATGGAAAAACAACTAATGTACAGTTAAAGATTAAAAAGATCTTTATGAACAAATCTAGCAAATAGCATAAAGTAACGGAGATTTAGAACAAGGTGTTCACCAACTACAGGACAGTAAAACACAAAAGAACCTTCCATATTCAACAAATATGATAAAACAAGATAAATTTAGTGTGAGAGACCAAATAATTATGGAATATCCAGCGAATATCAGAAGTTAAGAGATTTATAGAAAATTTTGAGAGAAACGCAAACACATATTGGAAAGATTTACACAGAAACGTACACTTAACAGTACCTTCTGTAGAAGCCTTTCATTTTTTCACTTAGGGTTCCTTCAAAAGCAATACTCAAAACCCCAACTCCATGTGGAAGATTCTCAGCAAACTCCGCCACCATAATCTCATCTTGTGCAAACATTTCAACCTCCAAAGCCTCCAATACCTTCAAAAAGAGGTTAATTGATTCACATACAAACATTTGAAAGATCAAGAAAACCAAGGATTGATTTAACAGATCGGGTGATACCTTGGAACCGTTTGAGGATTTGAATCGGACAGAGGCGCGGTCAACGGCGAGGTCGGCGGCATTGAGGACGATGAATTTAGTTTCGGCGACAACGTCAACGGAGATTTGAACGGTGCCGTTGAATTTGCAGGTGATGAGGTCTGGTTTGAGATAGAGATCATAACGTTTGGGGATTGCGAATTTGGGGAGTCTCGGTTGGCCTCTGAACTGCTCGTACTTCGCCATGTTGAAACTTCAAACTCCCTTACTAAAAGGTGTCTCTTTCTCTAGCTAGATGTTTAATATGTGGGTTTATGTTGAAGTGTTGAAATTTATATAGATCGCTCAAAAGACCAAAAATTTACATTTTTACGCTAGTTGAACTATTCTCATTTTCTCACACTTTTTGTTAAAGCAAAAGTTAATTAGTTTATTGCGTAGAATATTGCGCATCATAACAGAATAAAGAAACTAGATTGACTATGGAGTACCTCGATCTCTCAATGATGCACCACCGACTCATTAGCCTCAAAATTAAAGGCTTGTGCATATGATTAAAGAAATTGCCCCAAAGCATATCAGTAGGAACTTGAATCGCATTTTAGAATCTTATTTTTGACTTAGAATCTTATTTCTAATTTAAATGGTGTGTGTTATTGTAACGAATAGAATCATAATCCATCAAGAATGGTTGGTTTGCAACATTTTCTCGTGGACTCAAAGACTTGTATCAGCCATTTGTACATGATGTGTGTTTCGCGATTCGATCAAAAATTTTAAGTTATTAAATGAGCCTAATACCCCGACTTATATATACCTATTTTATTTTTTATTCAGATCCGATGTGAGACAAATTTTTAAAATTCTTCCGGTACGACTTTGTGAGCGAGTGCAAGAGATATTGACGGATTACCACACTGAGTTTGAATGAGGAAAATGTGAGGTACTTATATGTGATGGTATTATCTTTAATTAATATGAAACTCAAATTCAGATCAAAAACTAACAATATCATATGAATGTGTGTTGACGGGAGAGTTCCACCTAATAGATTTCAACTATCTTTAGAGTACCAACGGTACTAGCACATTAATGAGAATTTGATTCTTAGAGTCAACTTGGGATTAATAATAATTGAGTATCAATAAAACATTACTTGATTAGACTTTTGTAAGTTGAATTAGTTTATTTATTAAATATTATAATGTGAGAGATTGAGATTGAGTCCAATCATTACACATCGACAATTAATAATTAAGCTATAGGTTGTAATGTGAGACGGATAATTATATGTGCTTCGATTGCATGGAAAAGGGTTCTCTGCTTTAAAAAAGATTGGTAAATAAAATTAGCCATGTGATCTTTTAGATGTATTCTTCTGTTGCATGTTATGTTTCCAAAGTCTAGTTAAACAAATAGACAAGCTAACAATTTACCACTGAAGCCACGTGGCTTGATTAATAGGAACGAATAAAATTGTCAAATCCAACTCTAAACTATAGACAACATTAAGCCTCCAACAAAATATTTTTTTATTTTCTGATGTTTGGTTGTCGTAAAATATTTATCAATAAAAAATATATTAAAATTTAACAAAAATAATTTATTCATAAATTTTTGACAAATTATTTTATATGAACTTATCCTTTGTCAAACACTGACAAAGTAAAAATAAATAAAAGAATATTTTATCTTAAAAAAATAATAATTTTCAAAAATAATATTTTATGTCGGAACAAACGGAGCCTTAAGGGAAAAAAAAAAAAAAAATTTGTTCGAAGGCCGATTATATCCATTTTCAAACAATTAATTATAAAAGTCCTATCACATGTAAGGAATTGAATAGTCATTCCGTTTAATCCTAGAAAAATTAGCAAAAAGAATCGAATATAAACTTGCCATTTGGCGACTTTTATGAAATGGACTTCCAATAGAAGTCCGAGTGTTTACAATCCGTTGGGCCAAACTGAATATAACTTGGATTGCTGGTTGAAGCCATACCAGATGCGGCTCCAGCAACATATATATATATATATATATGTATGTAAGTATATATATATATTCCTGGCAAGTAAGATGTATGCATTAATGATGTAAGAAATGTACAAAAGAGAGATGAAGCCCATATATAGCCAATGAACTCAGGTGAGTACCATTTGAGGCATGAGTCTTAATAAGCTAAAAATCCTACACCACCTTATTGAGCTAAAATGTTTTACAACGGACTCAGGCGAGTGCCAACTCTTCGACAACCTCTGCAATGTGTTCCTCTTGCTGAATGCTCCTAACCCAGTTTGCGTTAATGTGAACCCGCTCAATGCTCTGCTTCAAAGTCCTAGCAATTGATTTATTAGTACGGCTTGCAAAAAACTCCTCCACTTCTTTCACCTTCTCGTAGGAAGAAAACTAAAAGAGAAGAAGAAAAGCATGGGTGAGCAACTGATCACATATAAATTAAGCATAGACAGTAATCATAGAAGAGAAATAGAGATTTGAGGAACTAAGAATGTAGAGAGAGAGAGAGAGAGAGAGAGAGAGAGAGAAAGACCGGTGAGACAGTTGCGCTGACAAATCGGGTTATTAGAAATCCAGATCCATATGTTTTTGAGATGTGATCCCAATTGTCCTGCATCCAATCAATTAATGGGAGAAACCATGCATCAGAAAATAAGGTTGTACTTTCTTTCTTTCACTGCAGTGTCCCTTAAAATGGACTGTTTATGTAAGTAAATAAGGACACAACTGGTTTTTGCTAATGCTAGGGTTGACACACCAGGATTGAATGCCACATGGAAGTCACTAGTATATCTTTTGTGTTTGTGTTCATTACACGTGGCATGAAGGACAAGTACACACTAATCACACCGTTGCACACCTTGCCTCTATTTAAGCCAATTTGTCAGGTATATAAAGAAAAGTAGGACTAAGAAAGAAAAGTAACTTAAAATAAATACAAACTTTAGGTGCCTTCTTGTTTAACTTCCACATGATCAGCTTAGCTCGAGCCTCTAGCTATTCAAAGTAAGTCACTAGACCTACTCCAAATTTGAAATATCAGTCAAAAGAACCTGTCAACCTAGAGAAGAAAGGTGCACGGCCTCTCCTTACGCAAACCATTTTTTGTAATACACTTGAACTCACAAAACTTAGTCGCAACTTCCTATGTCATCCACCATGAGCATGAGAATGATTTGACGGGTATTTCAGAGTATTGTCTTCTCAAGACTAAAGATTGTTATAGCTTAGTTACAATTAGGATTTTGTCCTTAAACAATGGTCATAATTCTTAATTAACAATATCCATGCTCATCTTTTGCAAGACAACAAAATGAATGAGTACCTTCAGCCACCTCCAAGTTGCATCACGCCCTTCCCAACTAACAGCAAGTCCAAAAACAACGTCTTGGCTTCGAACCTTTAATAAAGAAAGAAACAAACTTAGCCCCTTCAAGCTTCAATTATGGCCCATCAGTTTCAAAAGATTGATGACTTCAGTGAACAAACCAAAATGGAGTTACCTCAGAAGACAGCAAAAAGTTGAGAACTTCAAGAATAATATCTGGATCCGGACAAGATGCTAACGAACCTACAAGTCATAAAAAGGTATCTAGTTGTAGTTAACTTGATATATTAAGATGTTTTGCATCACTTCTATAAATAAATTGTTTTTACCTAGAATTCTTGTTTTTTCCTGGCTCAGGTCAGTCTGTCTATAAACTCTCAACAGAGATTCATAACCCGATCTATTCGATTTGCTGACTTTTTGCATCACTGCCACATATGCTGCCTGCAGAATGAATGTCCATAAGACACGTAACTAGGTAACTGTAATAAAACAATAGATTAACTGATTATCAACCTTTCTCAAGTCAGGAGGGAGAAGAGGTGAATTTCTGTCCTCCAAGAATGCATTAAAACGCCTAATCGCTTCATTTTGTGTAACATCATGTCCAAACTCAGCCAGAGCAGTCAATACCTCCCCTCTCAACAAGGCATCTGAATGGCTTTCACCTGGTTTAGAATCCCAGCCAAGTTTTCTGTAAAGAAACTCAAAAGCACCATAAATAAATAAATAAATAATCATGAAGAATAAGAAATTAAGATAGGATTTTTGCTTTGGAACTTTGAAAAACACTCGCTCTTTGGGTCCAAGATACATATTAGATCATTGAGTTTAGCATACCCGCTGCAAGTTCTAAGATTGAAAAGCAAAGTCTCACGAAAGAAATAATTACATGAACTTTATATAACTTACAGCTTTTGATATAAATGTTATGAATCTCATAGTAGATTGTTTGTTACATCATATTATGGACTTTGTAGTAGGTGCAAATAAAATTGTTCATCTTTTTTATTTTATTTTCTGATAAAAATAATACACAAGCACTCATATTGCCAACTGCGCTTCGAACTTGCACCTAAACCTGAGGATGGCAGTAAATTCCATTCAAGCTAACATATGCTGTTGTGTAATTACTCATAATTTATAAATGACATTGCCAACTTTCTAAAATGAATTAAAGTGATAGACATGTTTCTTTTCATTTCTAAATGGAAGGAGGTCATATTCTATGACGTCTTTAGCTCTAGTGGATTCTCCTTGTCCTTTACTGTATGGAAGTTTGAAGGTTTGAGTCCCCATTGAGGCCACGGAGAGTGTGTGTGTGTGTGTGCACGCTTACCAAAACTAAAGGAAATCTAGTTGGAAGCATAGAAACTTTATCTTATTACTTCCAATATATTAGAGTAGCTAGGCTTCCAATTCACTGAAATTGCCTTAGTATTAGTATAGATGCCGCAATCTTCAATTTTGCATCTAATACGTCATTCTTCATAATAAGTTAATAACATATAAAATGATGTTGTAATGGTCAATGAAATAGTATGATCTTGTAATGGTCAATGGAACCATACTATTTCATTTTCTCTAGTAGTCAGTTCCTATAGTGGTTACTTCACATAACCATTCTCATATATATGTGTGTGCATCCTCGCGTGCACACACGTATTTCCCTAATCAAACGTGATAAGCTGATTTAGGGATATTGATTGATGTTGCAAAATTATTAGGCAGAGCAGCATTATATAGTTTTTACCAAGCTACTTACTCAGCAGAATACTGGAAAAGGCTAATGAAAAATTGCTTAATGTTATCCAACAATTCAGGTGTGGCATCAGCGGCAATTCTTGCAACTTTAGAACTTATCTGTGAAAACAGAAAATGGGTTAGGAACTTAGGACCTAAAGCATGCTGAAGCAAAACAAATCAGTATATGATGGCGAACATACAGTAATCAAGTTAGACAGAACAGTATAA